GGGGGGGGGTCCCTGTTGGGATGTCACCCAATCAATGCGTCTTCACCCGTCCCTTGACGGATGGTACACGGCCCGAGGTAGCGCTGGACCGACGCGTTACAAGATATGGTCTGTAATGACCAGTAGCCGTCACGTTGTACGGAGTAGTGTGGCTGGATGGTAGAATAATACTGGATAATAGGATGATGAGGGAGTATTGATAGTTGACGGGTGTGCGTGTGCATTCTATTCTGTCTCTGCAATGCCGACACCATCTACGTATGGTGCAGGTACTTGTGGGATTCCCAGACACACAGCTATGCTTGTATGAGGGGAGGAGTGCTGTACGGGTACTTACGCCGTGTCCCTGTCCAACCTCGTGACTCAATATATCATCTACAGATTACAATAATACATATACATATATATATCAATATTGCTCGGTAGTGCAAGAGAAATGATACTCTGTACATGTAAATGTGACAGGACAGCATCATGGCGCACATGTACCTGTAGCATTACATTTCAAGTCTTCCGAGAGGGTGCCTAGCAAAGCCTGGGTCTCTTCACCTTCCTGTATGACTCTGTGGGTTTTTTTGGGGGGGGTTTTTTTGGGGGGGGTTTTTTTTTTTTTTTTACTGATCTTTTTGGCTCGACTCGCACGAGTTGCAAGATTTGCATATGCAGACACGGCGGAAGCGAGCGAGCAGCGCGGACGACGTGAGCAAAGTTGACCGAGGTCAGACTTGGCAGCAGTCGTCGTACACATGCTGTATTGTACAGCCTGCGGATAGTCGGATACCAGGTTACAGGCAATAGCTCGTACGACGTAAAACGATAGAGTGATGGGACTCGTAATACCCGTCTCCACGCTGTCTGACCTTTTGACCCCGTACTCGTACCCGTCGCTCCATCCGGGTACGTAGTCGTCGTCTCTACAGACTAGTCGGTATCAACATCACTCGACGCTCGTACAAGTCAGTCTACTAAACCCTCTAGCCTCTACGTAGTGCGAAGGTCTAGCCAGAGTGCGTGTATATTAATAGCATATCACCCATCGCCCGAGTTCATGGGTATCCTTTCTATATACTCATACGCCGCAAAGCAATCATCTGCACTACGAGCATGGAGTATTACGCACATATGTATGCCTGTATATATCGTACTACATGTCCACACAGATCCGACTCGGCGTCCAACTTGTACCCGTAGATGATTCCCGCACTTTTTGCAATCACGTCGTACTACTAAACATCGGCATACACAATATATGGTTCCATGTCGTATTCAGACTATCTCACTTGCACCTGAGACTCTGGCACGCCACCACGTTGGAAAGAGGGAGGGGAAGGGGGAAGGGGGGTGTAAGGAATAACAGTAGTCCAGTCGTAATGCACGTAATGCACGGGTGGGGCGCATCCTATGAGTAATACCTCGCGTATTATATAATATTAGTAGGTACGTATAGATTTTTTTATTTTTTTTTAAATATATATATATATATATATGTGTATATATGCATACGGAGATGACTGTGCTGCCAGACTGCTTATGAACGTGCTTACCTGCGATGAGGATATCACTGTATGAGATACTAAATTCATCATCATCATCATCATCATCATCATCATCATCGGTACCGTCCCCCTCCCTCCCTTCTCCCCTCATCATCTCCATCCAGATCAACTTCAACAATGCAACCTGTCCGTACTCATCTCCTTTCCTCTCAGCTGCTGCCTCCGAGCATACCTTTTCCTCTCCAAGGAACCAGATGGCAGAAAAGTACAGAGGCGCTCACCCCGGCGCCTGAATTTGCACCGCATGGCCAATCACCGCGTGCCTGTCCCTGTCGACCCTGAAACTCTTCTACGAGTAGACCCACTCGATATTCCATCCCTACATATCCACGCCCACGCTGCTCGACAATCGAATATACTGCTGACAGTTCAAGGTTCCCATCGCGCGATGCTTTCCCCTCTCCCTGGCACCTGCTGGTCATCTTTTTTTTTTTTTTTCTTTTCTTCTCCCTACAAGTAATCTGTACAGACTACGGTGTACTATTTTAATACTACTAGTAGTAACCCACCACGTCCCAAGTCTTTTGTCATGATATCCCATCGATATTACCGACAGACGACTTGCGATGTATATTCCCTTCATCACCAGCATGACACCATCATAACCTCTCACTACCCGGTGCTCCTGCTACTCGTGCTGACAAGACACACGAGAGAGATCGCCCAGTACAGGACAGTTCCCCTTACATATATATATACACACATGATCCATCATTTCCATGGTCCCATCCAATCCACCCTCGGCAACAAACGTTCTTACATGTACATCACGAGTCTGAATTCTTCATTCACTGATACTACATACTACTGCTACTCTGTTCCCCCCTCAGCCCCTATTCATAAAAACCTCTCGCGGGACTTTTTGTAACGATTGATACACGTGATGCATACTCTCCGTCGCAAGAAGCTCGGTACTTGCAAAAAAAAAATTTAAGAGAAAAAGGAGAATCATTGCATGAATTACCACTGGTATTGCTTGCAGAAAGGAGAGGATCTCATCTCAACCTTCATCAAACTACTCTTGCTACCACATGTAGTACCCGTACCCGTACAGGGACTCCCATCACCAGAAGATCCAAACCGGGGGAAGGGGGCGGCACGTGCGGAGTGAGAGAGGGAGAGAGGCGACGGGTGATGATGCTCCGTAGCGACAGTAGCCAGTGGGACACACCAAGGGCCAGGCTGGCCCGCTCCCCAGCTATCATATATTACTTCAGTCGTGTACGGATATGTATGTGATCGACCTGATCTGCTTCGACCGGCATTCTGGCATTTTCCCATTGCGTCCGACCTTTTGTTCCTCTACGCTCATATCTGTACAGTCGTTGGGAGTGTCCAGGTACATTGCGGAGTACTCGTATACAATATTAGCAGAACCCACCCCATGATATGACATCTCGTCTCTCTGTCGTCACTTATTCCTCCCCTTGTACGGGGTAATATACATGCACTCCCACAACAACTTCTTACAGAGATAGTAGTATCAACAGAGCATCAGAGCATCAGAGCACCAAGCCCCAAGCACCAAGTAATACCAGGGCACTGGGTATCAGGCATCAGACAGCACACCGCCATCACATCTTTTCCATCCTGCCCCTGCGAGAACATACCCATCTTGTTCCAGCTTCTCAATTCTCTCAGCTACCCTATTCCCCCTTCACCCCAATCTATATTGTATACCAAAAACTCCGTCAAAGTGTCGTAAAAACCGACAACATTATGCTTGGCTCTCATGACATGGTAAACCCTTCCTTTTGCCTTTTTCTTCTTCTTCTTTTTTTTCATTTCATTTCATTTTGTTTTGTTTTGTCTGCCCGTCTCCCTTCCTTCATTCGTAATGCTCTCCGTCTGTCTTTGCATAACAAAAAAGATCCATCCCACCGCAAGAGTCTGTCAAGCTTGATACGAGCGGTGCCAATATCCCTTCTAATACGTCGTATTCCATTATATTCCATTTAGAACCCCGGCAGTAAATGCTTCGGGAGGAAGCTCACCCTGATACCGCATTTGTTAGCCTCATTTCATTCTCCATATTCTCTTCAGTGTACAGCATATGTGCGTGGATCACGCCTGTCGAGATAAAAAAAAGAAATATATGGATACTCACCTTCTTCTCATTGAATACCACAAGGGCCCTGCCAAAGTCCCACTCGACTTGTGTCAGGCACATCTCAGAATACTGCGCCGTCATCCCAGTCTGCTTGGACAGCTCCGCGATCATAGCTTGGTGCTGGTTCGGGTCCGCCGCGGAGGGGAGAGGAGCAGGCACTGCGGCTGCTGCCGAAGGCGGCTGCTGCTGCTGCTGCTGCTGCTGCTGCTGCTGCTGTTGTTGTTGTTGTTGTTGTTGTTGTTGGTGTTGGGGGACGGCAAACACGTTTGGGAGTGTGCTGTAGGCTCGGAGGGACAGCATGTCACTCATGACTCGGATGACGGACTTGCCTGGCTGCCCAGGTCCCAGGATAAAGGTCCGCGAGAAGCTACGTAGGCCCGCCGCGTTGGTCTTGGGGTCAAACTCCTCGAACTCGCCGTGCACGGACACGATGAGCCCGTCCACTCCAGCTGCGCTCTGTCCGCTGGGATCAGGAAGTCCTGGAAGCGGGTGGCAGTCCATGATGTACTTGGTCACGTTCTCCTTGATCGACGGGTGCCTGGTGAGCGGGAGACCACTCCACAGTTCGCCGATGACGTTGGCGCCCTTGAAGAGCCTCTGTACGCGGGCATTGTGCGTATGGATCTTAAACAGGTTGCGTGACACCTTGATGTAACTGGCCCACGGTAGGGGGGCAGGGCCGTCAGGGTCCCTGACCGAAACAGCGTCTACCGCTAGCGAGAATTGGCTGCCCTCGTCGTAGAGGTGCTGTGCCAGTGCCCGTCGGTCGTTGTCGTACGCCGTGAAGAATTCTAGCAAAAAGTTCTCCCCGATGCCGTTGACGTCACGGAAGTCGGGGCCGTGCTGCGGAATCGGCTTCGGGAACATGGCAGCTGCCTTCTCGGCAATCTGCTCGGCCGTCCGAAGTATGTTGCCGTTGATGCTCTGGAGCTTGGGAAACCAGTCGAGCATGGTGGTCTGGTAGTTGGGGTCCATCGTTTCGATAGGGTTTCCGACCATGTAAATCGTCTCTAGGCTTCTCAGCTTTCCCTTCCACCGTTCCAGGGCCTGCATCGATGGTATCTGGTTGCCGCTCATGTCGAGATTCTTGAGCTGCGGAAACGTCACTGCAACCGACTCAACCTGATTGACGTCGTCGATGTTATTGTTGGCAAGACTGATGCTCTCAATGGCGTCTTGCTTCTCCTTGGCCGTCTTGAAGAGGCTGTCACAGATGGCCATGAGGCCCTTGAACGTCTTGAGGGCTCTCTCGGCGCTCTCAAAGCTGCCCAGGCTGACCAGGTCGGCATCGCTAGCGAGCGCGTCGAGTTTCAGGAGCTTGTTGGGTCCGATGTAGCGCTGACTGAGGATTGCCTGTAGCTTGGCCCGGAGCTCCTGTGTAGCCTTGGACTCGGTGGCCCTGCCCTGATGGCCCAGTCCATCCTCGGATTCCACAATCTCCAGCTTGACTCCCGCAAACAAGGATGCATCGAGACTCTTCAGTAGCTCGGCGTCCTCCTTGCTTGCCCCTATAAAAACGTAGTCCCCAACCCGGTGTGACTATCGTTACTGTTAGCTGCGACAGGTTGCGACGCTTGATTGTCGAATACAAAAGGCGGTGCGACGGGCAGGCATAGTCGCGAACCCGTGGCGAGTGCGCAGACGATGCGTCGGGAATGATGTTCCTCGCAACCCAATTCGATACCGAGAGCTCTGTGCCGAACGGCACCCACGTTCCGCCTGATATTCAACGCTGCTCAACATACCTTCTTGATGGCGACCTGCCGTTTTCTTCCTGTTGTTGGGAGCGATGATGCCTTCCTCTCGAGAAAGGAAAGGAGGTTAGAGACACCGCCATCACGATTGCTCGCGGCAGTGCTATCGCTAAGGCCGTGAACCCGCACGAACACGAGTGGTGCGGCGTTTTGGATTCGTGACCTGGCTGCTTTGGCAGCGCTGGGGTCGGTGACGCGCGAGGCTAGCTGCGATGAATCTCCGCTGCCGAGGTGCTTTATTATGGTCTGAGCCGTTCGAGAAGCACCGCCGCGGGCCGCTGGTTTTGACCCCGCGCGGCCCCCTGGCTTTTGTCCATTGCCGGAGCGGTTCAGTCGGTGAGTTGCTGGGGCGTCCATGTCGATATCCCCGTCTTCGTTGATCTTGCCCTGACCACGCCGCTTCTGAATTCCACCTCTTGAGGTAGTATTTGCACCTGTGGGTTTGTTTTCGCGGCTGGACGATGCCGCCTTTCCTTGGGGGCCCCTTGGCGCCATTATGTCGTAGGTGTTTAGTGGATTGTCGCACAGAGCGCTCGTCGTGTTCCACGCCGTATGCAGAAGTCTGTGCTTGATATCGATGGCAAGTCGCCCGATGGTTGTATGACACCTCGGGGAGGAAGAAGGAGGAAGAGGAAAGGTTGAGACAAGAAAAGGCGACGGATCAATGTGTGCCGTAGGTTGTCACGCCAGACTGCTACCTCGAGGGGCCACCTGTGGAGTCTACCACGGACCGGCGCGTCGTTGGTGACTAAAATGAATGTTTCAGGGAGGGAGGGAATAAACGACAAAGTCCAGAAACTTCTTTAGATGTCGTGTTGGTATGGCCGCGGATCCCGAGGGGGTCTTGACGCGGGGAAAGATTGAAGGTGCAAGAGTTTGGAGGAAGAATTATGTTTTTTTGGGCAATGCCAGTGGAGTGACGTTGAGCACTGAATCGAGGCAGGTGCGACCGGCCGATACTGGGCGCTAGGCTGAATTAGGCACACTGAGTCATTCATGCTCGAAGTGATTTTTGTCACGCGCCTGCTGGCAGTGTTTGATAGATGCAACCTGGGTTTGGAGGCTTTTTTTTTTTTTCTTCAGTAAAATGATCACTTTGGTTCATTGTCCGAGTGTATGAATGACGGAAAGATTATTTGTTTGCGTGTGGAAAAAGCACACGTAATCACTCTGCAGAATGTTATTTGCAGGGAAGGGTGGTGCGCCTCCGTACAAGCTATGCCTAGTCGGTCTAGTACTGGGTGCCGAGTCCTACCTCCCCACGTGACCTGGTATCTGTTTCGCGTAGCTGGCGCGTGGGGTATCCATCATGGGTAAAGGTGAACCGCGATCTCTACGTAGGATTGTCATGGTTGTTCATTGTCTTCCATTGAGAAGGCCTAATTCTATCCTTGTCTATCATGCGTTCCCTCTAGTTCATTGAGTATCTCCAGTCCTATGTCCAAACATGGACAGCGATGAGTTCGATGACGGCATTGCCGACGACGACTTGCTCGCTGTGCTTGACCAACCAGCAGCACCGGCTGCTGCACCTCCAAAGAATGCAAATGACGTGAGAGTCGTAAATGGAAGGGGTGACCAGGACGGATCTGCTGCAGCTATAGCTCTGGAGCTCGAAGATATTCCTTCGGATGCATTCTCATCACCCGAACCTCCCAGCCGTACAGCATCAGTACCCAACCAGCCGAGGACGGCCAACCCCCCTCCTCGGACAGGTCTCGCTCGGACAAATTCTGGAGTTCTTCGACAGACCACCCTATTTGGAGATGAGCTGCAATTTGATGGATTCGGTGCGTCGCAGTCGCAATCAGCAGGCAATAGGTCGTTCCGAGCAGACCTCCCTAGTGAGGAGCCAACGCACCATGAGCTTGACAAGGAGGCCATGAAGACGTGGGTTTACCCAACAAACCTCGGCGCCATCCGTGATTACCAGTTCAGCATTGTTAAGAACAGCCTTTTCAACAACACGCTGGTAGCTTTGCCGACAGGGCTGGGGAAGACATTCATCGCAGCCACCGTCATGCTCAACTTCCATCGCTGGACAAAAAATGCCAAGATTGTCTTTGTTGCGCCGACGAAACCTCTCGTGGCACAACAGATTGATGCCTGCTACAACATTGCCGGCATCCCACGCTCAGAGACGACGCTTCTCACAGGTGACGTCTCACCCCAGCTGCGCTCATGCGAGTGGGAGGAGCGACGTGTCTTTTTCATGACTCCACAAACTCTCCTGAACGATATCTCGCATGGTTATGCCGACCCCAAGAGCATTGTTCTCCTGGTCATCGACGAGGCTCACCGTGCCACTGGCGAATATGCCTATGCAAAGGTGGCCAAACTCATCCGCCGATTTTCCAAGAGCATCCGAGTCCTCGCCCTGACGGCTACACCGGGATCCAAAGTTGAGACGGTGCAAGAAGTCATTGACAACCTGGGGATATCACACTGCGAGATCCGTACCGAAGAGTCCATCGATATTCGGCAGTACGTTCACCAGAGGAACATAGACCAGGTCGTCCTGGACCCGTCATTCGAGATGAGCCACGTGTGTGAGCTGTTCAGCAAGGCCCTGCAGCCCATGTTGGACAAGCTCAGCGCGCAAAACATCTGGTACGGCCGCAATGCAATGTCGCTCACGGCTTTCGGACTCATGCAAGCGCAGAAGGAATGGTTCGCGACTCGCGGGAGGTCCGCCAACCAGGGTGTCCAGTTCATGCTGCGCGCTATCTTCAGCGTGCTCACCGGTATTGCGCATTCAATCAAGCTGCTGAATTTCCATGGAATCAAGCCCTTCTACGACAATCTAGACGACATGCGCAGCGAACAGGAATCGCGTGGTGAAAAGGGGTCCAAGTATAAGCGCCAGCTTCTGGAGGATAAGAATTTCCAGGAGATGATGACGAGCATCGAGAAATGGCTCCGGACAGATGGATTTGTCGGCCATCCGAAACTGACGGCCTTGACAGATCACGTCCTCAACCACTTTATGGACAGCGGCGAGGGGACGCGCGTTATTGTCTTTAGCGAGTACCGAGATTCTGCGGAGGACATTGTGCGAACTTTGAACAAGCACAGGCCTCTCGTCAAGCCTAGTATCTTTGTCGGGCAGGCAGACGGAAAGAGAGGGGAAGGCATGAAGCAGGCTCAGCAGATCCAGACGATTGAAAGGTTCCGCAAGGGCGAATTCAATGTCCTCGTGGCCACATCGATCGGCGAGGAGGGACTTGACATCGGCCAGGTGGACATGATCATCTGCTACGACTCATCAGCATCACCCATTCGAATGCTCCAACGAATGGGAAGAACTGGCAGAAAGCGAGCGGGCAAGATTGTCCTGCTGCTGATGAGGGGCAGAGAGGAGGAGCAGTTTGCCAAGTCCAAGGACAGCTACGAGAAGATGCAGCAATTGATCTGTGAAGGTAGCCGGTTCAACTTCCGGTTCGACCTATCGACTAGAATCATCCCCAGGAACATCCGCCCGGATGTCGACAAGCGCCACGTCCACATACCCATCGAAAACACACAGGATCCCTCCTTGCCAGAGCCGAAGAAGCGGCGTGCTCCAGCCGGGAAAAAGAAGCCGCCCAAAAAGTTCCACATGCCGGATGGGGTGGAGACGGGATTCAAGAAGCTGTCGGACTACATAAAGAAGCCGGAGGCAGCTGAGACGGTAGAGACAACACCGGCCAGGAATCCCGAGCTTGACGACCTCGCCACCAACCCCGAACTGTCATCCATTGTCTTGCGCGACGAGGAGCTGGATGAGCTTAACAGGTCGTACCGTGACCTCCCCTTCAACCAGGACGCGGTCGAGGAAGCGGCCATGCCTAGTCTGACAGCGTATCCAGAACTGCAGAGGCAGCTGCGTCCCGTGGTCAAGCTCAAGCACGGGGACCTCACCAAGAGATGTGTCAAACTTCTGCGGAAGATGGGCACGGGATCGGGAGGCCTTGCTCGGGAGCGCAGTGCAAGAGATACGAGCAACTACCGAGAGATCCCCGTCAAGTCCTTTGTCGGCACCGACGGCGAAGATAGCAGCACGGAACCTGAAGGGTCAGCGCCGCGGCCACGCAAACGACAGCGCCAAGGGATACCAGCTACCACCACAGCAGCAGCAGCAGCAAGAAGCAGCGGTCGTCGTACAAAGATCACTGGCAGAAAGCAGACCATCCCAACAACAAACACATATACCTCGCTTGCCGTGCGGGGTGACGGGGACAACGAACTAGAGCAAGAGGAAGGCCTGACTCGGCGTATACGCAAGCCCAAGAAGGCCCAGGACAAGCACGGCAAGAAGCAGCGCGACCTCCAAGAGGTTGGGGACGACTGCGACCGCACCAGCGACCTCATGATGACGGACGGGTCAGACATGGGCTCAGATCTAGACGACTTTATCGTGTCAGATAACCACGAGCCTTCCAGCGCGCGCAGCCACCCGGCGGCACCCACCTCATCTCAGACCATGACGCTCAGCCAGGAGGAAGGGTCGAAACCAGAGGCGCAGGAGGAGTCGTATTATGTACCGACTCAACTGCCCGCTACGCAAGAGGAAGAAGATAGCGACGATATCCCCGAGCTGGAAGAGCTGGTCAGGGCGCCGAGCGCCATCGGGGGATCCTTGTCAGGCCACAGAACAGCTCGTGAACCATCGGGACGAGCAACAGGTCGTAATAGGCGGCAGGTCCTTGATAGTGACAGTGACGAATAATGATTTAGAAACGAAATCACACGGAGGTTGCCGCTGGGAAATGATTTACAAAGACTTAGAAGCGACGAGGAATAGGCGATGAAGTTAGGGAAATGGTGCTTAATTCCGCTAGCTGGTGGAATGGAAATGTAAAAGAAAACAACAAAATTATTACGCATCTATCTGATCCGATCGAGTTGACAGACGCTGTTCAACGCGGGGGGTGGTGCCTAAATTCTGACTCGAGGTTAGCCTTGGTGGTTCCTCCTTTGTCTGAGCAAGTGAGAAGTTGAAAGGAGAGAAAAAAGGGTCGGCATCTCAGAAACCCGGTTATAAGCACTACGTTACTTGAACGTCTAATACGGCTCTTCCTGTTTTATTTGTTTATGGGGTTGATTGCGATGTATTTCATCATATGCGCCGAAGGGGGAAGGGGTTCATCTCGTAAGGGGAGAGAGATGTGCGTGTAGGCCTTACCAGTTAGTTGGAGGAGTGGGATGCATATTGTTGCGTCTCGTGACAGCATCCCATTCGGATGGGTTTCGTCGTGATGAAGGCTGGAGGGAAGAAGAAAAGGAAGAAGGAAGAAAAAAAAGAGGGAAAAATAAAGAGCTGTTTGTGGTTATTGTGACATTAGTGGGGCTTGGAGGTGTTTAGGTAAGTATTTCTGTGGCAGTAAAGTTAGGCGCCACAAGGAGCAAGCCACCCTCCAAAGCCAGCTTATATTATTATATTCTAAGTGCAGTCAGTGTAGCTGGGTGACCACTCGTACACCACTACAAAGGCCCCGCAGTGCTGATATGCTCGGGCACCACTGCCTACAGCCTACAGGTAATATCGTTACAGCGTATGGATGCTCTACTACAGTAGGGAGTACGAGGACGGAGTACGGGTACGTAGTAAGTATCATGACTTTTGACATTTCTCCCATCACCAACAGCAATGACGTTCGTACTGCAAGATACAGAATACATACAAGGCGGCCGGGAATCTGCCCGGATTTAAAAGTGTCCATCAACAAACTTAAGACGCTGACTGGCATGTTATAAGTAATACTACTACTAGACGGGAGCATGATAGTTACGTAGCTCTCTACCTGCTTATCTCTTTTATCCATATGCGTCGCCTCAAAAGAGCCGCCCTCATCAGCCGACGTTCTTGGGCAAGTTTGAAAGCTAGCGCTCCCCATGGACCACGAGCCAATCAGCGGGTCGAGGAACCGATGATGAGGTGACGTCGGAGGCCCATCAGCCCGAGCCTCGTCTCTCTCCTCCTCCTCTCTCTCTCTCTCCGGTGCTTCCTTCTTCTTTTCCTTCCCCATCATCCTCTTCCTCGGAACACAAGGAATAAAGAGAGAGAAGTTGCGAAACGCCAGCTCGCCGCCGCAACCATGCAGTCTTCGGCCGTCTCTGCGTTCAAGTTTGTCGGGACTGTGTCCCTCGGTCTATTGACTGTGAGTTTGTGTGGATCTCCCCCCTCCTTCGCCCACCTCCTCCACCGCCCATGCTGTGTTTACTGTCTGGCCGTGCCGGGCCGAGTAGAGCATGCCGACAGCGCTAGAGGAGGGGGCGCGTGCGGACATCGAAGACGCAATTATCCCGCCTACTCTTCCCTGCATCCTTGCTCTTGAATTTCTCTTGCGGCTAAATGTTGAGCTGACTTTCCCCGTCCTAGGGCGTCTCGTACTCCGTCTCGGGCATCGCCATCCCCGCCATCCTCACCCTCCCATCCGCCCTGAGCGCCTCTCTCGCGCTCACCAACCTCACCTCGTACGCCCGCCTGCCTATCCTCGCCCTCACTTCGCTCTCGTCGGTGCCCCTGCTCCTGTCGTACGCTCTCTCCCCCCGCTCCGCCCGCCACCCTTATCTCATTTACTCGTCGCTTCTGGCCGTCTTCTCGGCCGCCGCGCCTCTGCTCGTCTCCGTCCCCGAGGCTCCCGCCCGCCCCGAGCCTACAAGGAAGCAGCAGAAGCGCCCCGTTCCCTCACCTCGTCCCATGGAGGCCAGCTACGAGGTCCTTGGTGAGGAGATGCACGTCGCCGAGGAGGAGGAGGAGGAGGAGGAGGAGGGAACTGTTATTAACGAGCAGGACGACTATCTCGATACCGTCAACGGTGAAGAGATTCGCGCCGAGGCTCTCGGCTCTTCCAGGACTCATGCCGTTCGCACGGGCCTTGCAGCTGTCGGTTTCCTCATGTCTGTCGTGGGTATCTGGGGCGACGGCGTCTCTGGTGGTGCCGTCTATGTCCTGTAGATGGGCGGCGCGCGGCGCTACGGAATATGCGAAAGGAGTTACCGCTACGACGATGGGGGAGACGGGGGTAGGTTTTCCCTTTGATGTCTTCGGCGGATTTTCTTCTTCCCATAATCATTTCGCAACAAGGACCGTCCCGCCACCATGACATTGTCTATTTTCGGTATGCACTCTTATCTAGCATGGGCACCTCACGTCGCCCCTGTGCTCAACATCCAGCCTTTGTCTACGATAGCTCCAGCAAGAAGTACATAGGGTTTTTTTTCCATCTCTTTTTTTTTTCTGTCAAATATGTCTCATCTCAGAAACATCATCTCCTTTCGCTTGTCATGGTGCCTCCGACGAGTCACTAACTGGTCTTTGCTGCGGTGCAAAGTAATCGTCGTTGAAAGACTTGTTGCTGATAACATTAAGCAGGCTATGGTAGTCATTGATTCAAACCGTCATCCGTCACGGTATATCCGCTGCAGAAATTTTTTTTCAAACCCCAAAAATGCATCCCTCCTGTTTCTCCTTGCTCTGGAAATCAGAAGCCACAACATTAGAGCAGCATCGCAATACAACCCCTGGCGTGACGTGCTATTACACCATGGACTGGTTAAGAGGGTCCCTCTCAGACCCGGCAAACAGGTACATGAGACACACGAGCAGTTTTCCCGATGCGGATACCAGGATTGCCACAGCAGGCCCGACCTCGCGGTGGATAAACGCCCCACACAGGGAACCCAGGACGAGGGCGATGAGGAACGCCACACGGCGGTTACGCGGACGGTTACCGGAAAGGCACAGGAGCCTCTGGTCGATCATGAGGTCGACCCACGCAGCCGTGGCCATCGCCGTGCTGATCTCGGTCATGGCCAGGCTGCGCGATTGAACCACCTGGCTCCCCGCGGCGAAGGCCAGGAGGCCGACGACGAGGAGGGCCCACTGGTCCGAGGGTACGACGGGGCGGGTCCACTGGATGGCGGCAGCCGTGAAGACCAAGGCCGTCTGCACCAGGTTGCACAGCAGGAGCCACCACCGCCTCCGCGGGCCGATCAGGTGGCTCAGCTGACCCGTCAGCCAGCCGCCCGCGAGGAACAGCCCAAAGGCGGCGCCGATGTTCTTGGTGATGAACATGTCGCCGTCGAGTGCCGGGGTCACCAGGGCTAGTATCAGGAACACTGTGTTACCCGTCTGGTTGGATGCGAAGCAGTGGTACTCGGGGAATGTGACGGCATCTGAGCGGGGGAGGGAAGATCTGTCAGTGGCCGGGGATGTTTTCAGTCAAGGGAAGGGGGAGGAGGGTCTACCTTGGATGCCAGTGCAGAACGTGAGGAGGATGAGTTGAAACTCGGAGAACAGCGTTGACCGGACATGTTGCGTAAAGTGTCGGATGATGACGTTCCTTGAGGTAGGCTTACCCAGAACGACGGGCACCTTGACCTCGGTCTCTTCCTGTGCAGTCATGATCTTGGCGGGGGAGAGAAAGAAGCTGTTGCTGGATAGATTAGGTGTACGTTGGAAGGGGGTAAACGGAACGCTTTACTCGTAGATTATGGGATTATGGCAAAAAATAAATAAATTGATGAATACGGCTATGAAGAGGGGGAAGAGAGGGGGGGGGGGGGATTTTTGGTCCCCCTTATATCATGACTTGCCAATGTGATGTGCGTTTATGTGTGTCGTCGCCTGTCCGGCTTGAGAGCGGAAATCTTAGCCGAGAGCCGTCGGCGAAGCCCTATCCACATCGGACCCGGTGTACCATTTGTGGAGGAGGGCCCCGAAGGAGATTGGGAGGAGGTTCTCCCTCTATTCCACTGTTTAAAAATATTTATACATGCTCGATATACACGTATTGAACATGTCGTCGAAGAGAAAGGACGGCATATGCTGTATTATCCATCTATCTGAGCATGGGACATTGTCTTTCTCTATCTTTCCCTCCCACCCAAGTCCGTCTCGCCAACAATGAACCCTATTGTTCACCCCGACAACCATTGTGGAAATATCCCTTTTGTGTTCCCAGGATGCTTGGGCGAAGATAGGCCCAAGCCGAGCCGCGAGCCGTCTTAGAGGCCACACCGTACAGTACGGTGGCAAAAGAAAAGAGAACGATAACCTCTTGCAGAGGCCCGGTCCATGTGCGCCGCGAGTAGTCCCAATACAGATGGTTCGCTTTGCTGGCATATGCCGTATTCCCACAAAAATTCCCTTACCGCTAAGCCTCCAGGACTGGATACGGGCAAGCGGCAACCTCTCAGCTGGGAGGAGAGGGAGTCACAGGTGTCTGACTGCGACGTCCAATCGGAGCGGACAGATACAGGCCGGCGAGACCCACCCTCCGCCCGATCGGCTCCCGGGGGGAAGAGGGGGACGAGGCCGGGACCGGGACGGAATATATTTTCTTCCGGCGCCGAGGAGGGGATACCGACAGCCGCTACTGCACCGACGACCGATGAGAGTACGCCTGGACAGAAGTTATCGCGAGCGGTGAATCTGCCGAATAAGATATGGATATTGTATGCTGTCTGGTGGGAAACAGCGGTCTTGGAAATCATTCGGAGAGAACGTCCAAGTCTGGGCCCTGTGTCTAGTCTGCACCGGGAAGTAATAGGACCTGCATTGGACGAATGCATTGTTTTACATAGACATATTGGGAGTGAGAGTGCATCAAGGACGATCGTCCCTACTATGAGATATTAGTAGGTGGAGTAACCATGATTAGATTGATATGATACGTCGCAATACGAGCACTTGGCATGTAGTAAGTGCTACTGCAACGAGGGTCGACACGTGATCTACAACGTCTCTCTCAGTCGATGACTAATAAACGCGCTACGCGGTTTGGTGGGCGGGAAGGAACGACCGTGAACACCACCACTTTAATGTGAGTGTGAAGAACGGCAACGACGTCCCGCACCACCAGAAGCAGAACCGGAAAAAAAACCGAAAACAACCGAAAAAACAACAACAACAACGAATAAATATATAATCGGTTATACTCGAGCCTCGAGAGTCAATGTTGACCGGCTTTCTTCTGATGGGGTCGTCCGGTACCCCTACGCCAACTTCATGACGCGGAACAACCTCAGTGACCACCTGACCTGGTTGTTACGCAACACGTCTCTCGCGGTCCCCAAGACTCTTGAGCTTCCGAGCAACAGCAATAGCGACGCCTCGTTTATCGAGGGCTCGTCTCAGAGCCAGAGTCATAATCGAAATCAGAACCGGGGCAGCGTCTCATCCTCAAGCACGTTTATCGAAAGCTCTCTCTCGGACTCGGACACCCGGTCCAAACCTACTCTCAATCGGCAACAGTCCTCCGCCAAGCCAAAGGTCACCCGTTCGGCGGCACCAACAGCCGGGAATGAACCTCTCCGCATAACGGAAGTTCGGCAGAAAGAGGAGGAAGAAGAAGACGAAGAGGAGGAAGCTTGGGCAGAAATGGGGCGTATGGCCGCGGCGGCGAGCCAGAAGAAGCCCTCGCTCGTCTCGAAACTCGACCAGCTTCCCACGCCAGTTCCCACGAAGACTCCAAGAAATCCGGCCGCTGTCAAGTCACGTAAGTTCTGGAGGCATGGTATGGTAGTAGTGGCGGAGCATATTTGGTGCTCCCAATGGACACTAGCTGACATTCACCACAGACCTCTGTAGCAGTTCCAAGAAGGAACACCTCAATACACCCTCGAACTCGCGTAAAGCGCATATATTGCCAACCCTGGATGTCTCTGACTTCCCCAGCCTCGAGGGCAACGACTGGGATTGCATGGACCTGACCGCCGACGACAAGGCTCCTTCGTCCGACTCTTTCACTTTTGGCAGCGACACCAAGCTCTGTGATGAAGACGCCGCCTCGCGGCCTGAGCCTCATGCTTCTAAGAAGGGAAAGAAGAGGAAGAGCAGCGACATTGCCGGGAACGAGTTCAGCGACGACGAAGAAGAATTCCCCGACATATACCGTCTGCTGGGCGAGACACCGCCGGTGGCAACACCGGGGAACAGGAAACGCGATCCGACCAAGAAATCGACACAGAAACGGGACACTGCGAAGCGCCTGAAGAGCCCGGGGGAGACTAACCTACCGGACCAGTCGTCACCAACGTTGCAGAAGAAAACGACAACCAAGCAAGAGCAAAGGCTGATGGCGACGCCCCCTCCTGTGGTAAGCAAACCTCTAAAGCCAAAGGTTGAGCCTCAGACCCAGAACGACGCATTCGAAGAATGGGTGGCGGCTGGTGGGGGGGAGGGTAAATTCGACGACAACATGATTATCCCCGACTCGGATGATGAGTTTGTCACGCCTCCGTCTCATAATACATCGGCAGTGCTGGGCGCAATCACTGTACCCGAATCGTTACAGAAGCCCCTCGGCTCTCCAACCAGACAGTCTCCAACCAGACAGTCCAACCCGCAACGCCCACCCAACTCTCCGAGTCGCCCAGATTCGACAGGTATATCGCCCAACGTCACCGGTTCCGGGGCGGGACATAGCCAACAGTTCTTGAAGGACTCAGTCGACCCAGGGTTCGCAGCTCCCGACGAGAGGCTCAAGTTGCTGGCGATGTTGTCGGCAACTCCTGATGCCCTCAGAGTCGCATGCGAGTCCTTGGAACGCCAGATTATCCACAACGACGAGAGCTTCCGACGCGCAATTGACGAACGCGCTCCCAAGGAGAGACGCAACCAGATCAAGACCGCAAAGGAACGCTTGTTGAAGCAACAGAGGTGCCTCCGAGGTCTTTCCGCTCCACTGCAAGAATACAGAAAACTCTGCGAGCAGCGCGAGGCGCTGGCACAGCAGGTGTCACAGTCATATATTGACGGTCTCAACACGGACGAGGACGAATCGCGACTGGACCAGCTGACAGATGGGATACAAGAGACGGAAGAAGCCCTCCTGAAGACGCTGTCCGAGGCCGGCGTCGATACCCAGACTCCCCTCTCGTCATCACAATCTGCCTCTACCTCGACGTCTAGGGACATCGTGGTCCCCGACACCCAGCCTCATAGTCGCCCTTCGGTAGACATATCACATATCCCGTCGGCCGACTCGTCCCTCGTGGAAATCGTGCCTGAGATCGTCCAGCAGACGCAGGTTTCTGCACAGGCCAGGATATGGAACGAGCCTATTCCCTCTACGAAGGTTGATTCGCGTAACGCTGTTCTGTCTCAAGATGATGACTCACGAGATGAGCCGTTCCCGAGGCAGGTACGGAATACGCCCCAAGCTCCGAACTCAACTCGAACTCATGGCCAGGGAAACAAGAGGAACGACCCTCACACGTCGGTTGATATGGGCGTGCCCGAGGATCTGTTCTCTGATCTGGATGATATTGACATGTACCCCTTGCCACGGTCCGCGAAAAAAGCACCGCAACTCCCCCCTCCGCCGCCCCCTCCGCCGCCCCATCGGAACCAGCCCTACAGGCCTCGTGCAGAGGACTTTAGCGACTTCAGCGACGACACAGAGATGCTGGCCCTGGCACAGGACTACGAGTCGCATCCCGCACCGCAGCCGGTCTCACGCCGGACCTTCACGGAAATATCGGGCAATGTGGTCCCTCCGCCGCCGACCAGTCGCCCGACAAAGAAGCTGCCAGCTACGTCAGCGTCCGGACCGGCTATCCCGCCCGAACTGATGACGCACCCATGGTCACCAGAGGTGCAGAAAAAGCTGAAAGACCGCTTTCGAATGAGGGGGTTCCGTCATAATCAACTCGAGGCCATAAACGCCACCTTGGCTGGCGACGACGCCTTTGTGCTGATGCCGACGGGCGGTGGAAAGTCTCTGTGCTACCAACTCCCAGCAGTAGTCAGGTCTGGCAAGACTAGAGGTATGACGATTGTCGTCTCGCCTCTGCTCAGTCTTATGCAGGACCAGGTCGATCACATGAGGGCCCTCGGTATCCAGGCCGTTGCATTCAACAGCGAGTGCTCTGCCGAGTACAAGAGGCAGGTTCTAGGTGCATTCAACGAACGGAACCCCGAGAACTTTGTCGAGCTCCTATATGTGACGCCGGAAATGGTTAGCAAGAGTATGCAGTTTGAAAGGGCCATGGAGACTCTGTATCAAAAGGGCAAGTTTGCACGACTCGTCATCGACGAAGCGCACTGTGTCAGTCAATGGGGTCACGATTTTCGCCCCGACTACAAGACACTCGGCCGGATGCGCTCCAAGTTTCCCAATGTCCCCATCATGGCCCTCACCGCCACGGCCACGCAGAACGTCATCGTGGACATCAAACACAACCTCGGCATGCCCCGATGCAAGGTCTTCTCCCAAAGCTTCAACAGGCCCAATCTATCCTACAAGGTGCGCCCCAAGGGCACCAACGCCAACGTGCTAGAGCATATCGCCTCTCTCATCAATGAAAACTACGACGGGATGAGCGGCATCATCTATACTATTTCTCGGAAGCAGGCCGAGGATGTCGCAGACAAGCTATCATCCATCCACGGCGTCGCTGCGGGATTCTACCACGCCGGCATAGACCCTGTATCAAAGGCGGAGGTGCAGAAGTCGTGGCAGCGCGGGGACATGAAGGTGGTTGTGGCGACAATCGCCTTTGGCATGGGAATCGACAAGCCCGATGTGAGATTTGTCATCCACCACGGTATACCGAAGAGCCTCGAGGGCTACTACCAGGAGACCGGACGTGCCGGCCGAGACGGCAAACCGTCAGACTGCATCCTGTATTTTGGCAAGGCGGACGTACGGGTCCTCAAGAAGATGATACAGGACGGCGACGGGAGTGCAGAGCAGAGGGAGCGACAGATGAATATGTTGAACCGGGTGACGGCCTTTTGCGAGAACAAGGCCGACTGCCGGCGTGCCGAGGTGCTGCGGTACTTTGGCGAGGACTTCGACGCGTCGCAGTGCAACAAGACGTGCGACAATTGCCAGGCGGGGTTGGTGTTTGAGGAACAGGATTTCTCGAGCCACGCCGTTGCCGCAATCGAGGTGGTCAAGGCGCAGAGGAAGCTGACCCCCAGCCAGTGCGCCGACATACTCCTGGGCAAGAAGTATCCGGATCATGAGGGCCGCTACTCGGACCAGTGGTACGGGCAGGCACAGGGCCTCAGGAAGTACGAGGTCATCCGCATCATCGACAAGCTCTACGCGGAGAAGGCCTTCAAGGAGTACAACCAGGTCAACCGGCACGACCTGGCCATCCAGTACCTGAGCCTGGGCCCCATGGCCAAGGCATTCCTCCTCGGCCACCGGAAGCTCATGCTTACCATCCAGGTCGACGACAAGGCCAAGCCAAAAGCCAAGAAGGCGACCGGCAAGAAGGGCAAGGGCAAGGACAAGGGCGACTCGCTCGCCGTGCAGTCGACCTATGTGTCGTCACCGATCGAGAGGCGTAGGGGCCGCTCCCGTGTTGTGGAGAGTGACGGCGAGGAAGGAGAGAGCGGTCACCCCACGACGGCCCACGGTTACGAGGACGACGGATTTGTCGTCGACGACGACGTGCTGGACATTGAACTCGAAGAAGACGACGAGGATGCATTTGCCCCACCTCCTCGGGCCGCGAGACCAGCTTCCAAGGTATCGACATCGTCCAAGGCAACCAGATCCGCACCCAAGCCAAAACCATCCAAACCACAAAGGAGCCCAGGACCGCCCATCCCGACCGACACGCGGCTGGAAGACCTCCCCGAGATCCACCAGGACATAGCGCAAAACTTTGTCATCGAGGCCAAGAAGTGGGAGGAGCAGGTGCGCAACCGCAAGGAGATCCGTCGCCCCCTCTTCTCGGACCGGGACCTTCGCCAGATGGCCATCAACTGGACCACATCTGTTGCTGAGATGAGCCGCATTCCCGGAATAGACGTTGCCAAGGTCATGGAGCACGGACCCAAGCTCGTCGTCATTCTACGGAACTTTCACCAAACATACAAGGAGATGATGGGACCGGCCAACACTCTCCCCACCCCAGCCCCGATTCCAGCTCCAGCGCCCCCTTCCCGCCAGCAGCAGCAGCAGCAGCAGCAGCAGCAAGAAGAAGATATAGTAGATCTCATAAGCTCGGAATCCGAAATGGACGACCTGGACCTCGACGATGAAGACGACGGCGATCTCAACGTACCAGCCTCGTCCTCCTCTCACTACTTCGATAACGACCCCACCTCCAGGCTCGAGGTGCAGGCCTTCCACGAAAGACTCCAAGGTCTGGCAGGCGGTGGCGTGGCGGGCAGTCAATCAACCGGTGGCGGCAGAGCCCGCTCCTCTTCTTCCTCAGGTTACAGAGGTGGTAAGAAGTGGGGTGGAGGAGGAGGAGGAAGGAAGTGGTCTAAGAAGGGCGGCGGCAGTTTCGCCAAAAGGAAAGGAGGTTCCTCTACCTCTTCGTCGGGATCGAGAAGGGCTAGCGGTTCCGGGACCGGTTCATCGAGGGGTGGGAAGATTACAAGGAAGACTGGCGGTGGGATCGGGCTGATGTCGTTGTGAAGGAGGATGTCTGCTCCTCTCTTCTCCCTTCTTCTTTTTCTTCTCCTCTCCTCTCCTCTCCTCTCCTCTCCTCTCCTCTTCTTCTCTTCTCTTCTCTTCTTCTTTTTTTTTTGATACCACCCCTCCCTCGCTCTTGCACAAGTCGGAGCTGTTATCTGTGATGGATAGAGAAGGGGGAGGGGACATGGCTTGGAGCGGTGTTGCTGTGGGTTTTCTTCTTTTTTTTCCATTTTTTCTCTCAAAAAAGAAATCCCCTACTTCATGCATGATGGGATTAACTTGACGAACATGATGAGGATAGACATCTGTTTCTTGCACGGGCAAGCATTGGCGTTTTGGTTCTACATGAATATGGACTCGATAACACACACACACACATGTAAATATATATATATATATATATGTATTTGAAAATGTTGTTCGCACTGGTATTGGGATGACGTTTTGCAATGCCTTGGATGCACTGATGTAATCAGATGCTGTCAGATGAACGAAAAAAAGACATGTTGAGTCATGCCAGAAAAAAAAGAGAGAAACACTTGGAAATGTCAAAAAAAAGTCTTGTTCCAAAGAGTTTATTAGCCGATTCAAGGGCAGATACGTCCATAGAGTAAAAAAAAAAAACCATGGAAATAATAAGAATGAAGGGAAAAAAAGGAATACAACCATGTTATGTTGATCCAGTCAATATGACATGGCAGAAATAGAACAAAGATTGTATGGTGTCGAGATCATATCCATCTAACAAGGTTCAAAACAAGGCAAGAAGGAAAAGAAGATGGTAAGAAAAAAAAATAAGGCGTACAAAACTGAGACCTGTCTTCTTTTTTTTTATGAATCAACTTCTCTCTCTCTCTCTCTCTCTCTCTCTCTACTTCCTTTCTTCTTCTTTTTTTTCTCTCTCTTTTCGCTCTTGATATAGAAAGAACCCCGACGCCGTGCTGTGAATATCGAAAGATGGAAACCCACCCCCTCCCCCCCACAAAAACAAGACCCCCCAGAATATAGACAGGATTGAACAGGATATAAAGAGGAGGGGAGGAAAAAAAAGAAAAGCTTCAGTGTACATCACACTTTGAGATGGAGAAAAAAGATGTTAGAAATACAACACTGGGACGAGGGACGTGTGGAGAGAAGGCGTCATCTCCCTGCAACTGAAGAATGTGGAACAAAACAAGGGTATGATACTGAGTGGGGGAAGGGGAGGGGGAAGAAGAAGAATCAGAAAAGAAGGAAAAAGAGAGATGCTGCATCATAACTCCCTATCAGACGGGCTATGTGTTCGTGTTGAGTGTGACTTTCGCATGGGAAGAAGATGAGAGATGAAACCAAGATGCAGGTGCAATGTATGTAGTAGTAGTAGTAGCAGCAGCAGCAGCAGCAGCAGCAGCAGCAGCAGTAGTATAGCAGTTGTACGAGAGATATAATCGTTTTTGAGAAAGGAAAAGAAGGGCGTTCTTCTCCTTCTCCGTCTTCTTCTTCTTCTTCTCCTTCTTCTTGGGCCATGGCCGAGAATAGTTCTGTCTGTTCTTGTCTCATTCAAGGTCTCCACACCGGCCGATTATCCTTGGGCTGCTGCTGCGTCTCCCTCTGGCGGAAGCTGAGGCGCGACGAGGACGTGGCGGGCTGGGGGGTGATCCTGCCGGCGCTGCCCTCGCGCTGGGTGCGGGCCTGGGGGAGCAGGCTGCTCCGTCGGCTGGTCGAGGCGAGCGAGCTGAGGGGACGGCTGGGACGCACATCCATGGCGGATGCGGCCCGGGGCGGCTGCAGAGAGGTCCGTCGATTCGCCGACGCCGCCGGCGGGGCTGACGTCTGGCTCGTGAACTGGGGCTTCTGAACTGTCCGGAGCGACGTGCCCGGGGACGCCAGGCGTTCGCGGAACGACAGCCGCGAACCTCCCGCGTTGGCGGGCGCGTCGTCGACATGGTGCGAGTCGGATGTCGCCCTCGAGAGCGGGCTGCGCGCCATGGGGAGTTTCGACGCGCTCGACGGCGCCGAGCGCGCGTTTGCGATCCGTGGCGGCCCCGAGTAGGGGCTCGGCGTCGTGAGGCTCAGCGGCTTGAAGTTGTGGCCGGTGTCGATGCCCGTCGTGTTGGTCGAGCCGTTCCACTTGGGCCTGTGGTCGACGGTGGCCGGCCGGGGGAGGGTGCGGTTCTTGGGCAGGGGGGTGGAGGTAGCTGCGCTCGGGACGGTCGACAGACGCGACCCCGCGATCCTCTTGGTGGCCGAGGGGGGAGCGGGCAGCGACGAGTGTCTGCGGCTCTGGGGTATGCTGCCGTGGACGCTGGGCGAACGCGCTTTTGCCTGCCTGGACCCAGGCGTGTACTGGTGGTCCATGCCCAGGCTGGCCATGACGACGGACGAGGGCGGAGAGCTGCCAGGTGTGTCGTGGCCGCTGCCGGCGGTCGACATGTCGTTGGAGAGCATGCTCGAGATGGAGTCCCTCAGCCGCTGGCCCTTGCCGTCGGCCTGGATCTCCTCGACGATGGCGTCCGTCTCCTTCATCTGCTCCTTCAGAGACGCCCACCTCGCCTGGAGCTCGGTGTCGAGACGGAGGATCTCGCCGTTGACCGTGAGCCGGTCTCGGACGCCCTTGTCGATGATGGACAGGACGCGCTCGACGGCGGGTCCGTAGTGCGTCTTCTTGGCTTCGTAGCTCTCCAGCTTCTTGGACAGCACAGGGGCGTTGGTCAGCTGCATACCGGCATCCACGGCCTCCCGGAGCTTGACCATGGACCTCTCGATGGACTCGTGCATCTTCTGTGCCTGGCGGCCGGCACCCCGGAAGACGATGACCCATCGATCCTCGCCCAGCTCCTTCCGGAGCGACTCGGCGTCCTGCTCCAGCTTCTTGTAGCTGGAGTCGAGCCCCGAGCGTCGCATCTCCAGCTCGTCGCACGCCGTGGGGAAGGACCTCTCGGCTCGCGCCTGGAAGACGGAGAGGCGCATGGGCACGAAGTCGAGCGAGGCCCTCAGCGGTTGCATGCGGGCGAACAGGGCAAGCAGGCTCGAGTCGTCCTGGGAGAGGCTGGGCGAGGCAGAGCCGGCGCTGGCGCCCGCACCCACGGAGCCGGGGCTGACGGGGAAAGGGACGATGCTGAGGCGGCTCTGGGCCGAGGGGCGCAGGACGGCCGGCGGGGTGTCCTCGACGATGGTTTCGAGGTCGCCAATGTCGACGCTGTCACCGCTGGCAGCGACTGCCATGCTCCTGTGGCGCCTCTCCTCCATCTCGAAGACGAGTCGGCTGAGCTCGTCCATCTCTGCCTGGATGTCGCCGAGGACGTTGTTCCAGAGTTCCTCCCACTCCATGGCAATCTCGACCTGGGCGCGGACATTGTGGAGAGAGGTGCGGACCCTGGCCCACTCGCTGATGACGGCCTCCATCTGGGACACGGCGCGGTGCAGGTCCTCGGGGGGCACGTTGGCTATATCTCTGCGATCCTGCAGCTCCTCGATGGCACCGACGTAGACATTGATGAGGTCTTCGAAACGGCCGATGGAGCTCTCGACCTCGGCCAACCCCTCCCTGCCACCGGCGGCGGACCACTCGACATCGTCGTCACTGTCCAGGCCTGAGATGACCTCGGAGGCCTTGGAGATCCAGCTCCGGATCTGCTCGGCGGCATTGATGAGGGCCTTGGAGGCCACCTGGGCGGTGGGTATGGCCGACACCTTGCTCGAGAGCGATTCGGCGTCGGGGAGCTGGAGGGATGTCAGCTGGGCCAGCTGGTTGGCGAAGGAGGCGCGGGAGAGGGTGTAGATGGAGCCGGGGCGGTTGTGGCCCGGGGTGAAATAGGAGCCCAGCCCCGGGACAAAGTCGTCGGCGTCGGCCGGGGTAGAGGGCGTGGTGGAGGAGGCGGCGGCGGCGGCGGCGGCGGCAGGTGGAGAGACGTGGTGGTCCTTGGGCGGCGGCGGCGGCGGCGGCGCGTCTTCTTCTCCGAGGGCGATGGTGGGTGGGTTGGTCTGGCGCTCTACGTGCTCGCGACGCGTCTCGAGGGTGACCTTTGTGCCGTTGCCGTTTGTGTGGTCGGGGAGGCGGTACTTTTGCGTATCCATCGCCAAGGGCTCCGGGGTCCTGATCTCGGGCAGCTTTGGGCTCGCGTCGAGATCAGAACCTGGGTCGGAGCTGGGCAGCGGGGAGGATGGAGGCAGGGCGGTATCCGAGGCAGGGTTGGAATCGCGAGGCGAGGGGGGGGGCCGCAAGCGTTTCGGGTCCGGCCGTGACGTGGTGGATCGGAGCGACGGGAGCGAAATGGCACGGCTGCCGAGTCCCTTCCAAGGACGGCCTCGCTTGACGACGGTGGGGTCGTTGGCGGAAGCCTGGTGCTTCTGGTCAAGCTGGCGCAGCTGGGCCTCGTTTAAGCGGCCGATACGGTCGCGGGCCGCCGAGGGGCTGCCGCTGTTCACGGGTTCGGGCTCGCTCTTGGCGGCGCCAAAGCCCAGCGCCTTGAGGCGTGCGGCCAGGCCAGGAGAAGTCTTGCGGATGGCGGAATGCGGCGACGTCGAAGGTGGCTGTGGCTGCTGCAGGTAACGAGACGAGGCGGAGGAGCTCGAGACGGGGCGTGAGATGGGGTGCGGCGGGCTATCGAACGAAGCCAGGTGGTCTGTGCGATGCAGCTGCGATTGCTGAAGATGGTGTCGAGGCCGGTCGGTGGTGTCGATATGCAGGCGAGAAATGTCGCAGGACACGTCGGCGAAGGCGAGGAACTGCGTAGCAGTATGGCTGCTGCTGGGGCGGTCCGGACCAGTAGTGGTGGGCTCGTGGTGGGAGGCTGAGGTGGTGGTGGAGGTGCCGCCGTTGACGTGTTGGCTGTGGACGGGGGACTGCTGCTGCGATTGCGGGTGCTGCAGCTGGTGCAGCTGCTCCTGCTGGCTACCAGCGCCAGAGTCGGGGCCAGGGTGGTCGAAGCCTATAGACATGTCTCTCTCATCAGTGTCCACCGTGGGAGTGTCTGCGGGAGAGTCTGCGAGAGACCTGGAGCCTGTGAGAGAGCGTGTGGCAGTATCCAGCAGAGAGCCACCAACACTGGGCAGCCCGCTGTTGGGCAGCCCACTGTTGGGCAGCCCACTGCTGGGCAGCCCACTGCTGGATTGGCGTTGCTGGCTTGTCGTCATTTAACTCGCTGATGAGGGCCCCTGGAGGGGGGGGGGGGGGTGCTGGTCTGGGTGGGTGCTGGGTAATCCGTACTGGGTATACCGTATCCCTACCGGATATCCGTACTGGGGCCAGGAGGAAGGGGCCCACTGACAAGGCGAAGGACACGGTGTGAGTGAGACGGGAAAGTGCTAATACTGGACAGAGGTCCTGCTGGGTTACCCGTTGCTCGTAGGGGTGCCCAATTTCGAACGATCGGGTCAAGAGGCCACCGGGAAGGGGGGTTGGGTCGGGTCGAGTCGGTTTCAACGAGAATGCTGACAGAAGGGCGATTGTGTAGAGAGGTAAGGGAGGGTCCGATTGCTGCTAGCAAAGGGGGGAAGGGGTCAAGGAGTGAGTGTTGCGTGTGGTGGCCACCTCACCCACAACTCTCTGATGAGAATACCACACACCAAAACAAAACAAAAAAGGTCGGGGCTGAGGCGGCGAGCGATGCTAATTCAGGTAGGCGGCGACGGGCGTCATGGTCGTCTCCAGCAGGCGTTGAGAATCGATCGGTTGGCGACAGCGCCTAGGACAGCGGCCGGGCGGTGACGTATTACGTACCCAGGGAAGCAAAAGGTGAGCGAGTGAGGGATTGAAAGGAAACAGGGGAAGAATATCGATGAGCAGAGAGTTCCAAGTGAGAGAATGTCAGGGCGAAGGTGAGAGAGAGAGAGAGAGAAGATGTCGATGGGTGAGGAAAATGAAGGTGGTAGAAGAGAGAAGGAGAGGATAAGGGAAAAATAAATAAACGAAAAATGAAGATGAAGATATTTTTGAGAAGAAGAAGAGGCGACAGCAACAAGACTCGATCTGAAAGGGAAAAAAAAAAAAAGAAGAGACGCGTACTGCGCTAGAATGAGCGATAGAAACAAAAGTTTTGAGCTAAGAGAGAGAGGGAGAGGAAGAAAAAACGAAACAACGGCAGGGTGAGACACGAGACGAGACGCGAGAAGGGAAAAAAGGAGAGAGGGTAAGAGTTGAGAGTGAGATGAGGCACGGCGGGTATGGAATAGTAAACTATATTTCTCCGTAGTATGGAGGAACGAAACTTCGCGCCGGGTTTTTTCTTCTTTTTTTCCTTCTCTACTCTCTCTCTCTCTTTTCTCTCTCTCTTCTCTCTTTTTTATTTTCCCTGCCTCGAAAGTCGAAAGCTGGTCTTCTCTCTCGGGGCTGGCCGGCACTACCCGCATGAGCCGTTCCTGGAATCCTACCAGACAGAGAGAGGTCGGAGGCTTTGCTTCTACGAGACTATGCTGCCTCTCCCCGTGCAGTCTCTCGTGGCGGCAGGTATCCGTATAACTCGTACTCGTCCTGATCACCGTCGGATCCTGTCTATGCAGTGTTATCCACGGTCACTCTGCGTGATGGCAGAGCCTGCTGACTGCATACCCAACCTACCCGTACGTACGTACCAGTTACGGGGGCATCCTCTCTCTCGTCTCTGGTGAGGCTCCAGGTAATATTATGGCATGCAGTATTATTCATTGCATTTCCCTGCGCGCGCGTCCAAGCTACTCGTATAGACTAGTCCGTATTGCCACGATATACATGCATCATTGCAGCTCAACGCCTGTTGCCAGCTTGGCGATAGCTGGTCCGCATGGAATCTGGATCAGATCGGAGGGATAGACTCGGGTGTTTGCCTCGTACGTCTTTGCGTTTTCCCACCGTCCTCCTCTCCAGCCTCGACATGCTCCAGCTTCTTCGTAACCCGTACAAGCCTTCCCCGTCAAGCAGGCAAAGAACTGCTCGTATAGCCAGCCCCTCCGACGAAGGATGCAGCCGGGGCGTAATCTGGGCTGTAAATTAACACCACTGCTGAGCTAAACCCGATTGTCCTGTAGTCTGTCACCAGTCCCGCCGCTCCAGCCTCACCAGACCGAGAAACCGGTCGAGTGGCCAGGACACCCCGCGGATCAGGGCCGGGGACCTCTATCGGGCTGGCGGTTATCCGCCACGACGGCGTCGATGGGCCGGCGGCCCGTCCAGAGGCCCGGATTGGTAGGCATCGATACCACAGAGCGCTCCGTACCGTGTTACTGACCGGGCCAGTGATGACGGTAGATGACGATGCTTGTGCAGACTAGACTACCCATGACCCGGTCGCGGCATCTGCGCCCATGCTTGCATTGCACGCCGTACGACGCGCGATCCCATCTCCTGTGCCTCGCCACCCCGTGCAAGATTTCATAGGGATGCTGCGGTGTAGCGAAACACCTGGGCCATAAGCTGCAACTGCCCATGCACCGGGAGCATTAGTCGTAGATCCGCGGGGCTTCGTGCGCGTCTCTCTCTTGGTACCATACCGACTAGAAACTCGTACTATACCAACTCGGTACGCCTGCAGGCACGAGGCCGCGCGCGGGATGATGCGTGCATGCATGCGTTCCTCTCTCTGACATTGTATCGCAGATCAATCCGTACATAGCCGTGTGCGTCACGGAACTCGCCATATGACTACTACTACGAGATACCAGAGTAATAGTCACGATACTGCAAGGAGCACGGGGTACTGGACCGCGGAAGCTGTACACGGCTACGCACATGTAAATCGTATACACGTAATCTGTGCAGGTGAGTGGCATTCTAGACTCGTCGACTCGTCTCTGCTCTGCTGCTCAGTCATCCGATTCCTCACCTCGCTTCTTCAGACTAAGCGTCGGTCGCGTCGCTGTAACCTGTCCCGCGGCGACAGCATTCCAGAATCCGCGAGAATAGGAGGAGGGGGCCCCGGTGGGTAGTCCCAGTCCTTGGCGTTGCCTGGGCAAAACTGTCCGAGCACTGTCACGGTATCCGACCATGTAAGCGTGATTACATGAAGTACTCCGTATGATTATTGATCCCGTATACAGAGTACAGGTCACTACATATATTCCTATCCATCGTAGGTAGTCACGCATAACGGTCCATCGTACTTTCCTCGTCGCTGCTGCTTACGGATCCTCACAGCTGGAATGTATCCGTATATGAAGTCACGTCTCTGCTACGCGTGGGACGGATTATGTACTATATGGATTATGTAATATATATGTATGTATGTATATCGCATGTACTGTAGAAAGGTCCGTGATCATTACTAAACTATGTGCGCGATAATCATAATCGTAGTAGTAGAAGTAGCGATATGTATATGTAGTTATGTTACTAGTTAGTACATGCAGTAATACGTACGGATTATATGTAGTTATATGACTAGTAGTAAAAGGTCATAATGCTCAAAAAATACAGATTCATTCGTAAACTGGAAAGAGCTCTCAACCGTCTGGAAAGGACGGTACGGCCCGTAAAGGGGCTCCTGCCTGGTCGCCGAGGCAGGTGCTCAACGCCCCCGCGCCTTCCTTCCCTGGCTGCTTGATGCTCGATTGCGTCTGTTGGGTTATTCTTTCTTCTTTGCCTCGCCATCGCCGCCACCATCGTCGTCACCGTACTCAAACTCGTGCTCATTCTCATCCTATCGTTGAACCGTTGATTGCTTTGCTTTTATTGCCTTATTGCTTCATTGCTTCATTGCTTTATTGCTCTATTGATCTATTCCTTCCTTCTTACCCCCACCATGAATGAATGATACGAGCGTCGAGCACTGAATCTTATATTACCCGACGTGCTCATATGAGCTCGTACACTCCATCATTGGTAACCATACTTGTACAGGATAATAATAACCCCCGCACTCCACCAGGCTCCTGCATGTGCAATTTCGCGACTGGAGACGGACAGGCCGGGATGAGTGGCCAACCGATCGACTCGGCGTCCATTTGCCAGCCAGCTCGGCAAACCCCTGACGCTCGCAGCCAGTCCTGCACCCGTCCGGGCTGCCCATGCTACTACTTCTGGCACTTCATCTCCATCAACACTCTCGCCAGTAATTCCACCAGGTACCACCACCACCGACCCTGTCGACCCCGTTTCCGGGTCCGCCCGCCTCGTTGCTGACCTGCCTTCTGTTGCTGCCTCTGTTACCTGTTACTGCGTCTCGTCGCATCTCATCGATCCACCTCTACTTCTCGTACGCCTACTCGTACGCGGCCGTGGCCTCTACGGGTATCATTACCAGTGCCAGGACCAGCGGTTAACACATCACATCCGCCGCCTGCCTGTTCCCTGGCTTGGCAGCGCCGCAGCCTGAGCACAACGAGCACAACGAGCACAACGAGCACAACGAGCACGACGAGCACAACCTCAGCCCGAGAGCCACGAGTCTTCTCCATACAACGGTCACCCCCGACAGGCCCGACGCTCGTGACGGCGGCCACGTCCACGAAGATTCGCCTCGTCATTCCTCACGCCCCTCGTCATTACGAGTAATAGTAATACCACCACCAGCATTGCTCGTACGAGTATTGCCATCCTGCCCTGCCGAGGTCGCCCCAACGCTCCACATGGCCACCGCCGACGAGCAGCAGCCCCACGCTCAGCATGAGGACAGGCTCGCACGATGCGGCTCGCCCTCCCCGGATACCGTGCCTACCCCGGCCATCGGAGCCTGTCCTCAGCTGTCCCACCGCGTCTCCACGGCCTCCTTTACATCTCGCACCTCCAGTGCTACCACCACCACCTCGAGAAACTCGTCCATGGGCAGCGACATGACGACGCCGCGCAGTCACTCACGCCCTCGCCGCCATGAGTCCAAGTCCAAACGGAGGGGCTACATGCGGCCCCAGGCCACCGACTTTGCTGCCAGCGCCAAGTCTCACGAGAGCGTCATGAACCTCGGCAGCATAGCCCATCTTCAGTATTACTTTGCCCGCACCGGATTGCTCGACGGAAAGGGCGGGCAGCTTGCTCGCAAGAAGGCAAAGCATGGCCCTGCCCTCAACATGTCGGACCTCGACGCCGTCTCCGGCGACCCCAACGCCGTCAACCCCGATGCCGACTCGTCCTACGCTTCCATGGGCAGCAGCCCGGATGTGGCCACGGCCGACGGCTTCGTCAACGGGGACCGGCCCGACGCCATGGACGACGCCACGGACGACGAGTACGACGGCGAGTCCAGTTCCTCCGAGTCCGAGGCCGACATGCTCCCTCCGACCGTCAGCACCTATCAGCACAGGGAAAAGGTGGTGCCCAAGCCGCCCACCATTGACGAGCTCAGGGAGGATCTGCAATCGAGCCTCACCGATGCCGCCAAGGCCCTCGACGAGGTCCGCCAGCGAAAGGCCGGCACGTTTGTGAACCCCCCGGATGCGGTCACCCTGCCCAACATGCCCGACGAGAATACGCAGAACTGGTACGAACTTCAGGGAATGCACATACTCGACATGTCCACGCTAGCCATCCGTGCGGCCAAGATTTACTACACGGCCCACGAGCTGCCCCACCGCCTCGATGCCATCAAGTCGGAGAAGCAGGTCCGTGCCGACCTGCTCGCCGTCATGGACGTGCTCCGGCAGATGGCCACGCGCAACTTCAAGGACGGCATGCGGGATGATGAGCTCAGCGTCATCAGCGGATGGACCGACAGCGTCTTCGACATCCTCAGACAGGAGGACGAGATCGAGGCGGCCGAGAGGGCCGAGCAGGCAGGCTGGGCCTGGCTAGACGGAGACTGGACAGGCCGCGAGATGGAGCGCGAGAGAGCCTTCCTCACGTCCATGGACCCCGAGGTCGAGGCCCTGCCCGAGTGGACCGCCATGGCCGAGGATGCCGAGACGCCCACGCCCTTCCTCACGGCCCTGTCCAACGGTGTCCAGCTCGTCAAGCTGCACAACGCCGTCGTCAAGAAGTCGAGGGGGCGCTTCGGTGCCATCCCCAAGTTCCACACAGACACGCAGAAGCCGTACCGGTGCGCCGACAACCTGCGCTACTGGGTCAAGGGCGCCGAGCTGCGCTTCGAAGTGCTCATCCCCTTTGACGTCATGGGCGTCGTGGCCGACACGGGGCCCGAGGCCTGGAAGGGTTTCGAGGCGTCCATTGTCAAGTGGTGCCGCCACGTCCGCGAGGAGATTGCCAGAGAGCTGGGGCGGTGAAGTCTGAGATAGGGGAAAGGCACCTCTCGGGCCAGAGCATGGAATCACGACTAACGCTGCATATGTTTTACCGGAGTTGTTATGGGCGACATACATATGCCTTTTAATATCCCTCACTTTCTGCCTTTTTTTTTCTTTTCAATCCCTTCTTCTCTCCCTCTCTCTTCTTCTTTCCTTTCTTCTTTGTCATCCGTTCTTCATTCTTTACCCGTCTTTTCTTATTAATCCATGCATACATTATTCGTTCCTTTATACCTCGTTCCTTTCATTATCTCTCCTCTTCCCTTCATTCTAACCGCCCTTTCTTCCCACGGCAAAAAAAAAAAAAAAAAAAAAAAAAAAAAAAAAAAGTCAACGACTTATGTCCTCGCCGTGTGTTTATATGCATCCATGCATCTATCCTCAACCGAGAGACCGACTCGGCTCGTCTCTACATAACTCTGAATTGCTTCTCTTATTTTTAGCATATACCCCTAGACCTTTTTTTTTTCTTTTTCCCCTTTTTGGAATATATTCCCCACTTCACTTTTGAAAATCCATCTCTGCCCCTTTACAGCTTTTACATAATTACAATAACACGCTATACCTCGGAAACAAACTATACTTGAGAAATCAATCTAAATTATATGAATACTATCAAATAGCTCTCTGATCCCCCTTTTAAGTTTTTATTTTTATTTTTACGTTGACAGCACGATCGCAGCACAGATATGGCACAGCAGCATATTCATTCCAAATTTTTTTTTTTTGGGGGGGGGGGGGTTGGTTTCCCCTCTCCTTTTCTATAGAGACATTGCCCGTTTCCTGCTATCTATCCGTGTTACTGTCTTACCTATTCCATGCACTAGAATGCTTCAACCATTACCACATTAAAAAAAAAACCGAGTGTACGATAATCCCCAACCTTACCTTCAAAACACATTACAATATATGCTAAAAAAAGGACTACCGTCCTTCCTAGCCCAGGAGCTAGATGGTGCCTCCATCTTACTCGACGTCAATCCTGCGCAGCTCACACCAGGGCTTCTCAACCTTGGGCACCGTAATCATGAGGACGCCATCCTCCATACGGGCGGTGATGGCATCCCCATCGAGAGCCTCCGTGCCGGGGAGCTGGACGCGGCGGTCGAACGGGCCGACCTGGCGCTCCCCAATGCCCTGGAGGCTGGCGACGAGGTCCTCGTCGCCGGGACGGCGCACTTCACCCACGATGCGGACCTGGCGGGCGTCAGGGTCCCACACGACGTCGACGGCATTCTTGCGCGTGCCGGGGAGGGAGAAGTGCAGGATCACAGCGTCCGGCGTGTCGAAGATGTCGACGGGAGGGGTCAGGCCGCCGCTGCCGCTGCCGCTGCCGCTGACTTCGCGCGCGTCGCCTCCGGGGTTCATGTACTGGCCTATAAACTGCTGGAGGACGGGGTGGCTCCCTAGCGTGCGGAGGAGGGTACCCATGTCGAGGCTGCTGAGTTCGAGACCGGCGCCGGCCCCAGCAGCAGCAGCAGCAGGAGGAGGAGGAGGAGGAGGGGGCGGGTAGTGGTGGGAGCCGTGGGGGCCACCGTGAGGACCGCCGTGGGCGTGGGTGTCTATCAGACTATAAGCGTTGCCAGGGCCGTGACCAGGACCAGGACCGCCACGGTGGTGATGAGGGTGGTGATGAGCAGCGTGAGCGCCGCCGCCGCCGCCGCCGCCACCGTGACGACGTCCGCCACGACCACCGCCGTAGCGTCCGGCGCGACCGCCGCCGCCGCCACGCATGTGGGGGGGAAGGTCCGTGTCCTTGTCGCTGTCGTCACCGGGAGCGACCTCCTCGGGATCGGGGGCGTCCTTGCCGCCGGCAGCGGTGGCGCCTACCGCCGTGCGATCGTCGTCGTCCGTGTGGTGGTCGTGACCGCCCCAGGAGAAGTGCTCGGGGTGACGACCACCCCAGGAGTGACGGCCTTGGCCGCGGCCTCCTCGAGTTCCGAATCGCTGCTCGTGATCGTGTCCATGTCCGCCGGGGCCACCGCTGCCGCTGTGAAGGGACCAGTCTCTAAAGTGACCGGGACCGCCGCCGCCGCCGTGGCGCCAGTCGTCGCGTCCGTAGCCGCCGCGACCACCGCCGCGGTGGTGACGGGGAGACCACTCGTCTCCTCGGGTGGCCCATCCGGGAGGAGGGGGAGGAGGGGGAGGATGGTAGCTGCCGAAGGGACCGCCCCCGAAGGGGAAGTCGGGTGGAGGAGGGGGCGGCCGCTGCTGGTTGTTGTTGTTGTTGTTGTCGTTGAACGTACGGCCCGCGTTGGCTAGGTGCACGAATGGAGCGAAGAAGGCAGATAGGGGATCTAGGTCGGGGGGTGCCATGATTTTGTTTTCTTGGGGGGTGTTTTTTTTTTCTTTTTTCTTTTTTCGAAGGGTTGATTCTGGTTTTTATATGTTGAAGATGCTGTCGAGATGGTTTCGCGACGAAAATAGAATGGAATATGAAAAAAAAAAAAAGAGGGGATGGGATTTGGTTGATGATATGAGGAGAGGGATGGAGATGGGAGATGTTTTTGGAGGGTTGGGATTGATGGGCTTTTATATCTCTGTCCAACTTATACAAGAGGAGGCACCTCTCAAGGCAGAAAGAAGTGCGGCTGGGCGTTTAGGTCGCCACCGACCATGTATGGTCCTTTCAGGTCTACGGGGCAACACTACTGGGTAGCCTCTAACTACTAGTTTTGGGACCACGGCATATTACAAGAGGGGGGAGGGGGAGAGAACAGTCACACATCGTACAATAGAGGAGGAGGGGGGGGGGGGGGGGTGGGGGGCCGGGGTAAAGGGGGGGGGGGGGGGGGGGGGGGGGGGGGGGGGGGTATGTGCGTCAGTGTCAACGTGTGTGTGTGTGTGTGTGTGCGTCTCTTGCCGGTCTCTCGCCACGCGGACCGCGTCATCTGTGTGACTCCTTCAAGGAAAGTAACGTGGGGGACCCTCAGCTCGGTAGAGATACTCGGTACGGATGGATACTCGGTACGGATGCTCGGTGGGTATGGTCTATTGGTCTATATAGGACTATGATAGACCATAGACCGCCCCCCGTATGGCTAACATGGGTCTACATGGTAACTCCGTACTCCGTAACAAGTCCGTAATACTTCGTAATACTCCTCCGTACTTTCGGCATTACGCATCATGGCATTATGGGGAGTGATATGAAATCGCCCCGGCTGACTGGAATTGCTATCTGTGGCAAAAAGGAAGGGAAAAAAGAAAAAAAAAATCTAAATGTAAAGAATAGAATAAAAGAAATAAAATAGTTTCGGTTCTGCCGAGCTCTCCACTTGTGACAGTAAACCGGATCATGTGGCTGAGATGGACGACGCGCAAAACATGTGGCGCAGTCTCCGGAGTCGACATACGCCGTACAACCTACAACGTGATCACGTGTCACCGGCTCGGTCTGGGCGCGGCGAGGGACTTCTCCCCCTACCCCCCAACAGCTGGAAAGGAGGCGGGAGGAATCTCACGGTCGCTGCAGATTGTTGTGAGAGTACAGATCTGTACGGATGGCACGGTATATACTTTTTTTTTGATCCGCTGCGTCCCATCCGTTGTTTTGCCGTGGTGGCAGAGTCGATAGACCACCCTGCAATCTGTATCATTCTCGTATTCATCTGGTATGGGCACTATCACGGGAGTGAAGACGTTTGAGAGTACAGGTAATCAGCTGGCGAGGAGAAAAGAAGGGGGAAAAAAAGTAAAGAAAGACTTTGGCTGCGTATCGTAAGCTCATACGTGCGGTCAAGATTGAAATTCCTCTATAGAAAAAAAATTCCATGTGAGATAGAAAATAGAAAATAGAAAAATAGAGACAAGGTCTGATCGCATCATAAGAGAGGAAACTGATGGACACTCATACATATACACACACATACACGTCGACTTGCTGGTGTTGTCTGTGGGCTGGTTCACGTCCAGCCTCGGGACATCTGATTGGCCACTACTCGGCTTAGAAATACATGACACTGATTTCCTTTGGTCTCTGGCCTCGCCTCGCCATCGATAATCCGATGACGAGATCTCTTCGCTCTCTTTTCCTCTTCCCAACTCGCGAAACTCGCGCGTAATAACCCAGACGGTCCCCTCTTCTCCCAGTCATCTTCCCCCCCCCCCCCCCCAAGCACCATCTCCCATCCTTCCTACCGTATACTCTCTTTCAACATGACGATGGATGCTCGGGCTTCTGTCCCTCGTACGTCGACGACTTGCCTCCTCATTCCCTTCCCTTCACCCCGAAAGAAGAGGGAGCGAAAACAAAACAAGATTTTTTTTTAAGAAAAGAGAAAGCTTTGCTGATAAATCGCATCTACAGAAGTTGCTCCCGCGGCTCCCGCGACTACCAGCAACAACACTGCTGCCTCCAAGCCCAAGGTACGGTTTTTTGTTAATCTCCCTCTCTTTAGAGGAGGAGGAAGGGGGGGCGTTTCTCTTTTTTCCCTCTCTTCTTCTTCTTTTTTCTTCTGCCTTGTTTGGATATGTAGACATGCTTGGCTGACACATCCCCTCAGCCCTGCTGCGTTTGCAAGGACGAAAAGGCCAAGCGCGACGAGTGCATGCTCTTCTCTACGGCCAAGGACCCTGCTGCCGACTGCCAGTCCCTCGTCGGCCAGTACAAGACCTGCATGGCCGGCTTCGGCTTCACAGTATAAGCAGAAGGGCAGAGAAGAGAAGAAGCCCAATCCCTCGCTCGACGACAGGCTGACCGGCCGACCGAACCGGCCCGACCTCCTCCCAGCGGAATGCAATCGTATCCGCTGCGTGTACACCTCATCATGCATTCAAACAGCTTTGTACAACACCAACAATACGAATAGACGACTCGACATAGAGAAAAGGAGAAGAAGAGCAAGAACAAGATTAGATGCAGATCAACTTTTTTTTTTTAATCAAAGACACTCCTTCTCTCACGCTGGGAATGCATCATACGTCCATCTCCGGCATTGAGCGTGGGAACGGGGCTCACGCTACATCCCTTCGGATGCAGTTGGCTACCTCCTCCCACCGGCCCTCGTACCCGGCCCATATCATGCTCTCGACCTCGTACATGGCCTCGCACATGTCGTCCACAATCTTCCTCATCTCCTCCTCTATGGCCCTTCTCCGCTCAATGCTGTCCATCAGAGTTGTCACGTGGCGCACCTGCTCTCCGGCCCTGCACACGCTTGGGTCAGCATATGGCACGCAGAGTTAGGGTATCAGTAGGCCCCGGGATGTAGTAGGCACCGTACATCTTCTGGCGCTTCCGCTCGTAGTCATCCTTCTTGACCTCGGCCAACGCCTTCAGCTCGTCTTGGCACTCAGCGACGACGCCCAAGAGACGCTCATCCCTCTGCTTCCTCAGCTGTGGAGTGTTCCGTGTCAGCGATACGGCAGGCCTCGTGCCCTTGCACTCTGCAGGTCCCTCCTCACCCGCATGATGCGACGTTGGCTCTCGGCCATGGCCTTGGAGACGTCGAGTTCGACCTCCGACTCCACTGGGAGTGCTCCCTTCTTCACCCTGGATGGCATGCTGTCTTGCTGATGTCTTCGTAGTTGGGAGGGGGTTACGGGGATTCTCTGTCTGTCAGGACACCAACCCACTCAGTTGTACTTGAATCTGCTCGGCGATACAGAATGTATAGATGGTGGGAAGATAGCAAGCCTCCGTGCAGCGCCTTCAAGAGGATAAAGACTTCGGTAACGAACACACAGCACGTTACGGAAGGTGCGCCCTACGCGCCTTCCTCCCTTCTCTCGCTCGGCGTCGCAGTCATGCGTCATCTACAAATGTTCACATCTTCTAGAATTGGCACATACTACCAGCCACATGGCAGACTGTCAAGGCAAAAAACATACAAGAGTCAGACGGTATACCAGTCACACCGGCACCTTGAACGGCACGGGTTTCTCTTTGTTTCTTTTCTTTTCTTTTCACCTTTCGTTTCTCCATGGTTGCCCCCCCCTATTTTTGTTTTGGTATTATGGTACAACTTCCTGTCGGAGAGAGAAAAGCCCAACCATCCAATATTTACCTCGTCAGAGCAATGTCGTCTATCCTCAGGATCATCTTGACCGTCTCCGCTGCCAGCTCAATGGCGCTGGTGCTCACGAGGAGCGGCTGCAGGACGTTCTCCTTGGAGATGTTGTTGTTGACACCGCCCGACTTGATGCTCACCCCGGCGTTCTTCTCTCCCATCTCGTGACGGTGCCTTAGGTCCGTCACCACCTTGATGCTGTTGAGACCGGCGTTCTCGGCGAGCGTCGTCGGAATCACCTCCATGGCATCGGCAAACGCCTTGAAGCAGATGGCCTCGGTGCCCGTCTGGCTGCGCGCCAGCTTGGCCAGCTGCGCCGCAATCTCAATCTCGGGGGCACCGCCACCGGCAATCAGAGCCTTCTTCTTGACTAGGCAGCGCACAACGCACAGAGCGTCGTGGAGACTGCGTTCGGCCTCCTCCAGGATCAGGCCGTTGGCGCCGCGCACGACGACTGACACCGTCTTGCCCGTGGCCTTGGCACCAGTCACCTTGACCATCCTGCTTCCGTTGGACTGCACCTCCTCAACCAGATCGGCCGAACCCAGCTTGTCGGCCGTAAAGGAGTCGACATCGGCAATGGGCTTGCAGCCCGTCGACTTGCAGACGAACTCAACCTCGTCACGCTCAATCTCCTTGATGGCCAGGATGCCCAGCTTCGCCAGGAAGTGCAGCGACAAGTCGTTGACGGCGTCCCTGAGAATCGACTTCTGGATCAGGAGCACGTTGCATCCCGTCTTCTTGATCTTCTTGGCCATGTTGAGCAGGTACAGACGCTCCTCCTTGACGATCTTGTCCATCTGACGGTAGTCATTGACTTGGACCGTGTTCTCCATCTGAAAGAGGGGGGGGGGGGGGGGTTGTTAGTATAGAAGGAGCAGATAAAGGGACCCGAGAATGGTTTCAGAGTAGTTTTGGAGAACGGAGAATAACACATACATCAGGCTTGGGAGGGCTGAGCTGGAACTGGATGAGACCAATCTTAGCCTTCTCCATCTTGGTAGGGCCGCCAGCATTCTTCAGCACAGGCTGGGTGAGCACGAGACCGTCAAAGAGCTCGCTGTCCTCAATCGTACCTCCGACCTTCTTGATGATGCGGATGTTCCTCAGGTCAACGTTGTCGGCCGTCTTGAGGTCGATGGTCTTGGTCACAGCGTTGACAGCCATGGGTCCGAGGAGGTTGGAGTACTGTGAAACGATCTTGGACGAGAGCGACGTGTTGGCGGCCTGGAGCAGGGAGGCCGTGTCACTGAGGGAGATGGGCTGGGACATGTCGTGAAGAACGCCGACAGCGGCGGCGGCGGCTCGCTGGAAAGCGTCTGAGATGACCGAGGGGTGGATGCCCTTGCCCAGGAGCTTGTCGGCGGCACCCAGCAGACTGCCGCAGAGGACGACAACCGACGTGGTTCCATCACCGGCCTCGACGTCCTGAGCACCGGCCAGGTTGACGAGCATCTTGGCCGTGGGGTGCATGACAGCCATGCTCTTGAGCATGGTGTGACCGTCGTTGGTGATGATGGTCTCTCCCTTGCCGCTTCGAATCATCTTATCCATACCACGGGGACCGAGCGAGGTTCGGACGGAGTCGGCGACGGCTGCAAGAAAAGAAAAGAAAAAAGAGACGAGAGTCAGAGAGTCAGCGGGCACATTATTTCGAGGTGTCGCTTTCTATTTCGTCGAGTTCGTACCTCGGGCGGCCACAATATTAGACGACCTCACAGCCATGGGCTTCTCCTTGTCCTGCAAACCGACATTGGGGGGTTAGCGGGGCACTCTCGAGAAGCTTCACGGTGTAGGGATAGCTCCACTGACTCTGAAAGTGGCATTTCCACCGGATGGTGCCGTGGCAGCCATTCTGGAAAGTGTTCTGAGAAGTGAGTGGGGATGCCTGTTTTCTCACGCGGGGTTGGAAGTAGAGATGGTGTTGAGAAGGACGTCTGTGCAGGTTTCCTGTAACTTTGTCGAGATATCCCACTTTCTGCCCTAGGCGGCGGCGGTGGCTCTTTCTCCTCCAGGAGAAGAAACTGACTACCTAGAAATTTTGGCGTGTGGACGGAGCATCTAATGATCCCCCTCCGAGAGAAATCACAGGGGGGGGTGCCCCATAAAAAGCGGCACAACGCTCCTCAGTGGACAGCCAGTGATCACTGATACAGTATCAGCACATAGACTCTGGTGGCACACGCTGGAAGCTGGTGGCAGCTGCAGCCTGCAGCCAACTCCTCCCCTTCCATCTCTGGAGCGACGTGGGGACAGTGAGAGGCCTGGAGCCTGGAGCCGCGCTCTCTCTCTCCCAAGGCAACGCAGATTACGCCATGCCCACGCCGCCATCATCACCGCAAGCAACTGGCTGGAGCAGTGCCGCTTTTGCTCCGCCCACCTTCTGTGCTTCAGCCTTCTACCATCCTTTGCAGTACGAGTACAGATTACAGATTACTCCGTATTAGTAGTGATACTAGATCATCCGCCCACTTTTGGTCTCTCAGCGATACTCTCAACACACTTGATACTGATACCATCAAATCCTGACCGACGTTACGTGTACTTGACCTCCATACAGTGTCTGCTTTCTAGATGCTTTTCAGAGAATAGATAGAGTAGAAGACCATGCCATCTCTCAGGTCGAGCCCTCTAGGTGAGTAGATAACCAAGTAGATGAGGGCGGAAATAGAAGGACTCGGAATGGAGGAGAGAGAGAGAGAGTAACGTAGCGCAGAGCGAACGATCCGCCAACGGAAACCTACAACATCGAAGCTGCGTCCTCGCGAAGCAAAACAATGGCAATAACGGATGGTTGGCGGCTCCGTCGCTTTGTACTATCCATAACCGTTGCACTCTCGTCGTAGTTTCTTCCCACTGATCGGAAACACACAATCCTTCCACGACTTTGCCTAGTTGGATGGCCGTCCAGCCCCTACTCACGCAGTCGGTTAGCACTGCTACATACAGAACAAGGCCTCTTGCTTGTTGATGAGATATCAATGTCAAGTCATCAACAGCCAAAGTAGACTTTTTTGTTGGTGTTGGTTGCTATGCGTGCGAGGTTGATTATGTAACACTACTATCAAAGCTTTGAGCAATGGCCCGTCACAGAGGGCGGCAATGGCGCTAACCCTGATTTGGTCAACCAGCTGGGCAGGTGTACGCAGTCATTACCAAAGCATCTCGTAGCCTGCTGCTTGCTGCTCTCACTTCCAACCTCGACGACCGACTACACACGATCTGCCTCGAACCACGACCCCATCGACAAAGCCCACAATACCCACATCGAAACCTCTTCCACACCACATTGCTGGCATAGAGGTCGCTAGCGCATTCCATCATGGTGCGTCTGCTGTGCTATCGAACCTCGTCCCTCTTGTCTCTGTATAGTGATCCCATGTTGTGCTGTGCTGACCGACCTCCGAACTCCAGCCTTCTGCGACCGGTTCGAACTGGGAGAAGTACCAGAAGAAATTCGACGACGATGAGGTAGAGGAGAAGAAGATCACGCCTCTGACCGACGAGTACGTTGCTGATCTCGTAGCAGCAGCCCCCCACGACGGCTGGACCAGACTGACAGTGTATCGCTAGGGATATCCAAGTCCTCAAGACGTACGGCGCCGCGCCCTACGGAGCATCTCTCAAGAAGCTTGAGAAGCAGATCAAGGAAAAACAGCAGAGCGTCGATGAGAAGATAGGAGTCAAGGTACGGCCTCGTCCATGTGTCCCAAGAAAGAGGGCACGCACGTCGTTGAAGGTCACAGCGAAGCTAACCGGCTGTTTTGTGTGTCTGCAGGAGTCAGATACCGGTCTCGCCCCGCCACACCTGTGGGATGTCGCCGCCGACCGCCAACGCATGTCCGAGGAGCAGCCCTTCCAGGTAGCAAGGTGCACCAAGATTATCGCTGACGAGAAGGGCGACGAGTCGAAGAGCAAATACGTCATCAACGTCAAGCAGATCGCCAAGTTCGTGGTGCAGCTGGGTGAGCGTGTCAGCCCGACGGACATTGAGGAGGGCATGCGCGTGGGCGTGGACCGAAACAAGTACCAGATCATGCTGCCGCTGCCGCCCAAAATCGACGCCAGCGTCACCATGATGACGGTCGAGGAGAAGCCCGACGTCACCTATGGAGATGTGGGCGGCTGCAAGGAGCAGGTGGAGAAGCTGAGGGAGGTGGTGGAGATGCCGCTTCTCTCGCCCGAGCGCTTCGTCAACCTGGGTATCGACCCGCCCAAGGGTGCCCTGCTGTACGGCCCCCCCGGAACGGGCAAGACGCTGTGTGCGCGAGCCGTGGCCAACCGCACGGACGCTACCTTTATCCGCGTCATCGGCAGTGAGCTGGTGCAGAAGTACGTCGGAGAGGGCGCCAGGATGGTGCGTGAGCTCTTCGAGATGGCGCGCACTAAGAAGGCCTGCATCATCTTCTTTGACGAGATCGACGCCGTCGGCGGCGCCCGTTTCGACGACGGCGCCGGCGGTGACAACGAGGTGCAGCGCACCATGCTAGAGCTCATCACCCAGCTCGACGGATTCGACGCCCGTGGCAACATCAAGGTGATGTTCGCCACCAACCGTCCGTCGACGCTGGACCCGGCCCTGATGCGGCCCGGCCGTATCGACCGCAAGATTGAGTTCTCCCTGCCCGACCTCGAGGGCCGCGCCAACATCCTGCGCATCCACGCCAAGAGCATGTCGGTCGAGCGCGACATCCGCTGGGAGCTCATCTCGCGCCTCTGCCCCAACAGCACGGGTGCTGAGCTGCGCAGCGTCTGCACAGAGGCCGGCATGTTTGCCATCCGCGCCAGGAGAAAGGTGGCCACGGAGAAGGACTTCCTCAGCGCCGTCGACAAGGTCATCAAGGGCAACCTCAAGTTTAACTCGACGGCCACTTACATGCAGTACAACTAGTTCTATATCAATTTGTAGGAATAAGACAAAGGATACTTGACCTTTTTTTTGTCCTTCCATTGCTTTCCGACTCCAACGCTGCCCGAGGTGAATTAACAACATCTGACCATTTTTAGCACATGGAGACGCAATGGTTACAGCTGTCAACTGTATTGGTTTTTTCCTTGGAGACTATATACTGTGCTTGTTTATGCTAGTTACTAAGAATTCCTCGTGTAACATGACGAACAGGATGAGGATGAGCGTTTAACCGTCGGCCAGCCAAAGTATGCCGCAGACTAGCTTGAAAAAAAAAATTCCGAAAAAAAAAAGGAGACAGGGTATGATGATGGGATATAAGCCCAAAACGCCGTTGTTGGATGTCAAATACAGAAAATAGGATGAATAAACTCATGATTCCCATAACCTGAAAGGAGCCTGAAAGAGGGAAGAAGGAGAAACCCGCGCGGCGTGATATATTATAACAGTTACCGGTACGCCTGGGGGGGGAATAGAAAGAGAAAGAAAGAAGAGAGAGAGGGGGGGAGAGGGAACAAGGGTGACACCACAGAAGTAAGGGGATGAAGTGTGTGTGCGCGTGCCAGCTTTCCCGTCCGGTCTGCAGAAGTCGTGAGGAAGAGGAGGGGAGGGGAGGAGGGTATTGTCAAGTTAATTGACACTGCCGTCGAGGGCGAGGTGACATGCCCAGCAGGCCACCTCCCCGCCGAGCCTGGCATGTTCGACGCAGCAGGTCCGACAGACTATGCTCTGGTGAACGGGGGCCCTCCACGACGTCCAGGCATCGTGGCGGCGGCGGCGGCGGCTACCGTCGTCGTCCTCGTCGTTGCTGTCGTCGTCCCCTGCGTCTGGGAGGGTCTGGAAGGATCGCGAGAGGGCCTCCTGCTCCGAGAGCGCGGCGGCCGACGTGCTGCCCCAGCCCTGGCACTGCCTGATGCATACGTAGCAGGTCCACTGGCCGCAGCCCTGGCAGTGGGCGAACGAGTCGAGGTGCGTCTTGCGTGTCGGGTGGCGCGAGCAGATGTGGCAGGGCGTGGTGATGGATTCCCTCGCCGTGGCAGGGACGGCCGCCGCCGCGGTCACGGTCGTGGCAGAAGGTTGGCTCCTGTGGTGGCGAAGATCGCCGTGACCGCCGTGATGTATGCGTGCTCGCTTAGGAGGGAGAGGGAGCATCTTGCGGGGGGGAGGCTGTTGATGCTGATGCTGATGCTGGTGCTGGTGCTGGTGCTTGGCGCCGTTGTAGAAAGCGTACAGGTCGCAGTAGTATTCGTCCGAGTCGTCCGAGTCCAACCTCGTGCGCTTCCGCGTCGCTGATTCGACGAACGGCATGGCGTGTATGCGTATGTGTGTGTGAGGTGTTTCTAGGGGATACGTCGTTGTATACGATCGATGTCTGTTTCTCGTTCTCCTCTCGTCTCTCCTTCCCTCCTCAGCCGCCGCAAAAAGGGAGGAGATATAGGGAAACTTTTTCAAGGATATCTCTTCCGTATATCTTTGGTGATGGGAGAGGCAGACTGATGAAGAATAGAGAAGATGGGAGGGGGGGGGAGCGAGTGAATGGTGCTTCGAAGCTGGAGAAGCAATGCTCCCGTGGAACCAGGGCTGAGGGGAAAGGATGCTGTGCAGCTCGTTTGCTGGCTTATGTCGAGACAGTGCAAAGGTCTATGCGCGTGAAGCAGCCATGGCCCATGGGAGTTTCCCTTCCCATCGGCACAAATCCGGTTAATCCCTCTACTCTAGCTTCTGGCAGTTTTTGCGCCACCAGTAAATGGCTGGGGCCTTTCACAAGTACTACTCTAGGGGGCGGGGAGGCTGGGCAAGTTGCTCAGCAGCATGAGAATAAGCCACAGTCCACTCTTACTTCGGGGGGGGGGGGGGGCGGTTTAATCCATTACGAGTTGATATGTGTTTTAGTGGAACCACGGTAGCAGTCGATGTGCTGTATTGATCCCTCCGTAACTACGACCCAGCGCAGCGTAACCATGGACGCCCCGGGCGTCCATCGATTGTACGGGTTACGGTAGGACTCCGTAACGTGTTTTCCCGAGAATTCCCTACTTCTCCCTTGAGAATTCACGAGTTGGTCAGCATTCGATGCGCGTCGCAAAAGTGTCGATCAGCCCGATTTGATCCATCACAACATGCGGTTTTTTTTTCCTTCCGCACAATCGAATCTGCAGGGCAGGATTTTCGGATAATATAATGACTAAAAAAAAGATCGGACGTACTCTTCCATTGCTTGTCGTTCACTCTTACAGCCGACAGACATGGGGGAAGGAAGGATGGATGACAAAGTGAAAATTGAAAATATAGCATGTTGGATAAAAAAAAAATTGTATGATTTTACACTCTAGCCTTTTCGCGCTTTCCCTTCTTCCTCCAAAATCACAACACGTCCAATCCTACCCGCCTCCGCTGACAAGGGAAGCTCTCATCTAGAGGGGGCGACTAGTATACACGCGAGAACCCAAGCAGGGTAGGTAGGTTGAGTTTTTTTTTTTAGTTTTCTTTTTGTCGTCTGAAAAAAAAAAAGAAAAAAAAAAGAGAGGACCGCCCCCCTCCGAGTCAGAAATGGTTCATGAGATGATGCTTCGACACAACGCAAAAGGAGAGGGGAGAGAATTAGTGGCGGATCTTGGTCTCGGCAGGAGGGTCGTAGGCAATCTTTCTCGACTTGAGCCAAGCCCACTTGTAGCGCTTAGCGTAGACGCTCAGGGCCCAGAGGATGGTCGAGGAGACGAGCACCTTCATTCCCATCTTCTTGCGGTCGTCCATCTCGGGCTCGGCAGCCCAGTTGAGGAACTCGACGACGTCCTTGGCCATCTGCGAGGTCGAGGCGGGGGTCTCGTCCTCGTACTCGATGAGGCCGTCGTACAGGACGCGGCCCATACCGATGCCGGTTCCGGGGAAGTAGGGGTTGAAGTTCATACCGGGGGCGACGGTGACTCCCGCAGGGGGCTCCTCGGGGTAGCCGGTCAGCAGGCTGAAGATGTAGTTGCAGCCACCGTGGCGGGCCTTGACGATGAGGGACAGATCCGGAGGGAGGGCACCCTGGTTGGCGAAGCGGGCCGCCTCCTCGTTCTTGTAGGGCGACGGGATGTAGTCGGCCAGCTTTCCGGGACGCATGCCAATCTCGCCCTGTTCGTCGGGCTCACCGGGGTACTCGTTGGCCTCGGCCAGCTCCTTGGCCTCGTCGACCGTCAGGATCGATCCGACCAGAGTACGGTACGGAATCCTGCTCAGCGAGTGGCAAGAGGCGCAGACCTCCCGGTAGACCTGGAAACCTCGGCGGAGACTGCCGTACAGGGCAGTGTCAGTAACAACAGATGGTTCATGCTGACGGTGTCTCGTGGACACGGCGAGAGGATGAGGAGAGAGAGATAGAGAAAGGGGGAAAAAAAGAGTCATTTTCTTACGCCTGATGGTCGTAGGTCTTGAACCACTGCTCGTGAACCCAGGGGTAGTTGGTAGGGTGAAGACTGTTGCGTCCTGTCAGCATCACACGGTCGTCAAGGGTGGACTCGGGCGTAGCGGTTTATTGCCGCAGTAGTGTGAGATGGCCGTGGAGTGAGCGTGTCCTCTGCCAGCTGTCGTGATAGGGAGGGGGAGAGTTGACATACCCTTCCTCAGCAGGTGCCGAGGCGTAAACCTGAGGTCCGTACAGGTGGTAGTACCAGGCGACGGAGCCGACGGCGAGGGAGGTAGAGATGGCGGCGGCGATGTTCTGGCCCGTGGTGGCCGATTCGTTGGCGGCACCGGAGCTGGTCGAGGCGGCACGCTAGAAAGAGGAGGAAAAATTGATCAGCGTGAAGTTCCATGACGGGTGGATATACGGCCAGAGACGAATTGACGCCTGTCGTATCGGGGGCGTTGCGGTTGTTGTCCTCTCGTTGTGTGTTTTTTTTTCCTCTCTCCCACAAGGGGATCTCTCTCGATTTTCGGGGGGTGAACCCAAGGGAATAAACGGGGGGACGGATCGGCTTACCTTGGAGACGGCCGTCGATCCGTTTCGGAGCCCATTGAGGGCGCGCGTTGAGCGCAGAGAAGTCCTTGCCCACATGACTGTCGAACTGACTGCTGTCCGCAGAGGAAGCCGGAAAGGGAGAGGGTCGGCGATGGGAGGGATTGTTGGGTATCTGGGTCGGAGGACGAAAAGGCTCAAAGGAACGAGGCCAATGTCCATCCGTCAGAGAAAATCCAGCGTTCCGAAATGGGCCGACGCTGATTGGCTGAGATCACGTGAGCCGCCGGAGCTCAATCTTACCGCAATAGCAGACAGCTGTCCCGGCTCCTTTTTTTGCTGTGGCGTCGGTTGTCACCCAGACAGGTTTGCCCTTTTGTCCGCGTCCACACAGCAGAGCCTCAGGTTTCCTTTTTTTTTTTTCCGCTGTGGCTGGTGAGCGGTCCCACAACGTCGGGCTAGAATTTTTTAATTTTTTTTTTTTTCCTCGACCACCCCCTTCCCTGCGTCCCGGTTTTTTTCCGCTCCGATTGTCTAGGCTTTTTTTGGGGCTTGAGCATTTAAATCCGCTTTTTATTACTAATATTTTAGACACTCTCCATTGCTGCATGCAAATTGCGTATCTACATGTCTGATTTATGCCCGTAGGTGGTGTATGACTGCAATACTGACAAGCAGCTCCTTTTGTCACATTGCCCCGCCCCCACCATAACAAACACACAACGACAGCAGCAGCAGGCACTCAAACTTGCAGACAAGCCAGTACGGAGAGTAAATTATCGACATCTTCTTGCTCATACCATCGCATACCGATACCATCTCCGCAACATGACTGATTCTAAAAAGATCTTCTCCCTCGAGGGCAAGGGTCTCAAGCTCGACACCGAGGCCGACCTCGAGCCTCATATTGCTCCCCTCCGCGAGCAGGACGATGTTGAGGAGGTCAGGCTCCTGGGTAACACGCTCGGTGTCGGCGCATGCAAGCTCCTCGGAGAGGTTCTCGCCACGAAGAAGGGGCTCAAGGTATGAAGTCCATGAGCCGGAGAGTAGATGGACGGGAGTTCACAAGAAGAGTGTCGTGCTGACCACGGACCCTCCACCAACAACCCAGATTGCCAACCTGGCCGACATCTTCACGGGCCGTCTGCTCAACGAGATCCCCGAGGCTCTTTCGTCGCTCCTGACGTCGATCGTCAACCTCCCGAACCTGACGACCGTCAACCTCAACGACAACGCCTTCGGCCTCAATACCCAGGCTCCCCTAGTGGCCTTCCTAGAATCGCACGTGCCCCTGCAGCACCTGTACCTCAACAACAACGGTCTGGGCCCGCACGCGGGGATCCTGATCGCCGACTCGCTGTCGAAGCTCCACGACAAGAAGGAGGCTGCGCGCAAGGAGGGCAAGACGGTCCCGAACCTGGAGACGGTCATCTGCGGCCGCAACCGCCTGGAGAATGGCAGCATGACGGCCTGGGCCAGGATGTACAGCCTGCACAGCGGCATCAGGGTCGTCAGGATGGTTCAGAACGGCATCCGCCAGGAGGGCATCGCGCACCTGCTCAGCGAGGGCCTCCGCGGCGCCAAGGGCCTCGAGGTCCTCGATCTCCAGGACAACACCTTCACCATCAAGGGCGCCAAGGCGCTCTCCCGCGTCCTCACGGCCTGGCCTTCCCTGCGCGAGCTCGGCGTCGGCGACTCCCTCCTCAAGGCTAAGGGCGGCGTCCTCGTCGCCGCCGCCCTCGCCAAGGGCGGCAACAGGAAGCTCGAGGTCCTCCGCCTCCAGTACAACGAGATCACGGCCGATGCCGTCAAGGGTTTCGCCGACGCCGCCAAGGATGCCCTCCCCGCCCTCAGGAGAATCGAGCTCAACGGCAACAAGTTCGACGAGGACCTCGACGCCGTCGTCGCCCTCCGCAACCTCCTCGACGAGCGCAAGGAGAAGGCTGGCGCCGCCGCCCAGGGCGCCGCCGACGAGGACTGGGGAGTCGACAGCCTCAGCGACCTCGAGGAGCTCGACAGCGACGAGGAGGACGATGACGAGGAGGAGGAGGAGGAAGACGACGAAGAAGACGACGCCGCCACCGAGGAGAAGGTTGAGAAGCTCATCAAGGAGGCCGAGGAGGCTCAGGAGGAACCCACCGTCCAGCTCAAGGACTCCAAGGTCGACGACCTGGTCACGAAGCTGAAGAAGACGGAGATTTGATTCTCTTGCCCTTCTCCACTGGTTCCCCTCTATATATAATGTCTCTCTCCTCTCTATAAAGGCGTGCACACTCTCTTTTGTCGACCCCTCATCTGTTCCTACGACCATTCCTTTTTTCTTTTTTTCTTTTTTTTGCATACAGAGAAAAACAAGAAGAAAAATATTACATACAACAGCACACCGGTTTTTTTCCCTTTAGAATCGAGCGCTCCAAATCTACTTTCAATACCCCATGTGCTCTGCAGACCTCAACTCATCATTCACATCGGCAGCACCTACTCGTTTCAGAGGGTGCCTACTCGTTTCAGAGGGTGCCTGTCGGTATACATGTACGGGTAGTCCTACCCCTCACCACCTGAACTCTCACGAATGACTGGTGATGTAGAAAAGTAGAAAAGGCAAATTGGTATATTTGCCCCCCCCTCTCCTTTTTGTTTTCCAATGCCAACCACTAAACGATGCTGCAAATGATATGTGCGCCAGAGCCTTGGTATCAATGCTTCCCTGTGTCCTCCTCCACATGATTATTTTCTTTCCTTTTTCCTTCTTCCTTTAGTATCCATGTTTCCATGTCAAAGGCTCCAGTTTCCTCCCGGTAGCAGATCCCTCTTGTCCATCTGTCTCTTTTCACAGGAAAAATACTAGTACTGGTACTGCTAGCCGTATATACAACCTCGACAGATCCCGCAGGCCGATAGCTACAAGTCCGAGATAGACGCAGTCGTCTCACGAGAGGACAAAGGGAAGAGAATGCAGGCATGGAAAGGGAATAAGTCTTCGGCCATCCCACATGCTGCTAGCTGCCGTAGAATTTCGTTCGTTGTCGTGTTGTCGGCTCTCCTTTACATCATGACATCCATGGTATCGGGCTGACCGCCACGGAGGTGCTGAAAGGCGCCATACTGGGTAGCCATGTCGACCTGCTGCTGCTGACGGGCAAAGTCGGGTCCCATGTAGACCGGGTCTGTGGCCTGGCTGTAGGCCTGCTGCTGCCTCTGCTTGGCGGCGAGCTCCTTCTCTCGCTCGCGGCGCATGAGCTCCTCGTACCCGGAATACATGTAAGGTTCGCTCTCGGCCGGCTGGGTGTGCCACTGCCCGTCTATCCCCTGGCTTGACTTGGCAGTGTTCTGTATGGCCATCTGCTGCTGCTGCTGCTGCTGCTGCTGCTGCAGTTGTTGCCGTCTCAGCTGCTCTTCCTCTTCCTGCTGCTGCTGCTGCTGCTGCTGCTGCCGCTGCTGGTTCCTCTCGTAGCGGATGTGGGCGATCTGCTCCTCCTGCTCGAGGGAGGTGCTGCTCCAGGCGAGCGAGGGGATCTCACCCCCACTGTTTGGGGGGAAGATGCTCCACAGCTCGAGGAGGCGCCTCTTCTGGGCGTGGTCGGCGACGCGGAACAGGTGGAGCTGAGATGGGGTCAGGCTGTCCGGGTTGACGCCGTGGATGCGGAGGGCGGCCTCGGCCGTCATGGAGTCGGATGCAGACCGGGTTTGCTGTTGCTGCTGCTCGGCGACCTGGGGGTGCGACACATGGGTCGAGTGATGATAGTGCTGGCTGGCGGAGAAGGCGGGGCTGGCGAGAGAGGGTTCACTGGGGACCACCATGTTCCTCGGGACGCTCTGCACATCGTGCTGGCTGAAGGTCAGATTGCGGGAGAAGAGAGCGGCGAGCTCGTCATGAGCCGCGGCGGACGGCATGCTCTGCTGGACGAAGGCCATGGTTTCTCAACTGGTAGAGAGGGCAGGTCAGTAAGAACATCACAGGGAAAGAATGTGTTAAGAGAGGGGTGGGGGTGATATTATGGGGAGGAAGGAGGAGGTAGTGGTCAAATTCATAGTACATGTATAAGAGTGTGAGAGAGAGTGATCTAGTCAATGAGCGAGGCAGGAAAGAGTCTAGCTTTCTCGGCTTGCAGCTTCCTTTTCTTCTTTTTCTTCTTCTTCTTCTTCTTCTCTTCTTTTGGTTCTCCTCGGGATATTTCAGGAAAAGGCTCTTCTTTTTCTTTTCTCTCCTTTCGGGCTGAGACTGCGTCTGGAGGCAACAAGATATGAGGGGGGAGGGGGGCAAGTGAACGGATGGAACGAACGCGGGGTGGCCTGTGTCAGAATGCGTGCGTTTTGTGTGCGTGGGCGTGCGTGTGTGTGTAAACTGTCCCACGGAAGATGCGGGAAGGAAACAAACGTCTGTTCTATTCGGCTATGCTAAAGAGATTCGAAGCGAGTATATAAATCTAGAAAGAGGGGAGAAGAAGAGGAAGAGGGAGAGGAAGAAGCAAGTGAGAAGACAGAGCGGGAGAGAGAGGAAGAAATGGGGTTCAGGCAGGCCACTTCTCATTGACACAATGAATGCCAGCCTGATCAGAGGGCGGTGGATTTTAGTTGGGTTGCGTTGGGTCACAAGACTGGGGTCTCTGCGTGCTAGAGAGATCTAAAAAAGAGGGGAGAGGGCCCTGGAGGGGTGGAGGGACAGCTAGGACACCTAGGACACCTACTGACTGAGACAGATATCCAGGTCTCTCAAGGGCTGTCACCCAGCCGAATTGCAGGGCGTTATATCGACACAGATACGTATAGTATCCTGCTGTCTGTAGGGGTTTTTTTTTTTTGGTAGTATTTTTTCATACATCTTTTCATCCTTGGATGATGTCTCTCTGCCTCTTACATGTACAGTGTGACAGGGTGAGGGGCGAGAACCGCTGACGGGAGAGAAGGTGGGGGGTTGGGTTTTGCTGCTCCGTACATGTACAAGAGGTGGCATGATCAGTATCATTACATCTCCAGCGGGGTACACCACTGTAATATATATCCCTATTGGGGTAGTACAAGTACTCGTACAGGAAGCTCATCCACTGTACAGATTACAGATACGGTTTACGGAGAAGTATATTATGTACGGTAGTAATCTGTACTGCTGCACTGCTGTAGTGCTAAAAATACAAGTACATATACGTGTCTCTTTGCCAGGGGGTTCCACTTCTAGGCGACGGGACAGATCCCAGCAGACCCCCGAGCAGGCCAGGGTGAGCTGCTGATTCAAGGCAAGAGCTTACACCTTGACCGGAGCAAAACTCTGTCGTCGCCGTGAACTGCGTCGACAACGCTGTCTTCCCTCCTTTCTGAGACCCCGTCAGAGACAGCCAGCACCTAGTCTCGGGCTGCTGTGGCTGCCCACCTTGAATGTGTTGTGTCGATGGCTTCGACGGTCCCAGATCTCAAGATCCTGCACCGGCAACGACATCATCGCGTCCACCCTGAGCAGGGAGGTACTCCGGGCAGGCAATTCCCGCTGGTTGGATCGGTCGGAGCGTGGACTTGTTCAATCGTCGCTTTCCGGGTACAACCGTCTTCCTGGCTCGCCGTCGACAGCAGATTGAAGGCGGTGTATGGTCTTGACGGCACGCTTCGACCCGACGCTGCGGAGACTGCCATGGCCTTGCAGACGCGTGGCATCTAGCGACGACGACGACGACGACGACGACGGAGATGTTGGGTCCCTGGCAGCCAAGCCTCACATCCCGTCCGGCAACGTGCGCTCTCGGAGCTCGTCCCCCGATAAGAAAGACTACACCCAGACACTCCTCGGCACTGAGACGCGTGGCAAGAGATCGGTCGTCATCTTTTGCGGCGACGGCACCAACGATGCTGTTGCTCTCGCGCAGGCTACCATTGTCGTCCACGTAAACGAAGGCACTGACGCCGCCCGGTCGGCTGCCGACGTGATTCTCGTGCGTGCGTCCTTCCCCGGGTGGCCTGCTGACACTGATGAGCGTCAGTCGCAAGCCGGTCAACAGCATCCGGTTCAACTTTTGCGTGGAGCTTCGTGTACAGCGTCTTCGCCGTCCGTCTCGCCGCCGGCGCTGCTGTCAGCGCGAGGTTCCCTCACGGAGTTTTCCGGACTGGCCGAATAGGTCAGCATGCTGTCCGTCGTTGCCGCTGCTGCGCTCCTGCTCTGGTCCTCGATATAGGTGTAGGATCCCGCCTTCTTGGGGCAAGCAGCAGCAGGCCTCGCTTCTCTCAGGAGCTTATTCGGCCGAACTAGCCGTCGTCAGGATGGGATGTGAGAGGCCTGATGCCATGAAACCCCAATCCCTGAGTACAGATCAGCTGCGGTCCTGTCGTTTTCAGCAGTCGCTTCCTTCTCCGGACTGGCAGACGGCATCTTGAAGGGACCCGACCCTCGCCGTCCTTCATCTGTCCTGATCAATGGATGGATTCCTTATTTTCAGACGTCACTTTCCGACGGAATAGTCGCGGATGACCGGGCTTGTAGGTCCTCGCCTCATCTGCTATTACTCCATATAGCAAAAAAACGTTCTCGGAGTAGTATTCGTAACCTGATACCGTCTACGTTTGGTGCAGACGAGATGCAATACCGCTGCTCTCTCGGGAGTATCTGCGCAAGTCGCATGCTGGAAATACGAGGGCATGCTAAGAGTAGTGTTCACTTTGTGTGGCAATCAGATAGCTCGTGAGATGAGCTTTCGCCTTGAAACTAGCTGTAGACTAGATGTCTCCACAAGAGCAGGAGCACGGAGTAGAGGCAGAGAGAAGGGTTGATATGTAGGGTCAGTAGGGACAATCAGTCTATTTGTTAGATGTCGACGTAACTCTCTTTCTTTCTCCTTTCTCAGTTCAGATACTGTGATGGGAGAAGAGCTCAGCGAAAAGTATGTTTAAAAGAAACAGGAAGTTTCCTGAGGCTTCGATTGATGTGATATTGATATATGGGATGTTTCTTCAAAATACGGAGTATCAATGGTTGTAGGGTGAGATGGACAATGATACCAGCCACATAAGAGCCTCAACGAGATGACACAGCCACATATCCCACAACGCCTCAAGCCGCCATCTGTGGCTAGTGCCGACCTGGCGAACTGCCAGCCATGAGAGGGCAACACGCAGCTCTCAGGCTGCCTAGTGCAGCTACCGTCCACCTCATCCCGCCTCAAGGACCCAGATCCAAAAGCTCTCCCCCTCCACCTACGCCGCTCTTCACCCGTCGTATCTGCCTGCCTCCGAATCTGCAGCTGCCAAAACATAGCCACCGACACACAACCCCCCGAGCCCGGAAGACAACCATGGTGAGGATGAAAAAAGGGCATTTCCCCGCCCCCATCGTCATCATCAACCATTCTTTCCCCACACGCGAGCCGCGATGATGACCTCGGGAGAGAGGATGACAGAGATAGAGAGAGCTTTCTTGCTAACGATACCGCGCGAAGACGTCCATAGGCACGGGCTACGACCTGCTCAACTCCATCTTCTCCCCCGACGGTCGGAATTTCCAGGTCGAGTATGCAGTCAAGGCGGTCGAGAATGGAGGTACATCCATCGGTATCCGGGCCAAGGACGGCGTCGTCCTGGCCGTCGAGAAGATCATCACCTCGAAGCTGTTAAAACCTGGTGCCAACAAGCGCATCGCCACCATTGATTCCCACGCAGGAGCTGTATGCCAACACTCCCTCCCCACCCCCAAAAAAACCCCAACCCCTCCTCACCCTCTTTTTCTTTCCCCGAACCTGTCGAGGCCCATCACCATCACCGACCCCGCCGCAGCGGCCTAGCTAATGACTTGCGACACATTCAGGTTTACTCCGGCATGATTCCCGACGGCAGACACTTCGTCGACCGCGCCCGTGACGAGGCTCAATCATGGCGGTCGACGCTCCGTACACCGATCCCGACGTCCGAGCTGGCCTCGCGCATGGGCAGCTACCTCCAAGCCTACACCATGTACGGATCCGTCCGGCCCTTCGGCATCACCGCCATTGTCGGCGGCGTCGACCCCTCGGGCGACGAGGACCTCGACGGCGTTGTCGGCTCCGGGCCCTCGTGCGGCGCTGGCGGCAAGATCCCCGGGAAGCACGGCGGGCCCTTCCTGTACATGATCGAGCCCAGCGGCCAGTACTGGGGCTACTACGGTGCCGCCACGGGTAAAGGCCGTCAGGCCGCCAAGGCGGAGCTCGAGAAGCTCGACCTGCCCGCGGGCAACATCACGCTCGAGCAGGCGGTCAAGGAGGCCGCCAAGATCATCTACCACGCCCACAAGGACAACAAGGATAAAGATTTCGAGCTGGAGATGACCTGGATCAGTACCATCGACGGCCCTACCAAGGGTCGCCATGTCGAGGTCCCCAAGGAGCTCAGGGAGGAGGCTGAGAGGCTGGCCCGTGCCGAGGACGAGTCCGACGACGAAGATGATGACAAGAAGGATGATGAAAAGATGGAAGAATAAGGTATCTAAAAACAAACAAAAAATCTTCACAACAACACAAAAATAAAGTCAAATCAAAGGGGGGCGCGGGGTGCAATGTAGTACTATTCCATGCGACAGTCATAGAAACATAATTTTTTTTTCCCTCGGAACGGACCAAATTCCGTAGAGAAAAAGAAAAAAAAGAGACATGAAATGAAATGAGAAACTTTTTGTTCTTTTGATTGATTGCTTTCTATACAGAAAAGAAGAAAATATGAGAGCCCATTTCTTTTTTTTTTAAAAGAAAAAAAGTGGTATACATTGTGGTTGGTTATATGGTCACAACTGATGTAATGGGTATCAAGACGACTGCTGGCGAGATGCCATGTTCTGAGACCAGTTGTACCACTCCTGGAAGAAGGACGACTGGACCTTGCCCTGACCGAGAACCCAATCTGACCAGGTCTTTGCGTAGACGGCGGCGACCTTGCGGATTGAAGACCTGTCGATGGCGAACATTGTCGACGCGACGATGAGACTGGCGGAGCTGGCAGCCTTGGCGTAGGCGTGGGAGTCGTCCTTGGCGGCCTCTTCGTGGATCTCGATAAGCTGAGATATGAGCTCATTGACCTCTCCTTCATCTCCTTCTTCTCCTTCTCCTTCTCCTTCTTCTTTATCAGGGTCCTCCTTACTACCGCTGCCGCTACCGCCGCTGCGAGCCTTCTTCAGGGCAGCCTGATACTGACGGATGGAGTCGGCAGATCTGGAGGCCAGATCCTTCCTGGTGGTGGACCGCATGAGGTTGAGGAGGGGGAGGAGCAGGGACAGGGCGGCCGGGTTGGCGGCCTCCTTCCTGACGTAGATGTTGACCAGGTCAAGGATGCGGTGCTTGAAGTTGACGACGGTCTGCTTGGCGTCCTTCTTCTGCTTGGAGGCTGGGTGGGCCCGCACGCTTTGCTTGAGCACCTCGGACAGCTTGCCGTCCATAGCCAGCATCTGCTCATCCGTCATGTCCTGCTCGTCTTCGGACGACTCGGCCTCGTCGTCCAGGTCTAGACGGTGGCTCTTGAGGATGTTGCCCAGCTCGTCATCTATGTCTATCCTCAGAGACTCGGAGTCCTTGTTTTTCTTGTTCTTCTTCTTCTCCTTCTTCTTGTCATCATCATCATCATCGTCCTCGTCGTCCTCGTTATCTGAGCCATCATCGAAGTCCTTCTCCTCATCTAGATCGACAAACTCAACGTCAGAGTCGAGTTCGATACCAGGAGGACCACCTTTCTCGTCATCATCATCCGAACCGGATTCGTCGTCTTCTTCTTCGTCGTCGTCGACGTCCATGGCCTCGTCGTCCTCGGTGCTGAACAGCTCCTTCTGACCCTTTGTGCTCTCGCTCGAGGCCAGCGGGCCCGTCAGCAGCTGCAGGCCCTCCGGGGTGATCTGTGGGGTGAAGGACTCGAACACCTGCTGCGAGACGGCGCGCATCAGCGACGATGGCCGCGCAATCATGGACAGTAGGATCTCGACCAACAGCTCTGAGGCGCCCTCCTCATCCAGCTTGCCCCGCTTCAGGCGGTCTGTGAACTGCTCCAGGTCCTCGAGAACCTCCATCGCGTCGGGCTCCTCGTTGTACAGTTGCAGGATGGAGACGGCGTGCAGGACGGCCAGGCCCTGAGCCACGGGTGTCGGTGACGACAATCCTTCGTCATTCTTCTTGGATGACGGCTTGCGCTTGTTGCTGTTGCTGCTTTTGTTGTTGCTGCCGAGGAGCTTGGTCATCCGCGACAGGGCACCGTCCACGGCACCTTTGATCTCCCCCTCCATGGACACGGCGGTCGGGTCGATGGACGCCACGGCCCGGCAGAAGACGGCCATGCCTCCGCTCTGGCGGATCAGCTTGGCGAACGACGACTCGAGACGGGAGCGGCACAGCGAACGGACGGGCTCCGTCAGGAGTGAGCCGAGGATGTCGGCCGGCTTGGCGTAGGCCAGACGCGCGAGCTCCTGCAGGGCCAGGCCGGAACCGTTATTCTCGGCTGAAGACGGTGACGATGACGTCTCAGGGTTGCTGAGCGATCTGGACAGATGGTCGACGTACGTCCTCAGCGTGGACCGGGCGTCTGCTTCCTCCATCTTCGCGAGCTTGCCGATGGGCTGGCGGATGACGTCGAGGCACTCCCTCTCGTGGGTCGCGTCCATGCTGCGCAGCAGCTTGTCCGTGGTCTTGGTGTTGGTGCGCTGGTCGAAGGCGTAGGCGCCGTTCTTGCCCAGAAGGCCCCGGAGTATGACGGGCAGGGAGGCGGGGTGGGAGGCGGCCGTCGCCTCCATGGCACCCAGGGCCTTGGTGGCCGAGCGGTGGACAAAGCGGTCTTTCTTGGCAGCCTGGTTCATGAGGCACGACATGAAGTTCTTGCTGAAAAGGCAGGCGATCTTGGCGGGCTGGTCGACCAGTCCAGTGAGCATCTTTTGGAAGACCATGAAGCCCTTGAACTTTTGTCCATCTGTGGCACTCTTGGAGAAGAGACCGTCTGCATGGAAGTTGACAGTCTTAGTTTTAATTTTTTTCTCTGCGATTTTATTCCACATGACGGAGATATAGAACCAAGATGATGAATCAAGATAACGATAGAAGAAAACAATACATGGAAAAAACAAGAAGAAAAAAAAAGACTTACCGTCAACAACTCGAATCCAAAACTGATCAAAGTCTTGAGCACTGACAGTCTCCTTGGCAAAGTGAGCGAGGAGGGTATCCCATACGAAATGCAGCTGAGCTGTCCAGTTGGCTTGCTTGTTGGCCTGAGGGGGGCCGTCGCTGGTCTGCTGCTGCTGCTGCTGCTGCTGAAAGCTCTCCTTGAGCACGGAGGCCATATCGCACAGGGACTTGGGAGCGAGCGGGTTCTCCCAGGGCTTGATCCTGTCGAGGCGGGCGCGGGGGAAGCGTTCGAGGGCAGCCAGCCAGATGGCAACACCCTCGGGGGTCCTGGCGAGCCGGGCGCCGGCCACTCTCTCTAGCGTCTCGGCGGCCTGCTGCCCGTCCATCTGATCGAGGGCCTGGACGATGATCCAGCCGCACTGGGACCTCATCCAGACCTTTTGGTAGGCGAGCCGGAGGACCAGGTCGAGGACGGTGTGCCACCTGGATGGCGGGGAGAAGAGGACGCGCGACCGCACGAAGCACGTCAGGCCGAAGAGCTGGCCAAAGTAGTGGTCCCTCTCCTCCTGGCCAGGGATGTTGCCCCCGGCCGCCGTCTTGTCCATCAGGGAGCCGATGACGGCGTCAAACGTCAGGCCCTTGTATCTCGTCTCGCACAGCGGCATTGACGGGGTCTCTGCTCTGCCGTCCGCCCCGGCGTCGGGACCGCCGCCGGCTCCAAACAGCTGACTGAGGATCTCGGTGATGACGAGGCTGAAGCCCAGCCGGGAGGCGTTGCGACCGCTGGCGAGACCTCGGAACAAACGTCGGTTGAGGTGGCGCTCGAGGACGGACTCGTCGACGCCCTCGCCGTCGAGGAGGCTCGACACAATGCATCCGGCTGCTTGGAGGCGCTCCTTCTCATCCTCGCTACCTAGGAGCTCGTACAGTCCGGCCTCGCGTCGCCTCTCGTCGCCGACGGGCGACTCGACGAAAGGTGCGGGTTCCAGGCTGGGCTTGGTGCTCTGCGTCACTGCTGCTGCTGCTGTTGCGCCGCGGGCACCTCCATTGGCCATCTTGGACTTCTTGCTGGGATCAGAGGCATCCTTGGAGCCGCGCTTGCGTTTTCCGCCCATGTTTTCTGATTGAATAGAGGTTGAATGTCGCTACGTCTAGAAAGCTCCAAATCTCTAAGCAATCTAATTCATTATTGCAATTTACCCTACGTAGACGGTAAAAAATAAAAACCTTACAAAAAAAAGATTCTGCCAGCTCCGACCGCCAAAGACCCCCACCAGGAGAAAACCAGTACTATGCTCACCGCCTGCCTATTACGATAATGCATATAACTGCCACTGCCGTGATATAGGCTTAAGATGTTGGTGAATATAAGTGCACGGGTCTTGGACGCAATCAACAAGAATTGGTTTCATATTACGACGATGCTTCTCCTCTCCTACCGATGTTCCAACTGGGGGAGGATTCCGCCCTCGGGCCATTTAATATGACTCATTATTCCTTCTTTGGGTACTGAGGATGGATGGATCCGTCTGATCAACCGGGAGTTGGGACTTGCATGAATGGAACAAAGTCTCGACGACGGGTAGCGCATCAGATGAAATATCCTGCGTGAATAACAATAACAAAAAAGAAGGAAAAAAGGAAAATAAGGGACAATAAGGGGGGGGGGGGAACAGAATAAAGGGGGAGAGAGAGAGAGAGAGAAAAAGAAGAAAGAAGAAAGAAAAGAAAACAAGGCTGATAATGACATATGAGAGAACAAAAGAAGGAGAAGAAAGAAGAGAAGACATAAAAAAACCGAGAGAGAGAGGATCTTACTATTTTAGTATAGACGGTTTGAACAAGGGACAAGCATGAGAGTAAAATTGGCCAGAATACGTGGTCGCTTCCATTCCAATAAAAATCAGATCCAGACTCCATTGCAATTTCAGCATCCCCTGGGGTTCTGAAGGGCCAAACTCGTCGTGGTATGCCCGCCTACGAGTAATGCTCGTACGTGTAGCCCCCCCTCCTCCCCAGGGACCGGGGGATTACTGTTACCCTAGATACTAGCCCGGGATATTTGTTCATCCTTTTTTCTCTTCTTTTCTTTCTCAACATGATGAGTCCGTTATTACTACTCGCGATCATCATATCGTACAAGGCCTTGTAAATATTACTGGTACGACGGGTCTAAGAGGGGAGGGGAGGGGAGGGGGGGGGGATGTGCGTAGACGAGGGCGTGCAAAGTCGGAAATTTGATGGGGCAAGGCGGAAGTGGTTAATGACGGGAGGAAGGATGCCTGATATGTTGACCTGTTCTTGTTTCTGTCATGTTCTTCATGGTTGTATTTACGAGTATAAAACGGCGAGACGAAGATGAGCGCATCTAAGTTGAACGAGGTACGGGAGTGTATTGCGGTGCAGTATAGTATATAGATGAAGGTGTATATATATTCTGCGTTAGAGCCCAAATGTGTAATGACAATCATTGTGCTCGTATGGCAGCGCAAGGGGAGAGGAACATCGGGACCAGAAAGGCTCACTGTCATTAACTTGGTATCTGTGCTCGGACATGTCAAGTCAGTCAATCAATCACCCCCTTTCTTGGCCACCGGAAGGGAGAGGGTGTGCGAGAGGGAGAAATTGGTCTCGGGCCAGATGACTGTACAGGTTTTGAATGATAGAAAACGTGTACAGAGATTATTTTATACAGAGGGGGTAAACAAAAAAAAAAAGGGGGGGGAACACAAGAAAGGGTCTCACGTCTCACGGGTTTTTTATATATATATGTATATTTTAATCTGTACATGTACTCGTACGAGTAGATTCAATATTAACGTGGTTGTAGGTTAACATCCTACGTATGGAGGCAAGGAGTCAAGGCATATATTATTATTATTATGATTATTATATATGTATGTATATAAGGGAGAGAGTAATATGAAGTGGACACACGCATATACACCAACAAAGACGACCGTGGCTGGCCCGGGCCCGAGACTTTTGAGGGTGGGCCGAAAGTTGTGTTTGCATGTGCGGGTGAGACGATTGGGGGGGGGGGGGTTTACTTTATACATTAAGTATAATCTATACCCTATACTCGTATTATAGAGAATTTAGTCGACCAACGTTGTGATGTTGGACGGCGTCCGTAATTGATGTGTGATGAAGGAGATTCGTGGTGAAGAAGAGAGAAGGAAAGGAAAAAAAAAAGAAAAAGAAAAAGAATCACGTGACTTCGCGTCATGACAACATTGCCCCGCACCAGTCGACGCGTTTCTTTTGTTTACTTTTGCTCTCTTTCTCTGCCCACACACAGCTTTCTTCTCGAGAGGCATCAATTGCGCCCGGACGCCAAAGAAAAGGGCCAGGATCACGGACAAGGAGAGAGGAGGGAGAGAGGAGGGAGAGAGAAGAGGGGAGCGGGGGGGGGGGGGGGGGGGGAGAGAAAGAGAGCTCGTGTATAACTGCACATGTCATTATTTCATCACTTTCTACCGAAAATATACCATCTACACACAAAAGTCTTTCTTGACTACGCAATCGAGAGCAGGAGCGACCTGATGAACCTGATGAAGTACTCAGCAGAGACGAGAGAGGGCCGGTAAAAGGGAGAGAAGGAGAGGGAGAGGGAGAGAGAGAGAAACTCACCGCCGCGGTCAAGCCCATATTGATGGCAATTGCTACAAAGAGGTTTAATACATCGTAGACATCAGAGAGTCAGTCACACACACACACACACACACACACACACAATACACCAGACACAATTTGATCGGTAATAATACTACGGACCGCGTACAATGAGCACAACAGCGGGCACGCGCATACACATACACACGCACACATACACACCTACACACCTACACACCTATACATAAACATACCCCTGGTGAATCGGTGGATGATGTAATTGTCCGCGCGAGAGAAAGGGGTCCCCCCACTCAGCCCTTTCTTTTTTCGTGTTCCTTGGGATAAGCGCCTTGTACCGAAACAGGAAAAGGCTCTTGTTTCCCTGGTTGCTCGTCCAGACACTGGAGACAGAATCCACCGACGGAGGCTCCGTCTGGGTTTTCTGACACGCCGCACAGCAACGTAGTTGTATGGCAATCTACCGACACCTTTAGCAGTGCCTCGTAATCGCAGAGAAATGATGGTCCATGGTCAGCATTACAATGGAGCAGCACAGGGCTGGATCCAGTCCGGAGCGAGACGGTGGGGAGACCAGCCCGGACCTGTAGCAACAGACCTGTAGCAACGACAGGCCTGCCAGCACCCGTAGCAGGGGGACGCCCTGAGGAAGGGCACCGGGGAGCGGCATGCCCAACCACAGCGCTGTATCCGCGCCCGTCTCTGCACCCCAGCTGTTCCGTGGCCCGGGTAACGGTCTGAAGCTGGTCAGCTTGTGTTGTACGATCGATGACATCCGACAGCCTCTTACGAGTGATAGTAATAATAATAATACTACTCGACCTCACAGAAACTCTATTAACCCTTATGCATTCACGGCTACGCTTTCTCTCCTGCTGGGGTTTGCCATGGGGAGGTAATATGATATTACACACGTACGGGAAAAAAGAATACAGAACTCACGAGGAGGTCATCTGGACTGGAAAAAAAAAAAAGTCGCCAACTTTGGGAATTCGCGCCCCCCCCCCCCCCCCCCCCCCGCACACATTTCAGCTTTCGACCTCTCAGCTACCTACGAGTAACTGATACTGATACTAGGCTGCTATGTCTACAGATAGTCATTATATACTGCTAGACCATGACTATTACCACTACTGGTGCGATGGTAGCAGTACCTTTCCGTAACGGGCGAGCGGCAGTCCGTCAATCACGACTGTACCTGTAATAATCTGTAATCTGTACCCGTACGGTTTGAAGTTAATTCTCACGCCCAGAGAAAATCGAGAAGATAAAATAAAAATCCACAACGCCAAAAAAAAAAAAAGAGATGCACACGCCCCCCTCCCCTCCACCCTCCTCCACTCCCTCCACTCTCCCTCTTCCCTGTCTCTCGGTTCGGCCTTGCTCTGTGCGGGTTTTTGTCCTGTGCCAATGTGCATTTACCTGTGCCTGGTGCCTTTCCCACCTCTTCCTATCCGTTGCCCCCACTCTCTGATGCTGCGAGCGCGTGTGCGTCGTGCTCTGTACTTGCAGTTTGTGCCTGGCCACCCTGTCTGCCTGCTCTCCTTCACAAGGGAGATATCCGTACTCGTACATGGATGGGGACGGTATTGATACTCCGTACAGATTGGACATTACGGAGCGGATGGTATCATTAGCAGCTGTAGACATAGTTCCAGTTACGAGAGTATGCCGCACAGACGTGGACGGAGCATAATGAGGAGGAGATCCTCGACTAGGTACCATTATACCACCCACCACTGCCACCAGCCAAAACTGACTACCCAGGTACTCTCCGTACAGGTACGGACCAAGTATTAACCAGTATTAAACGAGTTAATACCACAGGTCTGGGGGTCCATCCATCAAACCTGGGCACCTCCAAGCACCGAGGGCACCAAGAAGACTGCGACTACGAGTACTGCCGTACCCATTGTCAGAAGTACCACCACCACAACCACCCCGTTGCCGTGCGAGACCGACGACGGGACGACCCCATTCAAAACCCGTTGCTCCCCTCATTCATCGGGACCTTCTCTTGCTCTCTTTACCTCCCCCACCCCTTCCCAATCCCTCAACCATCCCTTCGACTCTGAGGAACGGTAGGTTAAGGCCAAAAAGGCACAGTCAATCTCTCTCGCGTGTGTGTGTGTGTTGACTGGCCCTCGCTTTTTTGGTGGGTGGACGAAAGAGTCAAGAGCTTTTTTCTCTGCATCCCTCTCTCTCTCTCCCTCTCTCCCTCTCTCTATCTCCCCTCCCTCCTCTTAGCCCTTGATCGCCACAGTCAACCTTATCCCGGCGTGCTGCTATTCAGAGGTACGTCTCCCTTTCTCGCTCTTTTGGCACTGGCTCTTCTACTACTTGCTAGCAAGAGGTGAGAGCTAACAAGCTGCTCTTCTTACCAGAAATCTCTTTTTTTTAGAAGAAAAAAACCAACAGAATTCCTCGCCGACGTACCGTCTACCTGTCACGCTAGAAAAAAGAAGACCTCGAACAGTCGAGACTCGGTCGATCCCCTCTGCAACAGACGAAGGAGGGAAGAAGGGGGACAGAGAAGCGAACAAAGAAGACCAACACATCACATCAACCCCCTGCAGGGTGCCCTTGGTCCTCGCCTCACATGTCAATGCTCATGTCCAGCTGCACCGTCTTTGTCCTCGAAATCAACTTGCTTCGTCAATCCTGACGCCCCCCCCCACCCACCCGGCGTCCTGTCATTCTTTTCTTCTTCTTCTTCGTGTCCGGCAGGGCGTGTTTCTTTGCAAAAGAAGGGGTCCTCGAGTCATTCTAGCACCTAGACAACAGCAAAAGAAGAAGAGATATACAGCATCTCCCGGGCATTGCAGCATCAACTTAACTGTGACCCTTCGAAATATTTCTTCCCACGTCTATTCTTCCACGCTGCAGCTGGGCTCTTCGTCGTAGCCTCCTACAGAAAATCGACTTCCCCTTCTTTTTATCCTCCTTCGAATCAAGGTCGACACCCCTTCTTTCCCCCAACAACAACCCTTCGCATACACACACACACACGTCCGTCGACGATGGAGGCCTCTTCACCACTGGCTGCCATGCAGCCTTCGGCTCCCCTCTCTCTCTGGGGATCGAGCCAGGACCTGTTCCGTTCTCATCCTCACAGCCACTACGCCACTTCGACCGACAACTTCGGCAACAGGGCTCTGCGCCAGCGTCTGCAGGCGACCGACTATTTCAGCACCAAGGACTCCCAGACCTCCTCTCCGGCTGCTAGCCTGGCTGCCGACCTGTCGCAGAACTTCCGCATCGATAATGAAGCTAGGTTGGTGGCTGCTCTAGTACTCCCTTCATACGTACCGTGCCATCATCCTTTAGGTTTGCTGACCATGATTGCCGTCGTACAGTCCGCACTTTCCTACCCCCAGACGGGCCCTTTTCACCGCAAACATGATGGGTGGTATGGAGTCGAGAGGTAAGCGCGAGAGAGATTAGATGACACCACGGGGCGAGGGAAGGGAGGAACACACCGAAGAAAGATCCCTCCCATCCCACGACATACATCAATCATCCATCCGGAACCCCTTAGCTGACTCTTTCCTCCTTTCAGGTCTCTGCACCACTCCTCCCATACCCTCATCCTCGCCTGCTCCTACCCTGGAGACCATGGAGATGTCGCCGCTTCCCCACAAGGTGCCCTTTTCCACCCACTTCGACGTCATGTCGCCCACCCCTTCCAGCACCGCGTCGTCGTCCATGGACCGCAGCGACAGTATGATGCTCGACTCGCCGCCCCCTATCCAGAGGCAGTCGCTCGAGCCGTCCAAGAGCATGCTTCCCGAGTCAGTGTAGATCCTGTAGCTTTGCCCCCCACCCGTCCTCTCCCCGAGACTAACACCACGCAACAGCCGCAAGATCGCTGCCCTCCGTCGACCCTCCCTGTCGCGTAACAAGGGCCACAGCACCGGCAACGTCACCTGCCGCACCGACGATACGAGCTCGCTCCCCGCCTTTCGTTTCGGTGCCATCTCTGGCTTCAGCCAGCCCAGCTCCGGCCTGTCTCTTCACGAGTGCTTCGAGTCGGCCTCGCCGCCCCCCATCCGCCGACCTCACTCGGCTAACAGCCCCTGCGCCCCTGGTCCCATCCGATGCCGGCCACAGCTCGCCGGCATGAACCCCTCGCGTATCTCCTCGCCTGCCGGGAGCCACTCCCGCCGTCCGTCGAACCCCTACCTCCGCAGCAGGAAGCAGTTCCGCCGTTCGCTCAGCATGTACGAGCATCCCGCCGACATCATGAAGCCCAACCCCCAGACGGAGGAGCCCGGCTCCTCGAGCCCCCAGTCTGTCACGGACACCGACGAGGCCCCCGGTCCCATCCTGCCCCACTTCATGCCCGACGACCCGGCCGATACTATCCCCCGCATCTCGAATGAATGCCTGCTCGACCTGCTCGACGGCAAGTACTCGGAACACTTTGACCAGAAGATGATTATCGACTGCCGCTTTGAGTACGAGTACGAAGGCGGCCACATCGACGGTGCCGTCAACCACAATGACAAGGACCTCCTGGTCTCCCAGCTCTTCCAGACCCCCATGCACGGCCGCACCCTCCTCGTCTTCCACTGCGAGTACTCAGCCCACCGCGCGCCCCTCATGGCCCGCCACGTCCGCTCCGAGGACCGCACCGCCAACAAGGACAACTACCCCCACCTCACCTACCCCGAGGTGTACATCTTGGACGGCGGCTACAGCGGCTTCTTCTCGGAGCATCGCAGCCGGTGCTACCCCCCGGAGTACGTCGAGATGTCGGACGAGAAGCACCAGCGCACCTGCGAGCGCGAGATGGGCCGCCTCAAGCAGCGCAAGGCCGGCTTCAGCCGAGCCCAGACCTTTGCTTTTGGTCAGCGCTCACCGGCCTGCGAGATGGACTCGCCCACCGCCCCCGGCCGAGCCGTACCTAGGCAGCTCCCTACCTCCATCTTTGGTGCCTCGCCCATCTGGGAACGATCACAACCCACCCGGCGTATGGCGTCGTATTGATAGCATTGATCTTGCGTCGTCCCATGCGGTGGCCTCTGATGCAAACCAGCCCACCTTGGCCACCATACAACTCCCCCCACCTCTCCTTTGTTGCGTTGCCGGTACATGTTACTGCCTTCAATAGCATGCTTCTGTTTCGGTGAACGGAAACCCAGCATTCTGAGCCATTGATTTCGGATGACCCCATCGGATCACCTGGTGGTCTCCTGCCCCCCCCCCGCTCAAGAAGACGGACCAGAACGAATACGACACCCGACAATTCTGACCGACTTCGAAAACAGATCTTTTAGAGCTTCTCGCCGAGGCTGCAAATTCTCACGGTTCGATTGCTTTCTCAGACCTTAATCTCCTACGGCGACGTTTGAGAATAGCACGACCAATGTCTATACAACGAAACACACACACATACACGGCCCATCAACAAAGATGCATTAATACTATACACCAACACGCACACGCACGCACACGCACAAAAGATGCAATCGCAAAGCTTTCACAGCTGGTCGACTGTGCAATGTCGGAGCTACCCTCTTTTTCTTGACATTTGCTTTTCCGCATCAGAAAGTCCATTAATACTTCTTCCTGACGGTCCACGATCTGATCACACAAACAAACAAAACACCCCCCACATTCGCTTTCCCAACACCTATCGATGCGCGCATATACCCACAGACGACGGCATGCTCCCTTCATTTTATTTGTTTCTTTTGTCAAACATTCTTTTTTCTTCTTCTCTGTTTCTTGAGTCTTTTCTATCTGTTTCTTTATTTTGTTTTGTTTATTTTACCCCTTCTTCAACTGTGGATACTTTTGACAGGGGTGGCAGAATACCCTGGGAGTTTTTGTGTATTTCTTCTTCTCTTTTCTCTCTGACCCTTTCTCTCTTTTTTCCTTTTACTGTTTTCCTCTCAGAGTGTGGAGTAGACACACAGAGAGAGCAAGTATTCCCGGTGCCTCGCACAGAGAGGGCGGTTCCCTACAACATTTTCTTCTAGCTTCTTTTTTCTCTGTTGCTCATACACACATTGAACATTGAATAGACTGATTAAAGTCTGTGTCTCTTTTTTCTTTCCTCTCCTTTGCTTCACATTTCATGTACAGTTGGAGTGGGGGAGACGGGCTGCAGAATAGGTGTTAGAACCTGAATTACATGATATCCGTGCTTTGATCAACCTCTGCTCTATTTCCCCAGATGCTGCTTAGAGGCTCTGGTCGGACTAGACTACCCAGACGCATTGCCATATCTGAACTGACTTGAAATACCCTTAACGCCGGATGAGATGAGAAAAAGTGGACAGACATCCTGACAGTACCTACGAGGTAAAATCCCAATCTTTAAAGGCTTCCCTGAAAGCCTCGACATCCCTCGTCTCCTCCGCCTCTGTCTGCGCACAATCCTTCCAGATCAGCCTGTCCTCCAGACCCATGAGCTTTGCCAGGACGCGTCGACCGAACTGCAGGTCAAACCTCTGATCGGGGGACAGCGGCATGACGAGTGACTTACCCTGTACACCACCGGCATCGGGAGCAGCGGCAGCAGCAGCGGCAGCAGTTTTATTCCCAACGTCGTCATTGTCAGCGACATCACCACTGCCGGACCATAGCCATACGCGGAAGAAGTCGCCGGCACCGGCAAGGTCGGCGAGGCCGAGGGTCCGGGACGCTGGGACGGGGAGGTTCTGGTTCTCGGCCTCGACCTTGAAGGCTGCCTCGACCATGCCGGAGCGGATCATGTCGGCCGGGACGGGGACGAGCTGCCAGATCAGGTGGACGTTGCGGGCGCGGCTGATCTCCCAGGTGACGAGGCCGAGACGGTGGGATGAGCGGGAGGCCACCATGGCCTGAATGGCCTCGCGGAAGCGGTCCATCTCGCGGTAGGTGCGGGCCGCCTCGTCGCCGGGTATGGCGGATATGGTGGGCGCGTGGGGCAGGGGGATGATGATGAGGTGGCCGGGGAAGTCGAGGCCCCGGTCGGAGAAGGTGGACGAGGTGGGGAGGGGACCCTTGGCCACGGTCACGTAGGCGTCGTCGCCGATGGTGCAGCACATGTGCGACGAGAGGTTGGGGTTGGACAGGCAGAAGTAGCACCTGTCCGGCCCCGGAGGGGGGGATGCATGACGGCGCCGCTTACCGACGCCCCTGCTGCTGATGCTGCTGTCGTGATGGTTTCCGAAACGGCTGTAGCCTGCGTCTTCCCTGGCGTGTTTCTTACTACTGTCGGTGAAGGGGGAGGATGTGACGCCGGGGGGGATGGAGGTGTCGGATCGGTTGAGTGTGAAGGCGTACATGGCCTTGGCCTTTTCGGCGTTGCCGTAAGGAGCCATGGATATGAAGCGGGTGACCGAGACGGGGGCGTCTGCGCTGTCGTGGGCCTGGGATGGCGGCGGCGGATGCACGAACGGTTCTCGTTCGTAGAAGAAGGGGCCCGGCGAGGCGGAGATGTGGTAGCGCGGGCGTAGGGCGGCGCACAGCTCGGCGGCCTCGTCGGTGCTCTGGATGGAGGCTTGCTGGTCGGGCTGAAGAGCCGCGGTGGCCCTGGTGCCCGTCCACACCCTGGCTGGCCACACCGACGTCAGCAGTATGTCGGCCGAGTTGGCGCCTCGCAGGCTCCGGGCGTCGTCGGCCGTGTGGAAGGGCAGGTGCTGGTCCTGCGACTTGCCCTCCGCCAGCCTGGCGTCCAGCCGGCCACCCAGGGCGACGATGCGGATCCCCTCGGATGTCTTGGTCACGCTGCGCTTGCCCAGGAAGTGCAGGTTGGCGCAGACGTCCTCGTCGGCCTCGACCTTGGCCGCGATGCGCGCCGGCAGCTCGTGGTTGCCGACGGTGAAGTACGTCGGCAGCGGCACCTCGAGCGTGCCGTCCATCAGGGCTGTGATCGTCGCATCATCCGTCGCGGGGGAGAAGACGTCGCCCGTCAGGATGGCCAGCGTAAATCTGTTCTTGGAGTGGAGCGTCGCGAGCTTCTTGAGGGCCGGCGATAGGTTGTCGCCGTTGAGGCTGCCGAGAACGATTCTGCGAGGGCAAGAAGGTTGTATGTGTCAGTCTACCTAGGAAAAAAAAGGAACAGAAACGATAGGAGTCAAGATCATTCACTATAGGCTTGTTTTCTTACATCTTTGGGGCAGCCATAATTTGGGCCTTTGTGCTGTTCGAAAGGGATCGCCGGAGTGGCGCTGGAGATGTTTGGAAAGTAAAGAGAGTTAGTTGATCAATAAATATCTAGCAACGCATTACTGGCTTGCTGGTGGGCCCCAAAAGAAGGAAGAGAGAGAGAGAAAGAGAGAAGGGAGAAGAGGCCTGAGGCACAACCCTTTTTTTTTCGGAATGGGGGGGGGGACATTGTCATTCGAAAGAGAGAGAGGAAACTGAAGGAATTATCTATATGTGACCGTGTTCGATCAATTGTTTGTAATGGGCTCCAATTCATCATACCAAATGTTCTCTTTTTCTCTCGATTTTCAACAAATCCGTCGACTTTTTTTATACCGACAAAAACATATGCGATAGTCTTCTCATTGGCTACAGCCCCACAACCTGAGCTTTATCGGCTCTCATCGATAAGGAACCCGATAAGAAAAAAAAAATCAGGAATCTATTTTTTTTCTTCTTCGCATCTTTGGTGGGGACTATCGAGACTATTTCTATTTCATCTTCAAGGCTTCAAAACATACAGCAATTATCCAGCCTCAAGAGTCTTTTTTCTTTTTTCTTTTGCATTTAAATAAGAAGAGTGCGAAAGGAAAGAAAAAAGACGCCCAGGATGCCGTCCAAATCATCAGGACGCATCACAAAGGCGTACAAAAACTCGACACCCCATCAGAAAAATCACCGGTTCGAGACCTTCACCAACAAGATCGCCAAATTCAATTCTCTCCAACCGCTTCGTAAAGTCCGCCGTCATGATCTCGACAACGAGGACGATTCTGCCGCCACCTCGTATTTTCGGACCGGCCTTCAGAAATGGAGCGAACTGAACATATCCAAGGGCTTCGTGTCCTTCAAGCGCGAGGTCCTGTCCCTGTCCGAGAGTCTGCCGCAGATCCTCCACTTCGAGAAGCGCATCATGGAGTCTCTGGCCAAGTACATTTCCATGCACGACAAGGAGGCCCTCGAGCCACTGCTCGACCTCCTGACCGCCTTCGCCCACGATCTGGGCGTCCGCTTCGAGAAGCACTACCCCAGGAGCCTGGGTCTCATAGTCGACATCGCCGGCAGGCCGCAGGACGCCGACGTGATCGAGTGGACCTTTGCCGCCCTGGCCTTTCTCTTCAAATACCTCTCCAAGCTTCTCGTCCCGAACTTGCTGCCGACCTTCGACACAGTCTCCCCCCTGATGGGAAAGACCCGCCACCCTCCACACATTGCCCGCTTCGCTGCCGAGGCTCTCAGCTTCCTGGTCAAGAAGGCCGGCGCGCCCTCTCACCGTGCCACCTCACTCCCGAGCTTCGTCGCCCACGTCAAGTCGGACCTCAGCGACCTGGCCGGCGACCGCCAGTTCACCCTCTACCAGGATGGCGTCATGACCATGTTCGCCGAGGCCATGAAGGGCAACGAGAACACGCTCCATTCAGCTGGCCCTGCCATCTTCGTCGCCCTCCTGGACTCCGCCTTTGACGATGACGAGCCCGACAGCTCGACCGCCACCCGGAACGACATCTGGAGCGATGTCGTATGCGGCGTGCTCACCAGCGTCATCCACCATTCCACCTCGACCACCTTTGCCGAGCTCGAAGAGGCCATCCTCCAGAACATCACCTCTGGACTTGATAGGTTTGGCGATGATGGCAACTGGTGGACCCTGCGGCCCTACATCAAGGTCCTCGGCACCATGGCCGGTGTCCGCAAGGGTTCCAGAGTCAGCAGCTGGTCCGGAGTCACCGATGCCCTCGTCGGCATGCTCGAGAAGATTTCAAAACGTGACGACGACGCCGCACAAAAAGACCCCGCCGTCATCTGGAGGGACATTCTGGTACCCACCGCCATCACGTTGCACCACGCGCCCCTGGAGGCCGTGGTGTCGCCGATGGAAGAGGTTCCTGGATACCTCATGTGCGGGCCGCTGATGAGGTGCTTCATCCCCTTCTGCTCCTACTTCTGCGACCTCAACGCCTCGCGCTTCGGCAGCATGCTGCGGGCGGACTTCCAGAAGTTCATCGCCGGTCACTGGTCGCAGAGCGGCAACCAGGATCTCCTCTGCGTTCTCATCCCGCGGATGATTGGAAAGGACGGGTTCGCACCCCCGGGAAGGCGAGGGAGCTGCACACTACCCCAGGCATGGCAGGACCAGATCGTCTCCAAGTTTGAGAACCTCGAGATCTCGCCATTCCCCGAACGTGGCCCGTACAACAAGGACCCCCAAGTCTGGAGGGACGAATGCCTGCCCAAGTATTCCGCACTTCTACGGCTGCTCGAGCTCACGACGGTCCACCCGTCGACCAACGCCCGTATCGCCGAGCTGCTGCTGAGGAAGCTGAAGCTTGCCCTTCGCCCGTCGTCGACGCTGGCCTCGGACGAGGTCCACTTCATCGTGAGCCAGGGATTCCACGCCTACCTCAGGATGAGCAAGCCTGGGAAGTCGGTCGACGCCTCCCTCAGCCCTCTTCTGAGGGCCGCCGTGCCTCGGTTCGCCCGCTCCGTCGGCTTCCTGGAGGCATACATCGCTTACGAGGAGCACCTGCAGGAGTCTGACGGCTCCAAGGACCACGACGAGCCCTCCAGCGATGGCTCCACCCTAGACGAAGACCCCGTCATGACGTCGCTGGTGGAAAATCTGTGCTCTCCGTCGCACGAGATTCGACTGTCGTCTCTGAAGCTGCTCAAGCGGATGAACCACCTCGGTGAGCTCGCCAACTTGGTGGACAACATGATTGAAATTGAGCAGCTGCCCCTGTCCCTGAGCCATGTCCGGACGATTGCCATGCTCCTGCGCAACCTTGGCCAGAAGTATTCCTCCTTGGACGAATCCACCTGGCTGCACAGGGGCGTGCCTAGCTTCCTCTTCGGCATGCTCACCGTCAAGCTGTCGCCTGTATGGGACAACGCCACCGAGTCGCTGGGCCAGATCTGCCAGACCAGGACAGGCGAGGAAGTTGTCAGCAACCTTGCTTTCAAGTGGCTTGCCGTCCCCTCTCCCCGGTGGACCCCTTCTACTTCCGACAACCTCGCCAGCAACAGACGTGTCGTCACCTATTTCGACTGTACGCTGCTCAACAGCCTCCAACGACAGGCCGATGAGGTCTGCAACGTCATGGACACTGCCGTCGACATCATGCTGCGCGACTTTGACGAGCAGCAGCGGACCCCCGACGCCCTCGCCCCCAACGCTAGGACACGAGCTCTCAAGGTGTTCAACGCTCTCCCTTCGGTCGCCGAGAAGCGCTCGCGTCGACTGGTTCCACACTTCCTCCCCTGGGCACTAGAAGACCAAGCCTCGCTACCGGACGATGTCGAGTTCGACCACTCTTACTGGTCCCTGGCCGACCGCAAGGCCATCCTGGGCGTCATCTCGCAGTTTATCAACCCCAGGGTCCTCTACCTCCATGAAAAGGTCTATGATGGCCTTCTGGAGCTCATGGAGAATGGTGATGTCGAGTTTCAGAAGCTCACTCTCAAGGCGATTCTGGCCTGGAAGCAGGAGGGAGTCAAGCCTTACCAGGAAAACCTCGAGTTCCTGCTGGATGACGCTCGTCTGAAGAACGAGCTCACCGTGTTCCTCCAGGGCGAGATCGTCAAGCCAGAGCACCGAGCTGAGCTGATGCCCGTGCTGCTCCGTCTCCTCTATGGTCGTAGCATCTCCAAGAAGGGCGCCGCGAGTGGAAAGCACGGTCTCCAGGCGACGCGCCTGACGATCCTCAGGAACCTGACCGTCAAGGACACGGGTGCCTTCCTCGACATCGCCTCGGGCAAGCTCAGCAAGGTCAGGGTCATCAACACCAGCACGGCGCGTGACAAGCTTTTTGCGCAGCCCATCATCCCACCCAGGAAGCAGGTCGGTTTCCTCAACATGGCGTCTTCACTGATATCCGAGCTTGGCACCAATGTCATGCCCTACATGGAGACGCTGCTGAACACTGTCCTGTACTGTACTGTCTTTGCCTCCAGGCAGCTCACGGGTATGACTGCGGACGCGCCGGACCTGGACCCCGAGGACACCGAGAATGCCGGCTCGCACTCTCTCCACAGGATCACGCGTTCGACGGGTATCAAGTGCCTGATCACGCTCTTCCAGAACGCCCAGGGCTTTCAGTGGGAACCGTACCATGGCATCATCGTGGAGGAGATCGTGGTCCCGAGGCTCGAGAACCTCCCGACCGAGATGTCGCAGGGTGTCTCTGGTGTCTTGCAGCTGCTATCAACATGGTCGGCTCTCCCCAGGGTTGCGCTCTTCCTGGGCCCGCACGGCCATGCACTCCCTCAGGGCATCCTGCCCAAGGTTATCGAGTGCCTGGCTGCCGAGAAGGCCAAGGACGAGGTGAGGGTGTTTATCCTCGGCATGATCAGGAACCTGGTGCGGCTGGCGCAGGCCCCCGCCGAGGAGTCGGAATTCAACGAACTCATCCAGGTTGAACTGCTAGACTCTAACGCCGAGGCCATGCTGGGTGCCGTCACTTTCATCCTGCGCACCCTCACCGCCAGCAGTGACCTTCTCGAGGCTGGCGTGGAGGCCCTGCTGTCGCTCGCCGGCGTGCTCCGAGAGCCGCGCTGCATCGAGTCCGTGCTCCAGATATGCTCCTTCCTCCTGAAGCAGCCTCCTCGGCGGGTCAGCCCCAAGACCAAGGGGCGTCTGCTGCTCGTGGTCGAGAACTTCGTTGCCCTGGTCGACACCTCTGAGCATCGCGAACTTTGCAACGACGTCTACGACACGCTGGCCTCGCTTTTCAGCTATTTCAGGGACAGGGAGAACCGCCAGGCCCTATGCCGGGCCTTGGCTGTCGTCTCGAAGAACGGCTCCGAGGGCGAGGGCGTGGACGTGGCCGAGATCTGCGCTGGACTCAACTCGTACAAGGAAGGGCGCATCGATGAGCCGGACTACGACAGAAGGCTGGCCTCCTTCAATGCCATTTCGGGAGACAGGGAGGTGCCTCTTACCCCGCGCGAGTGGTTACCACTCCTGCACAACTGCCTCTTCTTCATCAAGGTCGACGAGGAATTCGGCGTTCTCTCCACCAACTCGGCGGACGCCATGCGACGCTTCGTCCAGGACGCCGTCAGGTGCAGCCGCCAGTGTGGATCGACCAAGGTCGCGTTCCAGTCACAGCTGACCGACATTCTGATGCCGGCAATCTACGCCGGCGCCAGGGAGCTGTCAGACACGACACGCCGAGAGATCCTGCGCGTCTTCGGCTTCATCCTGAGGAGCATGCCCGAGTGGGAATCGGTCAAGGACATGGGTGGGCTGCTCGCCGATATCGAAGAGGACGCGGCAGATCCTCCTTTCTTCTTCAACATCCTCAGCCCTGCCGTCTCACGACAGCTTGAGGCTCTCCAGGTGCTGGAGAAGGCCAACGCAGCGCAGGAGATCGGCAGCCAGAACATCGCCCAGTTCTTCATCCCGTTGCTCGAACACTTCCTCTTTGACCGGGAGGAGGGAGGAGACGATCGTGGACTGAGCGCCCAGGCGACCAACGTCATTGGCGAGATCGCAAAGTCTCTCCACTGGAAGCACTACCGGACAACGCTGCAGAGGTACATCAGCTACGTCGCCTCCAAGCCCGACCACCAGAAGCAGACGATCCGACTCCTCGGCAAGTTCACCGACGCGCTCGTATCCTGCGTAGAGGGGAAGCCCGCCGATTCTATGGAGGTTGACGAGGTCGGCGACGGGTCCTCCTCCTCTACTGTCCGACGGTTGACCTTGACCGTTCCCAAGCAGGAGCAGCTGTCGACGGAGATTGCTAACCATTTCCTCCCGACGCTGATGAAGCATCTGCATGAGAAGGACGAGTCGGAAGTCAGCTACCGAGTGCCGGTCGGTGTCACCATCGTAAAGCTTCTGCGGCTCTTGCCCCCCGATGACATGAAGCAGAGGCTCGCAGGAGTCTTGACGGATATCTGCCACATCCTGCGCAGCAAGGCCACGGAGTCCCGGGACATGGCACGAGACACCCTGGTTCAGATCGCTACAATCTTGGGCTCGTCCTTCATCGGTTTCATCCTGAGAGAGCTTCGGGGTGCCCTGACGAAGGGTTACCAGCTCCATGTCCTGTCGTACACGGTGCACTCCATTCTAGTCGCCGTCATCCCCGGCTTCGAGCCAGGTGACCTGGACTACTGCATCCCCAGCATCGTCAACGTCATCATGGACGACATCTTTGGCGTCATCGGTCAGGAGAAGGACGCTGAAGGCTACATCACCCAGATGAAGGAGGTCAAGAGCAGCAAGAGCCAGGATTCCATGGAGCTTGTCGCCAATAACGCGTCCATCACGCGTCTCATCGACCTCGTCCACCCGCTGCAGGCACTGCTGATGCAGAAAGTTGATCTCAAGATGATCCGGAAGATCGACATCCTCTTGGGCCGCATCTCCACCGGTCTCCTTCGGAACCGGGCGGCCGAGAGCCGTGACACCCTCGTCTTCTGCTACGAGGTGATCCAGAGCGTCTACCGGAGCCGGGAGCCGGAGGCCCCTCAGAAGCTCGACCCTCGAGTGCGCAAGTACCTCGTCCAGAAGGGTGCCAAGAAGGGCGATCGCGGCCAGACATCGAGACACATGTACAAGCTTTTCCGCTTCGCCCTCGACACCTTGAGGTCCATGTTCAAGAAGCACGACAGCCTCCGCACCCCGGAGAACCTGTCCGGCTTTATCCCCCTCCTGGGAGACGCCATCATCGAGGGCGAGGACGAGGTCAAGGTGTCGGCCTTTAGGCTCCTTGCCGTCATCACCAGGGTCCCATTTGAGGGCGATGAGGGGACGAACATCTACAAGGTGGCGGTCAAAGAGGCCGCCAAGAGTGTGTCGACGTCGGTCTCGACTACGACCGACCTGTCGCAGGCGGCGCTCAAGATGCTCGCCGTGGTCCTGCGGGACCGCAGGGACGTGGTGATCAAGGACCACGCTGTGGACATGCTCTTGGGCAAGCTAAGGGATGACCTCACGGAGCCGCAGTACCGCCACGTCACCTTCAACTTCCTGCGGTCGGTCCTGGAGCGCAAGGTCGAGACGGCCGACGTGTACGATACCATGGACTACGTGGGCACCGTCATGATCACCAACGACGACAAGGACACGCGCGACCTGGCCCGCGGAGCCTTCTTCCAGTTCATCCGCGAGTACCCCCAGAAGAAGGCGCGCTGGGAAAAGCAGCTGGAGTTCATTATTGCCAACCTCAAGTACGACCGCGAGGGCGGTCGCCTCTCCGTCATGGAGATGGTCCACCTGCTCTTGATGAAGTCGTCGGACGACTTTGTCCAGGAGGTCGCGGCGTCGTGCTTCCTACCCCTGTTCATGGTGCTGGCCAACGACGAGAGCGACAAGTGCAAGCTTGCCGCCTCGGAGCTGCTCAGGGAGACGTTCCGCCGGGCCAGCAAGGAGCGTGCATCCACCTTCCTGGCCCCGCTCCGGCAGTGGCTCGACAACAATAACCTTTCCGTTGTGCGGCTCGCGCTGCTGGTTTGGAGCTACTACTTTGAGTCACACGACGGGGCGGACAAGAACGAGAAGGACTTCAAGCTGGCGTACGGCAAGATCATGGAGCTCCTGGGCGCCGAGGACCTCGGCGACGTCGACGGCTACCTGGTCGAAGCGGCGCTGAGCCTGGTCAATGTTCTACTCGCAACCTTCCCGAAAAAGATCCTCTCTTCCGCGAGCGAGGACCTCTGGACGCATGTCGGACGGTGCATGGGACACCCCCACCCGTCCGTCAAGCTGGCTGCCATCAAGCTCATCAGCCTGTACCTGAACGACTTCGCGCAGAACATGGACGGCAGCGTATCCGGCCAGAAGGCCGAGGCCGTCGGCGGGAGCTACGGGCTAACGCTGGGCCAGGACAAGGTCGAGGACCTGGTGCGCCTGGCGCTCAACATCCTGAACGGGCACGAAGTCGATGAGGCACTCGCCACCGAGGCGGGCCAGATCCTCATCTTCCTCGGACCGCGACTCCCGACACCCACCGCCGTCGTCGAAGACGTGCACGTGGATGGTGTCAAGGCAGGCGAGCAGGAGGACGAGGATGAGGACGACGGTGACGAGAGGAAGGAGGACGAGGAGCAAGATCAGGAGACGCAGAAGAGGAAGAGGGAGAAGGACCTGCAGTACCTGTTCTGGAGGCTGTCGCACATCCTGCGCAAGGAGATCCGACCGCGCGCGGCGGCCATCGTGCCCAAGACGGTGGCCATGGAGGTGCTGGAGACGGTGTGCCGGCGGTCGTCGACGGAGCGGCTGGGCCCCTGCTTCAAGACGATACTGGCGCCGCTGCACAACCTGACAGACTCGACGATCCGCCCCCCTCAGACGATGGACGATGTCTTCACGACCAGGCACGAGCACGTCAAGACGCGGGCGCAGATCCTCATGGACTCGCTCCAGAAGAAGTTCGGCACGGCCGAGTACAGCAGGCAGCTGCTCGACATCCGGGAGGAGGTGCGCGACAAGAGGCAGGCCCGGGCGGCCAAGCGCAAGATCGAGGCCATCACCCAGCCCGAGAAGCACGGGCGCGACAAGCGCAAGAAGTTTGAGAAGAACCGCGAGAGGAAGAAGGTTCGGTCTTCGGAACAAAAGGCGTCGAGGCAGGCTTACAAGAATTGGTGATCTTCTCCTCTGTCCTGCTCTACACGCATCCCTTTTTCCTTCACATGGTTTTGGCGTTTTATTTTGTTCTGTTGGGAAGAGAAGGGGGGGGGGGGGGGGGGGGGAGGGGTGTTTGGGTTTCTAGGGAAAAAGCTCTTTTTTTTTAAAAAAAAAAATGAAAAGAAAAGCAGTAACATGGCTATTGGCATTAGAATAGTAGACGTTTTGAATACCATGAAAAATATGTAATATATGTATGTCGACAGATAGATAGGTGATTGTTGTGTGAATATAAATTCTAGCCTTCCAATATACATACAGTGCAGTGTTGAGACATATGGGTATACCATCAAAGATCCCAAGATTCCGACTCCATTCATGCAACGTCTTCCCGCCTCACATTGTAGTACTGATACATTTTCTAACCCTCCCCATATCATACAAGATTCCTGTTTCTTTTTTTTCTTTCTTTCTCTCTCCCCCCCCCGTTGGACAGATGCTTTATCGGCCACCCTGGGTAGTATCGGCAGCAGCGTCGGTCTCGTCAGGCCAGAATTCGATGTCGCCATCCTCGCCTAGCGTACCGCGCTTGACCAGCTGACCCTTCTCGCGGACGATGTCCTCGATGGTGACGCCCTTGCGCTCCGTCAGGATGCCGAGGTGGTCGCTGATGACGTGGCGGTTCCGGCACTCGGGGCATGTGATGAGCGTGGAACCGGCGTGGTATCCCTGCTTGGAGACGTTGTGGTGGGAACGGTGGCCGCACGGCACGCAGGTGAAGGAGAGCTGGTAGTAGCCGCCCTCGCGGCCCTGGGGCACGGCCGGACGCCTGCCCTCCGACTTGGGCGTCCCCTCGGTCGACTTGGACGGGGAGGGTTCGCGGGGGACCATGCGCGGCTTGGGGATGGAGTGGGCGTGACGGGCGGCGGCTGCGGCTGCTTCTGCTGCCCTCGTTGCTGGGCGCAGTAGGGAGGTTGCGGTCGGGCGCAGGAGAGCTGTTGCTGCTGCGGGGCGGAAGAGAAGGCTTCGCGTCGGGAGGACGAGCATTCTGGTTGCTTTGGAAGCCATCTCTGGAAAACCTTTTTATCTTCTTTACGTTCTTTTAGATTTATTTTTTTAAGTTTTTTTTCTTTCTTTTTCTTTTTCTTTTGCCTGCCGTCGTTGTATGCGATGGAGGGGGGGGGGGGGGGGGGGGGGGAGTGGGAGAGGGAATCGTATGGAAGAAGCGTGGAAGGAAATGGAGAAAAGAGAGAAAAAAGTTGGAGGTTATGACGATGGCTATTGATTGGGGTTGAAGAGTAATAAACGGAGAGACATCGGACAGAGTATTGAACGGTAGGCTGCGACGGGCGGGTTAGTCATCTTACACCCCTGTATTCACCCACGTGCTGTCAAAGTACAGGGGGATATGGTCCCTAAAGCTCTGGGCGTCTCCGTCGAGGTTCTCTCTCGGGGCCTTTTTTTTTTTCTTTCCTTCTCACTCCACAAGACAGGAAAGAAAAGATCGAGGGAAAACGAGGATGAAGGTGAGGAAGAGATGATTCCTAACGGGCTGCCCGTTATCCGGCTTTATCGGATCGTATTGAGAGGGGAAATGGCAATTCGCTCGCGTCAGCATCGACACTGGGAGTGGGCATGTACTCGTAGTAGTAATACAGATAGAAGCACGGGCGATCTACCGTGGTCGATGCTAGATGCTCGAAGCCACCTCGATGCCAAGTATCGCTACTCTAATCTGCACCGATACCCGTACTTACCCGGGATCAGGGCAATGCTACAGGTAGTAGGCTGCAGGCTACAGTGGATGTTTGGGGCGGGACGAGGCACGCCATGATGCGCTAGGCATCACTGGGAGACAGAAGTATCTCAGGTATCTTTCTCTGGGCACCTGCAGCACCGTTAACCCCACCTCTGACGACGGAGTGCGTGCTGGCCTCGGCCCGTCCGCAGACTCGATCACCTATCCAAACGGGCAAGCGCACACGCGCACGCAACACACAAGAGGGAAGAGGGAGAAGAGAGACGATACGGCCGATGTACCTGTGCTACCCCGTGCTTCACCTGCTACCGATCAATACTGTTGGCTCCCCGAAGCTCCCCGCTTCCTCCCACCGTTCTCTTCACCTCACTCGGTACCTCTTCACTGCCAAGCCACTGCTCACCACGGTGCTCCTCCTCTCATCGCTCCTCCTCTCTCTCTCTCTCTCTCTCTCTCTCTCTCTCTCAATCAATCAATCAACCGGTCGATCGATCAGATCGTTTCGTCTTCTCCCCAGACGCCCTCGAAAGAAAGAGGAAAAGAGGAAAGATTCTTCTCTCATAGTCACTGGCATCGGCCTTGAATGAAACCTGCGTCGCTCAGGTGCGACATCCCTACTCAAGCCGCTGTACTTCTGTTGTGACTCGCCGCCTCCGTCATCATGCCTCGCAAGAGCTTCTCGCTCAACCCTCTGCTCAAGGTCTCGAGACCGGTATCTGCCTGCTCGCGATGTACGTCCCATATCATCTCTGAATTAAAAAAATTTTAAAAAAAAATGTACAGATGGACAACGAAGATAGATGAGATGATGAAGGAGAGGAAGAAGAAGAAGCTGACAGTCACCCGTACCACTCACTACCCAGGCCGAGCTGCCAAAGTCAAGGTAAATCACAGCCATTCTTGCCTCAGTCTCACACCGCACGAAGGATATGAGTAGATACAAACGAAAGCTGATGGTATCCTGCGGGATCAAAAGTGCGATGGAAAGCTACCAGCTTGCACCGCATGTGAAAAGGCAGGCCGTGCAAATGAATGTTCAGCAGCAAATGATCAGTTTGCTAGGGGAAAGGAGAGAAGGTGTGTGCCATCCCGTCTGACCGAGACGGCCTCCTGTCCCTCCCGCTGACAGTCGGGTGAAACAAGCTACGTCGCTGCTCTGGAACTTCGTATCGAGAAGCTCGAGAGGCGCCTCCAGTATGCCAAGAACCGCAAGGCCTCTCTGGGCGTCCAAGAGCCCGACCTGTCCTCCTTGGCCCAGCCGGTCGACGAGGACGACAGGCGTGATTCCATGGCTCATATCCGCGCAGCTATCCACCGCAAGGCTGCTAGGAGTCGCGAGAACTCTGACGTCAACACTCTTGTATCGGATTTTGGCTTCCTGTATGTCTCGGTCCTACCGGGTCCTGGCACATGCGTGCACGTCGGTATGTTGGCTAGAGCAGTTTCACTGACTGCCGCGCAGCTCCGTCCACGCCAACACCAGAGACTTTGGCCCTACGGTCGGCAACATGACCTTTTCCCGACTCGTCCTCACAGCCGCCACGAACGACGCCCTTCCCGAGTCGTCTGGGGTCGAGCTACCCCCGTGGGAGACGGCCGAGGCCGTCGTCGACCTGTACATGGCCAACTTCCACTCCCTGTTGCCCTTCTTCCCGGAGTCGACGCTCCGGTCCACCATGCAGGACCTGTACAGCCAGGAGGACCGCTTCATCAAGGATCTGGATCTCTGGCTCTTCTACATGGTCCTGGCCGTCGGCTCAGTAGCCCAGACCCGCGTCATCCACGACGACTGCTACAGGAACGGCGTCAGCTACGCCAGGAAGGCCCTCGAGTTTGCCGACCGCGCCCTGACCCCCGGGCATATCTCCCAGATCCAGTCCCTCCTCCTCCTCACCCAGTACTCCATGCTCGACCCCGCCCACTTTGACGCCTGGCACCTCATAGGCTTCACCACCAGGGCCGTCGTCGACCTCGGCCTCCACCAAGACCCCCCCCTGTCGTCGGTAGCCGACAAGGGCGCCCTCGATATGCGCCGCAAAATCTTCTACTGTGCTTACAGCCTAGACCGGTAAGCCTCTTCCTCTCCTTCATCACACGGAGAAGAAGGGGAAGGGATGAGGGCAAGGACGGCTGGTAGGTGGGCACGCAGCTAACGAGGTCAATAGAGCCATCAGCATGGTCCACGCCCGGACATTCTCCTTCACCGACGACTCCACCAACGTCCTTTTCCCCAACTCGCTGATGAAGCAGCCGTCGTATTCGTCGAGCCCGGCGCTGCTCCTCTTCCAGCTCCGCCGAGCCCAGTCGTACTGGTACCAGGAGCTGTACCAGACGCACTCGACGGTGCCGCTGCACGACCCGACTTCCTTCGTGTGGCAGATGTGCCTCGAGATGCGCGAGTGGGGGGAGTCTCTGCCGCGGGACCTGCCACCGGCTATCCGCCAGGTCTTTGACCAAGAGCTCCTGTACAGCTACGTGTACTGCATCGCGCCGTCGAGCCGCGCCCCCGACATCACCGACTACAGCCGCACCCTCATCTTCGAGTACTCGGTCACCTACCTGGACACGATGCACCAGACGGCCCACCATGGCGACGACCTCGTCAGCAGCATGCCCTTCTACACCTACCACGACGCCCTCAAGGTCTACTTCATGGCCAACCAGCTTCTCGCCGTCCTCCTCGACGCCGAGAACATGCTCCTCACGGGGCCCCAGACGCCCCCTCCCGCCTACCGTCCCAACGCACCCCCTCCCCCCCCGGTCCCCCGGGTCCGCAACGGTAACGCCAGCGCCGGCAGCTACGGCGAGTACGCCAACCTGGGTGGTGCCGGCGCCGGCGCCGGAAGCAACCTGGACAGGAGCATCGGCTGCCTCGAGCGCGTCGACGAGACCCTCGCAAAGTTTGGTGAGCGGTGGGAGGAGTCGGCCATGCTCAAGGTCAGCTTCGAGAGGATCTCGGGCGACGTAATCGACAGGCTCAAGAGACGCAAGGAGATTGCGGGGGATGCCGCCACCATGAGTCTTCATCAACATCAGCAGCAGCAGCAGCAGCAGCAGCAGCAGCAGCAGTCACAACCGGCATACTACAACGCTGACCTCGGCGACCGGCTGGATATGTCGCAGCGCCGGCCGCACCACGTCGTGCCGTCTGGAGATGTGCAATGGGGCGGCAGCGTACAGCGACAGATGATGCCCCATCCCGGCCAGCCTGGGCCGCAATGAATACTAGATGGCGGTGCCCGTGTAACGTGTATGTATGTAGAATATATATTGGATACATTCTTTCGAAGCAGCCCATGTCCGTTCACCAAGACACCCTACCATTCCCGTGAACACGTGACTACTACTTTGGAACTTGGGGTCTTTCTTTTTTCTTCATTTCGTGTTTTTCTGACTATTCTACATGCACCTCCAAGAGAACAATATGATAAAGGGCGGGACAGATAGAGTTGTTACAGAACCACTTGCAGTAATGACCCCTCGATTTTCCCCTCCTCCTCCCCTCCTCCTCTTCCTCTTCCTATCAACATGTCCCCCCTGATGAAACGAAGAGAAATAAGGAGAAGAAAAAAGACGCCATGTTAATGGGGGGGGGGGTTGGGTTGGCGGGGGAAGAGATAACATTCTCTTGGAAAACCTCTACCCCTCTTTCATTTCCGTAAAAAAAAAACAAGATTAGAAGGGCGAAAAAAAAAGGAGAAACAGCGTGTTGTAGAGAGAAGAAAGGGAATAGACCAAAGCAAAAAGAGTAAGAAAGAAAAGAGAAAACTACAGTGTTCGCATATCGAGAATGTGTAGATTCTTTGTCTGGCGGGGAAGTTTTCTATCTTGCTCGTAGGAGAGACCGCAGTTGGAACATAGAGTCTGATCGGGGTGTGTGTGTGTATGTGTTAGTATCAGGGTCATCTCCATGCATGAAGGAGTTGGGAAGGAGATATGATGAAGGGATGGGGAGAGGGGGGAGGGGAGGGGAGGAGAAAGACTGACCTTTGGACCGGCTGGACCGTCGCGAACGGCCCACACGCAGGAACCCCAGATGCGACAGTGGGCACAGCGCCAGGCAGCCCTCTCGTGGTCCGTGAGGGCGCCGCCGCCACCGTAGCCGCCAGCGTCGGGGGTTCCCCTGGCACCGACGGCGCCGGGGGTGCCGGAGCGGTCCGAGGGGCTGAGGCTGCGGAAGCGGCGCTTCTTCCTGGAGCGCTCGCCGCGACCCATGCGCTCCTCCTCGACGTCGAGGTGGGGGGGGACGGTGCCGAAGGGGTGACCGCCGAGGAGGCCGGTGGTGGACGAGAAGCGGGCCGTCTCGCGGCGCAGGCGGCGGACCTGCCTCTCGCGGTCGCCCTCGCGCTTCTCCATGTCCTCCTTGGTCAGGATCTCGACCTTGGGCTCCCAGTCGTCGGCGAGGTGGTCGGGATCGTAGCGCCAACCGGCCTCGGTGCCCTGGGCGGCGTCGTTGGGGAGCTCCTGCTGAAGGCCGCCCCAGCCGGCCACCATGCCCCCGGCCTCGCAGGCCTCCTTCTTTAGGCGCAGCACGGCCTCGTAGATGGCGTGCGTCATGGCCGGGATCCACTCGCCGGTCAGACCCAGGTCCGTACACGTCGTGCGCGCGAACGCCTCGGCTGTGCCGGGAGGGTGCAGGAGAGACCACTCGAACTTGTCCGTGTACAGCATCGACGACAGGTTCAGGTTCAGGTTGATGATGCACCGGTACGCGTCGTCCGGGTTGTAGTCGTCCGAGTCGGACGGGATGGGCTCCGCCGACGCAGTCACCTTGGGCGCCTTCTCTGCCGCCCCCGCCCCCGGCGTCTCTGGTGCCGGTCGCGGCGTGCCTGTGCCTCGGGTGGGTGCCGGCGATGGTGACGAAGGGTCGACGAGAGGCTGTGCTGCAATTTCCGCTGCTGCTGCTGCTGCCACCGCGGGTCCTAACTTTCGTTGTTGTGGTTGCTGTTGTGATTGTTTTTGTTGCTGTGCAGCCGCGGTAGTGGTGGAGGCCGTCGTCGCCGAAGCCTCGGTGTGGAAGAGCGGGTGTAGTGCAACGCCCGAGTACTCCTCGAGTTGTGTGCGGATCTGTTTGCTGATCTCGGGTATGATCAGATGGCGGTGGGGGAGGTCGAGGTCCTGGGCGAGGGTCTGGGCAAACTGATCTGTGGTGATGAGGGTCTCGTGGAGGTTCCAGCAGAAGATGTCGCGCAGCTTGTAGGGCGCGGTGAGGTCCTGGGCGCGGTACTGGGGCAGCGAGAGGTCGGTCGAATTGGGGTCGGGCGGCGGGGGGAAGGCCGGGGGCGGGATGAAGGAGGGTATGTCGAGGTCGATGCGGATGGGTATCAGGGTGAGTGGGAGGCCGGCCTGGGCGGCGTTCTGTTGGTCCGTCTTGATGAAGCGGTTCTTGCCGACCCAGTCGCGCCATACGCCCTGAACCTTGACGGGCTCCTTGGTGTCCTTGCCCACGTCAAATCTGCCCGCGCCCGCCGCCGCCGCCGCCGCCGCCGCCGAGTCGTCCTTGCGCACGTTGCGCAGACCCGTAGGCCGCCGCCGGGGGTCGTCGCTGTCGTCCTCGAGGTCCTCGTATCCGTCCTCGGCGTAGTTGATGATGGTGGTGCCTCGCTTTGTCGTACGCGACGTCGGTGCTGCCGCCTGCGGCTGTTGCAGGACCGGCGTCAGGAGCGAGTTGTTGTACGTGCGCAGTCGTGGCGCGTAGCTCGTCAGGAACGCCTGCGGATGCGATCGTTCCATGATTGGCGAGTTGGAAGGGGGAAGGGGTGGGCGATTCCTGTCAAAAATCTCTTCCCCTTCTTTTGTGTTCTGGATCTTGCTAGATTCTTCTCAAATCTTTGCAGCAGAATGTCGATTATTTTATTCTGTTCACCTCATGCTGATCCCGCGCAAGGGAGAGACGATTGGCAGTACAACGCGTTGGCGATTTGACCCTTGTTACGTCTTCTGTTATCGTCGTTGTCGTCTGTGGCCCCAAAAGAGGGAGGATCCCTCCCAATGGCGGTCAGTATCGGAACCGATGAAGAGGGGGATTTCGCAATCTCGAACCGATCGTGTTTTATTTGTCGTACGGGGGGAGTCTCGTGGGTTGGGGAGGCGCGTCCAGAATTTACTTCAATCCTCTGGTAGTGGGTGGGTTGTCTAGATTTTTGAGGCAGCGAACCAAGTCGCGCCAAAAGGGAAACGGCCAAAATGCGTCGCAGCCGGGGCCCTTGCACAACTTTTGGATGGATGCCCCAGGCTCTAACTTTCTTCCCCATTTCGCCTACCCTATAATTAGATACAGTATGTGGTACCCAAGATTGCATGACTAAGCAGTCCGAGACTGCTGCCGCACACTCACGTCTGGAGATAGCCTCATGGATAGATTTCCTTCCTCTCCGTTCAATCAGGCAATCAGACACACACTCATCGACCCAGGACGTACCAGTAGGCAGAGGCCACCGTATTCACGTCTACGGGTCATCATGTACTGTCGCCGGCAGGAACACAAGTACTACGGACTGGCGCAATCATCACCGATTTGACTATGTCTAGAGATATATCCTGCTTCGTCTTCGGCATTAATATGCTCATAATCCATCTCAACCACTCCCAAAGTCCTCCTTCTAGCAAGTCCCATCATCAACAATTCGGGTGATTCACTGCGTCAAAGACAGGCAGCAAGAAACCCGCGGTACCGAAATTTAATCAACTGTCCACCATAAAGCCAAAAGCATGCATATGTTGAGACCGCCCAGATCCAGCCTGATTCACTCTGGCCTTTCAGCATGATGCTTCTGGCAGCCAGGAGCTTGCGCTGTATCCAAGCCCTACGAGTCTTACGGGTGTCTCGATCGAGGTTATGGAGGGCTCCCAGCGCGTGAGATTTGCTGTCAGCAAAAGCTGACCCAGAGTCTAGTACACATTGTCATATTTACTAATCCACCCGTCAGAGAGAAAAAGGTCAAAGGAGCAGATCAACACGATTGGACTTGGATAGAAGGATGTGAGACGAGCATGAACAAGGTGGAGGAGTCTTGTCACGGGGCATGATGCTGATGACGACAGAGCAAGGTTGTCGCTGCGTGGTGCCTGGAGCTGGCAATATGTTCGATGAATATCTCAGAGAAGATCGTACTGGCGAGCTTCGCTCCTTCCTTCCTTCCTGTTTGGGCGTTGGCACTCGGCAGGTCAGGATCCGCTTGCACGTCGTGAACGGGTAGATGGATCCAGAATCCGATTTGAGTTGTAGTGGGGCTAGTGGTTGGTGACAGCGTTTTTATGGTTTCACTATGTGGAGGAGTTTGAGCCTGCTCTCTCCTAGGTGGAAGATCAGTCATGTACCGTAGTAGTAGCAGCAGCAGCAGCACTGTAGCAGCAGCAGCAGCAGCAGTACTGTCGTAATAGTACACAATTATTCTGGACTGACGAAAATTCACTTTCATAGAACCTTTCCTCTCCCCCCCTGTCATTACCCCGCTCTGAAGGCCGTTGCCTAGCCAGGCTGTCTGGGACAGTGAAGGTGGGAATGTCGCTGCCTGTTCTTTGGTGGAGGCAGGAACCCTTCCAACCCGCTCCTACCTGTTCTTGTCCTCGTAGTCGGCCTGTGGGAAACTCGAGCACGGGTATCAGACGGCGGAGGTCATGTGTGACGGGAGCGGGGGGAAGCTCTGCCATTGGATCCATGGCTATCATCTGCGCTCTCTGCTGCAGACCCCACCGCCTTTCTCTCTTATTATCCTTCCTGACGGGTTGTACATTTGTTGGATTGTGGCGTGCGACGACGCCCGTTTCCAAAGCCTTCCACGCTGTATTACTGCACCGACTACGGCTGCCTTGTTTGGTCTGTCACCGCTCACCTCAAATGCGCTGCCAGTCCTCTGCCTCCCTGCTATGTTACCGTTACTCTGTAGATCATATGTAGGTGTACATCAGAATAATGACAATCAATCAGTCGGCCGATGCTGAGCGGACAAAATGCTGCGAATCTGACCAACAACACAGACCGCGCCGCATATATCACATGCATGCACACGCATTGATCTTTTCGGATGGGCGTGCGGTTAGAGAAGAGGTCGGTAGGAACACGGAGCACCAGTACATGTGAAGATGAGATGAAACGAGCTCGAGGCGGAGGGCCTGACAGAGTAGAGACGCCCTCATATTTCGACAGCTTGAGATTCTGCCTGGTGCTAGTTTGCTAGTTTGATGGCTGTGATACCATTTGACGTTGATTTCCGTATATCCGTACTGCCACTGTTAGACTGCTAGTAGTACTAGGCAAGTACGAATAGAGTGTTGCTCCGTAATCTGTACAGACTAGACTGGATATAGATAGTCAAATGCCGGGGCTATAGGTTCTGCCCGTACCATTCTGCTCGTAGCCGCTACATACTCGTATAGTGCTAGGTAATAGTAGCACTGCTAGTGCCGATATGCTATCATAACGCACGAGTAATTCTTCCGGTAGAACCATGGAGTTCCGTGGTCTGTAGGCTATTATTACGAATATGCCGTTGCCCGCATGGATCTCGCTCCATGCCAAGTATACCAGTAGTACCCGACTATTCGTGCTTCCTGCCCCTCCTAACTGGCCCACCGGCCACTACGGGACACCACCACCACAGTCATCATCACCACCTTTCCGTTCCTCCTCAACCGGCAAGAACGAGGAAGTTATTTTTTATTTATTTTATTTCTCATATATTCCAGGGACCTTGCCTGCTGTGACCCTCCCCTGCACCCTTTGCCTTTGTACCCTCTTCCTCCTCCCAGACAACTCACCTCACATGTGTCCGCCCATGGCAGCGTCGTACAGCTGATGTCCCCCCTCCCTCGTCCCTTGCTTTGCTAGGGCACCACCACCCGATCACGCCCCGCACCTCCTCTCTTGTACTGTCAGCCTACTGCTCGCGGTCAATCACTGCTGAGGCATCTTGGCCTCGGCCACGTCGGTTTCAATGGACGCTGCTCACGTCTTCCGCCGGGGTTTGGGATCTGTCGCTCCGCGCCAGAATCACCACCATACGCTCAATTTTCCCACCCGGCAACCCCTCCCACACGACGACCTCTCCGACGACCACGACGACGGCCCCGCCAGTCGCATCGCGCACACATTGACGGCCTGCGTCCGTTGTCGCCAGGTAAGCCTCTTTTACTCAGCACCACTCCCTCCTCCACACGCCCCTTAGTTAGTGACGGTGGCACTTGCTTGCACTCGTGTGTGTCGCATCATGAGATGGAGGTGCATGCTCGTCGTCCAGCAGCTAGAACACGAAACACGGAGGCTGACAAGAAACACCGGCCCCCCCTCACCAGAGGAAAACGAGGTGCGATCCCACGCTGCCTCGCTGCCTCCCATGCGAGAGATCCGGCTCTATCTGTGAATATTTCGATACGGCCAAGGGTCGCAAGATCAACCGCAACTATGTAATTAAGCTTCAAGACAAGGTCCGTGCCCTCGAGGCCCAGCTGGCCCAGTACGTCGACGACGACGACACCGATGCCCGCAGCCCTGAAGACATGATCAGGCCCGGAGGAATGGTCCGCCTGGGTGCCGAGGACGAGACCCCGCGTTACCTGGGTCCCAGCAGCGGCATCGCCATGACAAGGCTGCTCATGGAGGAGGCCAAGCGCTTTAGCCAGTCCAACCGCGTGGCCGATCTCATCCCCGATCTCGAAACCCGTAGGCGGAACCGCATGCAGTCGATCCAGATGACGGCCGCCAACAACTATCCGACCATGAGCGGGGAGCCCGCAGAGGAGCTCCCTAGAAGAGATACGGCTACCAAGCTGGTGGAGATCTACAAACACAAGGGTGAGGACACGTGTGAGTGCAGGCACCACTGCTCTGGCAACAATAGAAGGACAAGATGACGATGCCCCCCCCCCCCCCCCCCCCCTCTTCCACCGGTCAATTGCCTGCTTTCCAGGTCTTTCAGCTAACCTCTCTCTTCTTTTCCCGCAGCTCAGGTTCTATGGCCCATTCTGCATGAGCCAAGCCTCGAAAAGGACGTCGACGACGTCTACAAAGGCGACAAGGACGTATACAAGAGATTCGTCACGAACATGGTATTTGCCATTGCACTCCAACGCATGTCGATCCGGTACGCCGGTTTGGCTGACGCCTTCTACCTGGCCGCGATGAAGAACTTTGAAGCCGTGCTCCGTCCCAAGGATCTGAAGACGCTGCAGTGCCTCGCACTCATCGGCCAGTACTCCCTCATCACACCCACTCGCGCCCCCGTCTACTACGTCATCGGCCTTGCTGCTAGGATCTGCCAGCAAGAGGGTCTCGTGGACGAGACGACCATAACGGCGGGCTACAATCTGGACCCGCTTACTCTGGATCTGAGGCGTCGCGTCGTCTGGAACTTGGCGTCGCTCGAGTACGGTCTGTCGCACACCCTGGGCCGGCCTAACATCTTTGCTACCAGCGACGAGAAGCTTGACGTCCGCTTCCTCTCCGCAATGCCGGATCAATACATCACAGAGAACGGCATCAGGCCGGGGCCAGAGAGCGAGGATAAGCTTGTGGCCATCCACGCCTTCAAGTTGAGGATTCACCAGGCCGAGATACGACGCACCTTGTACGAGCGCAAGCGGCCAGAGCCGGAGAACGATTCCAGTCCTTGGCACCAGGAGATGGAGAGACAGCTAGAAGGCTGGCTGAACGAGGGCCCATCGAGTCCTCTGTGGTGCAGAATCTGGTAAGGACGAGATATGAAAATCCACACGCATGCAGCTTCTCGCAAACGCAAGACCGCTAACCTGGCATGGTCCTCTCGGCTAGGTTCGTGGGATGCTACCACCAAAACCTCATCTTCATCTACCGACCGTCGCCGCAGATCCCCAAGCCCTCATCCAGGGCTGCCGAAATCTGCTTCAACAGTGCAGCCAACATCATCAACCTGTCGTACAAGCAGACCGACGAGGTGTCAGTCAGCATCACTTGGGTGTTCCTGCTAACCCTTAACATGTCGCTCACCACACTCCTATGGTCCATGTCATACCCTGAAGTGCGTAGCGTGCACTCGAGGGAGGAGGCAGAAGCTCTCGTCAATAAGGCTCTCGAGATCATCGAGACGTGTGAGAAGCGCTGGCCTGGGTCCGGCAACTCGTCGGAGTTGTTTTCCATCTTGTCCAAGGCCTGCATACAGAGCTACGAATCAGCTGGATACCAGCCTAATATGGTGTTCAACACGTCATCCAGCTCCGAGGGCGGAAGCTCGCCTGATGCATCGTCCCAATCCCAAGCCGGCAGTAATACCGGAAGCACAAGGCAAACCCCGCAACCCCCGCAACCCCCGCAACCCCCGCAGTACCTCAACCCTCCTCAGTTCGGCTCCGTCTTCGGCTCATCACCCGAGTCCATCAACAGCTACACCCTCGAACAAAGCTTCCCGCACCCGCAGCCGACCTTTCGCTCCAACTCCATCTTCCAAAGCCCCTCGGCCACCGACACTCATGGCCGCCGCTTCTCCTACTTCCCACCAGAATTCAATATTGACGAGGTGCCGGACCCCGGAGACCCGGGTGCGCAACCGTCACCACCACCTGTTCCCAACCAGCAGCAGAGTTTCGTGAACTCTCGAAACCAAGCGCCGCCGAATCAGATGCCCGGACCTCTTGACCCCATGGACGTATCGAGCTCCCCATCGAACATGACATCACCTCCACATGTCCCACATCAGCAACAGCCGATGCCGTCTTCTGGTCCTCCTCCGCCGCCGCAGGATACGATGGGAGGAAGCATGCCGCCTCACCCGAAAATAAACCACGTCGCGCCGCAAGCTGCACAGCGTGTCCCCCCCTACACCATGCCTCCGCAGCTCAGGCAACAGCCACAACAGCAGCAACAGCAACATCATCCCTCCCCACAGCAATCCCCCTCCGTCACCATCCCACAGACAGACTGGTTCTCCAACTCAGCTGCTTTCGTGATGCCCTATCCCGGTCCCATGGGCAACTCGAACGGCTTCTACGATGAGATGATGCCTGAAGGTGGCAGTGGCATCGGCAGCGGTATGGTGGGCGGCTCGTTTGGTGACTTTCCCATGACCCAGGGCTTCGGGCTCGAGACTGTGGGTGCCAACGCCGCACTGGGTAGCCAGCAGTTTGGGAGGGCCATGATGCCGGGGAGGCAGGATAGTCTTACGCAGTCGCAGCAGCTTGAGCTGATGAACTCTCTTGAGACGGAGAGCTTTGGCGACTTCGACGCGTACCTCAAGCCTGAAGACAATAGTACGGGTTTGAATACCGGCTGGTACTAATATCCCTCTCTTCTTCACACGGCCTCAATATGAATATGTATCTATGCATCTGAGAATGAGTTATTTTCCTGGTTATTATATCTTGTGGCGTATGTATTTCTCTGTTATATATAGATGGTGGTAGACCAGGACATCACGACAATACTATGATACCTTACGACGGCTTCTCTCGGCGTCAGCTCTCGCGCGGCGTGCATCCAACAACACAAATGACAGCTGTATTGGAGCTGGTTAGCTAGCATAACATACACCATCTGTATGTGGAGCGTACGGTGTAATCTAAGTATATGCATATTTCTCCTAGGTCCTCGTCTACGACACAATGACGACCATCCGTGCAATGAGAATGCTGCGAGGCTTCCATCCTCAGCCACGCAGGGAAGTCCTTTGATAGGTTCTTCCATGACCCGGACCGCCGGCGAGGGAGAGATGAGTATCGTCAGAGGTCTGAGAAGTATACTGGGCATCTCGATAACAATGGCCTTTATCACGTTCCTGAGCAGGACGAGCACGATCGCCATATCAGGCAAGTCATGGAAGAGGCGAGGGGGTTTGTGGAAGAAAGGGTCCAAAGCGCGCTACTCCAACATCGACGAGCCGGCCTTCTTGTATCGAGATTGTCAGCTGCCCGAAGACAGGCTTCTAAGGCATGCGAGTCTTCCCTGGAGGTCTTGTTCCTCGTGATGAGACCAAGGAGAGTATCCGTCCGAACCTGTTTATGTGGTGAAGCTTTCCATAGTTCGTCACTTGACTGGTGTTCGAGAAGCAGGAGCAATAACGCCCGGTGGTTTATTCGGCTGATATAGACATGGAAGACATAGAAGGGTCGTCGACTTCATCCATGAAGTATAATAATAATATGAATGAAGGAGAACGATCCGTCACTAGTCCAAAACCGTTTGCGGGGAATGGTTGAGGTGCTGATGTATCCAGCTTTGCGCATGCATCTGCACTGAGTAATATTCGAGCGGTGGGTTCACATGCCTGATGCTGGCTCTAATGTATTTGCGTGATTGAAGTACAGAGATGGAGGCGAAGAAAGGAGTAGAGGGGAAAAAGAGAAAAATGCGCCCGACTCCGTAGAGGATATTATGAGGGAAGTCCAGATACAGAAAGCATAGAGAGCAAGCAAAGATAAGGCCCGGACACGATATAGAAATGAAAATACGAATCAACACCCCTCCCCTCCCCCGCGCAGCACCCCCCTTTCACCTACATCACCAAAGCCGCCACGGCAGCAGCTAGTCCCGCCACGACAGCGGTTGACACGACGGTCATCTGAGCCGCCGCTCCGGAGTCAGGGTCACTGTCCTCGGACGTGCTCGACTGCGCCGAAGAGGCGTCGGCCGTCGGGGTGCCGGAGGGCGAAGAGGAGGGGGAGGAGGAGGAGGAGGCCGAGTTGGTCTTGCCGCTGCAGGGAGCCAGCTTGGAGAAGTTGGCACAGGCCAGTCTCGTGCCGTTGGCGTAGTGCACGACGAACGAGACGTTTCCCAGGAAGGACGGCTGCGACTCATCCGTAGAGAGGTAGAGGTCGTTGTAGGTGGCCGCGAACGGCAGGGTGTCGACGGAGCCGTGCTTGCCGCTCAGGTCACCGACCTCGCAGTCCTGGGGCTTCTCAGGATCGCAGGGCGCGTCGGTCCCCGCGCCGTAGGGGTCCAGGTGGGCGCCCGTTTCGGTGCAGTTGCCGTCCTCGGGCACGGCCTCTTCGTGGATGTGGTATGCTGGAGTGAAGGGAAAGGTCAGAGGGGATGGGGGCTTGGGGGCTGGGATAGGCCGGTATAGGCTGGGCTTCGCTCGACTTACTGAACGGACCGCCCTCGGAGGGCAGGTTGTCAAAGTTGACGTCAAAGGTGACGCCCCGGCCATCCCTGGGGGTCTGAGCGACGATACTGCCGGCCAGGGTACCGGGAAGAGCGGCGTCAGCAAAGAAGGCCTCTTCCGTCGAGGCAGTGTAGACTGCATCGGTTGGGTTGTCGCTCGTGGCCACGGCAGATCCGCCGGCCACCTGCCGGACCAGACTTAGAGAGGCTGCAGCGAGGAGTAGCGCCGTTGTATACATTGTGGGCCCGTGTCTATTCTCTTCTCTTCCTTCTCAGAGTACCGAGAGATTCGTTGGGAGAGGGAGAGAGAGAGGGAGAGAAGATTTATTCTAGATGGCGCCGGGGAGGGACTGGGATCAAATAGACGACAAACACTCACAGCCAGACAATGGTTTCCCACCCGGCCATGTTTCTCGCCCGCACTACGATGTGTACTCCTAAGATTTACACCCACCTGCATCTCTCTGCGAGCTGCAGGATGCGCGCTTGCCCGTCTTTGTAATTGGTCTCCGGCCAACGGGGTGGAGCGAGAACGTCTTGAGCCGTCGATGGCTATGCTTGGACTGCCGACCAGCGGGTATATTTGATACGCCTGTTTCTGCAGGGGTTCTGCCCTTCAGGTCTGGACCTGGATGTTGGCAATTTACTGGATCCCTCGCTGGCAGTGGGAGGGGTGAATGCACATTGCCGTGCCAGTCGCTCACGTCGGTAGCCGATTCGCACGTGTGTGTGATCTCGCGGATGAGAAGAGGCACGGCGACAAACACGCAAGCACAGAGGTAGCGAAACCCAGCCCGTCGTCACGGAAAGGGCAGCACGAACCTTTGTCTGATGCGAGCCGGTTGGTTCACGAATGGGTACAGACACGCTTGCTCCGTACCCCTAGGCAAACAGCGGGCATGTAGTTAAGCGCCGGTCAGTCCCCCGGTGATTGGTCGCAGCGTAACACGTTGGCGCCTGAACTGCATGTCCCGTGTCGCTAGACTGGCAGATACTGTCCAATGGGCAGACGGAAACACAACAACCCATCTCGGGCGGAATGTCGTGCACTTATGCTAGCGGTGCTAAGGGTGGTCGGTCGACGGACATGGTCGTCTCGTCGGAGCATGCTGGCCCCGTCTCAGACTTGGTGGCTCTGTGAGCGGGCAGTGACGAAGGGGGGCGGCGGCCGACCTTGCGTACCTGTACGCGTATGGCCTTGTCGGGGACGGACTGCGGCGGCCTCGAACATGGCCCGCAAACCTACGTTTCAAGGCGTGCCATCGGGATGCCCATTTTCTCCCCGGCATCTTCCTCCTGTGTCCCTGATGAAGGAGCGTGGGAGATGGTTGAGCCGTCCTGTCTGCACTTGAGGCCTGAACTCAGTGGCTGAGATGTGGCTGATGGCTAGGCTGGGTCTCGGGTGTTGAGGCGGCGGCGGCTATGTATTCGTAGAATTCCTACGTCAGTGTGCAACTTGCCAGGGTTTAGCCGATATCAATTTGTCGTTTTGCTACATCTGTTCGAGGGGAGCAAAGTGCTCATCAACGCAACTAGCTGTGAAGAGGCGGGAACAAAAGGCAGGGTTTTCTCTTTTACGAATCGGGCTGTTTCGAAAACTGAAGGTATATATAGAGATATCAATTCTGTTACTTGCCGTAGGATGCTAATGCCACGGGTTACAATAAGAACCAGACTCTGGTATCTAGTCACATTACATAATCGGCCCTCCCCGTCCTTTTATTACGATCTAATACCTGTGCATCTATCGCCAAACATTCTGAAACCGTGTGCAGAGCAAGCAGTATTACGAGTTACAGCATCATTTCTATCCCAACGAATCAACGACTTAACGCCGGAATCCCTGAAGCCCAAAGGCCGATATAGCCCATCATGAAGCCCGTCGTCAGCGCCAGCACCGCATGGATGTGGTGCGTCTTCTCCCTTCCCCTTCCTCCATCCTCCGGGGCTTTCCAATGGAGCGCAGGCGCAGCGCGCAGCGCGCAGCAGCATTACTGACATTCCGAGGACATGGTAGCACCGTTCTCTCCTTCGTTGGAGTCATCACTCTCAGTTTCATTGCCTTCATGTATCAGATCGGCCACGAGGAGTTCACCGGCGGAATCAACGACCCGTCACCCGAGCAGGGAAAGAGACTTGCAAAGAGCGTCGGAGGTGCCGCCTTCTTGTACGCCGTACGTCGTCTACCAACCCCCCCCCCCCCCCCCCCCCCCTCCCAAAAAGACCGTCTTCATACGTCCGCCCTTCCTTTTTGTGCGTATATGTGTGTTGTGACTGACGTGCCTGTGCACAGATACTGTTCTTCGTCTGCCTCTGCCAGGGCTTCCACAACAAACGCGCGTCCGGACGAGGTTCCATTGCCCTATAGAAGCGGAGGCTTGAAGAGCTTCGGTACTCCGATTTCAATCTGTGGCTTCCTGCTATGGTTCTTAGCTCCCTGATGGTTTAGATTCCAAAGCAACTCCTATAACGCGAAGACCGGGATGGCATGGAGACCGTCCTCGCGCTCTTTATCCCTCTATCTCGACGGGACGAAAGGGGAGTCGCACAGGATCAGCAATGAAGAGGAGACCGGTTTCAGCGATACATCTAACTTGTTTACCTTGGGTTTTGTTTTCTCCCCTATTCTGTATGAACTACTGCTGGGAAGCGTGCGTGGTCGATTCATTGTTTTCTCTGTTTTGGCGATTTGTGCCAACAATGTAGTCACTATGTACTATTCACCTATTTACGACTAGTGCTAGTCCCTCTATGCCTGCCGTAGGTGGTGCGTTCGATAGTCACATCTGCGAATATCCGCAATGGTCTCCTGTCTGGTGTCGTTTCGAACCGAATCGTGTGTCGTTGAGCTGCGCTCGCTATATTGACGACCAGTGCCAAACGCCTGGGGGGCCGCGGCCCAAGCTATGCTCCGTCTCTGACCTCCTTCTCTTCTTCTCCCTTTCCACTCGCAGACAGCCGGTCAAGGAGAATGATCAATATCGGGAACGCCGAGGTCGACGTCTCCTGGTCTCCTAGGTGATATGCTCACCAGGACTTGTCTCCGTCCTTTCCCCACGGCTCGGTCAAGTCACGTGGACACCGATAGCTTTGCCTAAGGGACCTCACGAGCTCCATGGGGAGAGGCAGGCGTGCTCATCCGATAGTGCGACGTGCGTAGTGTTTCTGGCCTCCACGGACAGCTCGTGCGAGCGGTCACGTTCTCCACCGCAACGGCGGGCTTTTGATTGGGAGTGTGAGGACGAGCAAGAGCAGGCTGTTTGCCGTGTGCAGATTGGGTATACCGTGACTTTCGCAAGGATATTCATATGGGCATCCTTCTGGGCGGTGTTGGCGGTGAGGAATAAAACGTAGCGACGATGATATGTAGATGGCCCCATCGACGGCTGTTTGAAGATGTGATGCTGATGATGACATGAAGCGCCCCACCAAAGGAGAGACCGGGGGAGTGTCAGGGTGGGGAGCTTCCCTTGGTACATGTCCCACCACCTCAAACATACACATGTTCAACCAACAACTCCGACTTCTCTATCTCACCACCGCTAAAGTCGTACCTGTCTCTGTGTGTCCTCGTTCCACACCTATAAAAGAAAGGCTACAACGGGGTCCATACGCTCGTCACATCCCCGACCAGTGCCACCAATACCTCGGCCCAACCATCATCCCCTTCCCCACGGAATACTGCCCACCGCTGCCCTGATCTTGTCGCCAGTCGGGGAGAAGAGAGAGAGAGAAGAGGGGGGAGACATCTTGTCTCGGCCCAAAATTTTTGTCACAAGCGAGCACGCGACCTGCCTCTTCCCTTGTGGTCGCTCTCTCCGGGGGGAGCATCACGACGACCACCACCTAAACCCAAAGCGATAGCTGAGCAGCGGCGCCAAGTGTCATGGCTCGAGACCTGACTACTGGTGACCTCGTTCAGGTGGCTGGCGAGGAAGCACCAGCTCAACAGGAGGCAGGAGTGGACAAGCCGGGGGACAAGCCGGGGGACAAGCCGGGGGACACTGCGACCCAGCAGCAAGCACAGGAGGACACATTGATCCAAGTTCGAGAGAGCGACGACAAGAACAAGCCCGCGCCACCGGAGAAGCAGGATGCAGCGGCCGGCATCTTGTCTCCTGAGCAGCCGAGAAAGGAGCAGCAGCCCGGCCTCCCAGACCGCCTCGACGTTCCCGAACCATCCAACTACATCGACCCAACACCCCCGACCCCGACAGCCTCGCAGCCCCCCTCACGCACACCCTCCAACGCAACCCGCTCACACGATGCCGACGACGAAGGCCCCGGTGCCGGATCAGACGGCGGCGACGTCGATAAGAAAGATGCGACCGACGACGAGAATGCTACGCCCGGGTCGCAGTCGGAGATCCAGAGCATAATGGAGCAGTTCAGCGAGGTGGGCGCCGGCCCCGGTGTTGACGAGGTCATGAGCCCGCGCCTCGAGATCGCCTCGCCCAGGTTCAGCAACCTACCCACTGGGTCACAGCAGCAGCAGCAGCAACCTCCCCTTCCGCAGCACCCGCCTCGAAAATCCAGCCTCGAACCTCTGTCGACGGCAGCACCGCCGAATTCCTCCATCGTGCAACAGATGCAGAGCCTGAACCTGGTCGACCCAGCGACGGCGACCCCACAGAAGCAGCCGGGCGAGGAGGACGACCACCCGCCGCCGCCGGTGCCGCCCAAGGACGACGAGGTGCCGCTCGCATCGCCGCGGCCGCAGCTCGACCGGTCACCGACAGCCACATCGGAGCCGATGCCGCCGTCATCGCCGACGCTGCACCGGCGGCCGCCGCCGGAGCCGGAACCAGAGTCAACGCTGCCGTTCGACTTCCACCGGTTCCTGGAGCAGCTTCGCAACAAGAAGGCCGACCCGGTGGCGCGGTACCTCAAGTCTTTCCTGCAGGAGTTCGCCAAGAAGCAGTGGATGGTGCACGAGCAGGTCAAGATCATCAGCGACTTCCTCGCCTTCATCGCCAACAAGATGGCGCTGTGCGAGGTGTGGGCCGAGGTGCCGGACGCCGAGTTCGACAACGCGCGCGAGGGCATGGAGAAGCTCGTCATGAACAGGCTGTACTCGCAGACCTTCTCGCCCGCCATACCCGCCCCCAAACCCATACCCGGCGCCAAGCCGAAGAGGAGGGGGGCGGACCCCCCGCTGGGCCCCGGCCGGCACGGCCAGCACCAGGAGGACGTCGAGAGGGATGACATACTCACCCAGAAAATCAACATCTACGCCTGGGTCCGCGAGGAGCATCTCGACATCCCGCAGATCGGAGACTCTGGTCGGCGATTCCTCAAGCTAGCGCAGCAAGGTAAGGGAACATTGAGAGGGAAACAAGAGGGAGTTGCGAGTTGTGTGACTAACAAGGCGGGGTGCAGAGCTTCTCAAGATCAAATCGTATAGGGCACCGAGGGACAAGATAATCTGTGTGCTCAACTGCTGCAAAGTCATATTTGGTAGGTTCCTCTTGTTCCCGACCTCCCGCGGATGATGCGCGCCTGACTGGAAGGATACAGGTCTCCTCAAGCACAACAAGTCGGACTCGTCGGCCGACTCATTCATGCCCATGCTCATCTTTGTTGTTCTGCAATCCAACCCCGAGCATCTCGTCTCCAACGTGCAGTACATTCTGCGTTTCAGAAACCAGGAAAAGCTAGGAGGCGAAGCAGGCTACTACTTATCATCGCTGGTAAGTTTTCTTCTCTTTATATTCTCCGGCCTACATTATCTTTCTTTTCTTTCGTCTTTCACTACCCCTCCCCCCTCCTCCTCTCTCTGTCTCTCTATTTCTTCTGACCTTGTTGTACCCTTCCCGCCCCACTCACTCTGACATGAATCCGCAGATGGGCGCCGTCCAATTCATCGAGAGCATGGATCGTACGTCCCTGACCATCTCGGACGAGGATTTCGACAAGAACGTCGAGGCAGCCGTGTCGGCCATCGCCGAGCGTCACCAAGCTGCCAACCTCTCCCCCGCCATACGACAACAGTCGACCTTTGACGGTGGGAGCAGCAGACCTCAGCAGGGGTACCCAGCGCGGACGACATCCCTGGTCGACTCCGGCCCCTCGACCACCACCACCAGCAGTCCAGACGACTCGGTCCCCATGAGCGGTCTCTTCAAGACCATCCAGAAACCCCTATCTACAATCGGCCGCATCTTCGGCGAGGACTCTGCGGCCAGCAGTCCCGATGAAGACGACGATGACGACGACGACGAAGACGACGACGACGACGACGATGCTCGCCATCATGGCCTACCTCCCCCACCCATATCCAAGGAGGCCGGGGCAGGTGGAAGGCCATCGTCCCGCCACGACCTGTCGGCCGAGGAGGCTGCCGCTCGTCAAGCCAGCGCCGAGACGGCCGAGGCTCAGAGGCTACATCGTGCGGAGCACGCTAGCGTCGTCGAGACCCTGGCTGGCATGTTTCCCGATCTAGATAGGGATGTCATTTCTGATGTTGTCCATGAGAAAGAGGGGAGGTGTGTGTTTTTTTCTTTCTCTATTTTTTTTCTTGTCCTTTCTTCCCCCCCCCCTTTTTTTTCCCCCTTTCTTTCTTTTCTTTTCCCTCTTCTTCCTTTTTTTTTTTTTTTTTGAAATAGTTGGATGTGTTTCATACTAACTCAACCTAGGGTCGGTCTGGCCGTCGACGCCTGTCTCGCCCTGTCGAATTGATTAGCGCATCTATCGTATGCATAGAATGATACATGCTGAGTACCATGTTACTTTATTACACCTAGGTCGTCGTCATCATCCTAGGAAGCACACCCCCATCACCAAGGGTTCACACATTCCATATCTATCAGGAACAGTCTTCTTTTCTCGCTCCCCCCCCCCCCCAACCCTACATTTTCCATGTCCATTTACATCACAATCACCTCGTCTAGTTCGCTACAATTATACAAGGTCCAAAGGAGCATTCTTTCCCGAATACAATATCTAGGAAAAGAAGAAGGATTTTTTTTCCAAAAAAAAAAATTTAAAATTAAAAAAAAAAGAAAAGTCATCCGAGTACAATTATCAACGATACAATCACAGTACATTCCATCCAGGAAATAATCCGCCTAGGAATTTCAACAAGGTCAACCAAGTGCCCCTGATCGACCTGATTATATATACACTGCTTTTCTATATGTAAATCTTTAAAATGTGTAGCATGAATAAGTATGGCCAAAAATAGAATAAGGCTGAATGAGCCCCCCCCTCGGAAAAAAAGAAAAAAAAATGTAGATACAGAAAAGCTGGAGACAAAAAAAAAAGCACGTCTGATGAGACAGAAACGTCCACTTCAATATCCTGAATATCCTACACCTCGATATTGCTGCTGCTGCTGCTGCTGCACTCCCGGACCGACGCCGGGCCGCAGGTCGTTATCCGTCGTCGGCGTCATGGTACGGAAAAGTGGACCTCCCGAAGGCGCTACGGGTGTTGGGGTGTTGGTGCGGCGGTAGTCGTACGGCTCCTGCGCGGCCATGTAGTACTCGCGCGAAGCGGGACGCACGGGCGCCTTGTTGAGGGAGCTTATGCTCTCGCTGTCGTTCGACATCTTGCTCTTGTTGGTGGGGAAGCGCTCTAGCAGGAGTGAGTTGCGAGCGTCGAGGGGCGTCAGGTCGTCGGCGTCGGCAAACCTCCGCTTCTCTGCGTGGGTGTCAGCACTCCCGGATACTCACAGTTACGAAGAGGGAGGGAAGGGGGGGGGACAAGGCAACGTGGCAGTAGAAGGGAGAGGAGAGGAGAGGAGAGGAATGAAGGGGCCACGGAAAGAAAAAGAGAAGAGAAAAGAGAGTGTGGGTGTGGAGAGTGAACGTACCCATTTCCTTTCTGCGCTGACGGTGGGGATTCTTGCTGAAGCAAGCCTCCAATGCGTGCCAGGCGATGAGGATGACGAGGATGACGGTGAGGGTGGACTGCACGGCAATGAGGACGACGCCGGTGATGGTCTTGGTCGTCTGCTGGACGCCAAACTCCTCGACGAAGACGAGGATGCAGGCGACGGAGAGGAAGCGGACGACCTGGATGGTGATGTTGACGACGTTCCCGGAGCGGCGCTCGTAGGGCCTGCTCCAGAGGAGGAGCCCAAGCATGACGGCCTCGACGACGAACAGGGCAATGGTCTGGCCGCGGCCGGCGCCGTCCCCGGCTGCCAGCACGCACCCCTTGACGGCCATGTAGACGATGGCGGGGACGAAGAGCCACCAGTACTGCTTGCGGTAGGCGTCGTAGAAGAGCGAGTACTTGACCCACAGCTTCTTCTCCTCAAAGAGGGCGCTCGTGTCGCCCTCCTTGTTCCTGAGGGCGCGGGCCACGCTCCAGATCTTCCAGGAGAAGAAGGCGAGGATTCCGGTGAAGATGGCCAGCGTGACGGCGGCCAAGGTGACGGCGGCCCACGAGTCGCCGAGGGTGAACTGGAAGACGCAGTAGAGGACCCAGATGCCGTAGAGCAGCAGGATCAGCGTGGTGATGGTGCGGGCGATGGAGCCCCAGTAGTGGCGGCGGAAGCCCGACATGCTCTGGGGCAGGTTGCCGTACATGGCCCACAGCTCGAGGATGACCTTGAAGAGCAGCAGGAAGACGACGATGGCGGCGATGACGATGGCGACGATGAGCAGGGCCGTCATGAAGACGTCGGAACCGGGGACGCGCAGCTGGTTGGCGTAGGCCTTGAGGCCCGAGACGGTGGACTGGATGCCGCCTCCGCCACCGCCGCTCGAGTCGTCGGTCTCGAAGCCGAGGGCGCGCTCGGCCAGGAAGCTGAAGTGGTCAAAGGCGCGCTTGACGCGGCGCGTGCTTTGGTCGGCCAGGTCGTCGGTCGAGCCGTCGGGGAAGACGAGGGTGGCGTTCTTGAGGAAGGCGACGCTGTCGGTCGTCAGGTTGCCGCCGGTAGAGGCGCGGAACCTGTCGATGGCGGTGAGCACGGGGTCCCAGGGGACCAGACCGGTCGAGAAGGCAAAGTTCTTCGTGAAGCTGCGGTAGACGGGCGGGTAGCTGACGGAGAGCATGCCGTTCATGGCCATGCCCTGGAACCAGCCGACCATCTCGGTGAAGCCGGGGCTGGGGCTGACGGTGCCGACGCTGCCGGCGCTCAGGGAGCCTCCGCCGCCGGTGACTGCGGAGCCGACGGCGGACATGCCCGAGACGATGAGGCTGGCGCCCATGACGCCGGCGGCCACGTACGAGACGGCGGCGACGTCGGTCGTCTTGCCGTTCGTGACGTGGGACTGGACGCAGGCGATGTCCTCATCCGTATCGAGGGCCTTGAGCTTCATGGTGGCCTGGGCCGAGATGTCGGGGACCTGGAAGGCGATGGAGGGGACCAGGTCGGCGAATGAGGAAGGGATCTCCTGCTTGCCAAAGGCGGAGAAGTCGCCGGCGGGGACGGGGCATAGCCTCTCGACAAAGGTGGCATCGTCGCAGGGGTTGAAGGAGTTCTGGTAGATGGAGTTGCCGTAGGCCGTGACCTCGAGGTAGGCCTCCACCTTTTGCTGCTTGCTGCTGCTGCCGGCCAGGTCGAAGGTGATGGTCTTGTTGTCGTTGTTGTAGGCAATGTCGATCTTGCTGACCTTGATGATGCCGTCGCTGGCGCAGTTCATGAACCCGCTCGTCTTGAGGATGTCGTCAGCCACGGCGCCGGTGGCCAGCACGCAGACGGCGGCTGCTGCCAAGGATCGGAGGGAAGAGGGCCATGACGGTGCTCCCATGTTGATGTATCGTATCTGCTGTCCCGCGCGTGAGCGTCTATGTCGATCCGGTCTGTCAACCCCAAGCGGAACCCTCTTTCCGTCCGTCGTCCTGGTCCGTCGTCAATCTTCTTCTTGGGGAGGCGCCCCGAAGCGCCGGGGCGGGGGGGGGGGGGGGGGGGGGGGGGGGGGGGGGGGGGGGGGGGGGGGAATGTGGGAGCGTTGGACTTGAGCTCAACCTTCTGCTGCTGTTCAAGGCCGGTTGTGCTGTATATCGAGAGTTCAGAGGGAAAGAAGAGAAGAGACGAAAAGGGAAAACAAAGGAAAGGAAAGCGAAGAAGAGAGAAGGTAGAAGAGGAAAAGGAGAGGAGAGAGAAAAAATGAGCAGAAAAAGAAAAGGAACAAGAAACAGAACAAACAAACAGAAAAGTAGGAGAAAAAAAAAAGGGAGATTCGAGTTGTGAAGGCGAAAGATGCTGGACCTGCCAGATGAAAAATGTGGTCGTTGGTGTCGTAGTCGTCAAGGGGGGGGTGTAGACAAAAATAGACGTATAGTCAGTCGTATAGTCGTATATCAAGTGATAATCAAAAGAAGCACACAAGAAAACAGGCTCTGCCCGAATGAGAAGGAAGAGAAGGGGGGGGGAGAGAGAAAAAAAAAGGAGATTGACGGTTCGTAAAAGCCGGGATAAAAAAAGAACACGCAACCCAAGGCACTTGCCGAGCGAGAGAGAGAGAGAGAGAGAGAGGGAGAGAGAAGGAGAAGAGGAAGGAGGACAGAAAGAAGAGAAAGAAGAGAATACGAGATACAAAAGGGAAAGGAAAGAAAGGCATAAGAAATATGTCCCACGTCATGTATAAAAGCGATGGGGCGGTGTTTGTTGACCATTGACTTACATGGGATGGGGAAAAAAGGGGGGGAAGGAGGCATGGAGGTGGTTCCTGCCCCACCACGCTTTTTTCTCTCTTCACCCACACAAGACAAGAACAAGACAAAAAAGACGGACAGCAGAGCAGGTACGGCCGCCGCAGGAGTGATCAATAGATAGGTGTCAAATAATAAAAATAATAACATCATCCTTCTTATCAAATATCAGATAATATGGAGTGGCAATACAAGGTGAGCGGAGATTGAGATTGGTAAAACTTGGGTACAGGTGCTCGCATGCTCTTCTTCCCATCCATCCTTCTCGGATAATACAAATCACCTCCCCCAACTCATATCCTCTCTATCCTGATACAGCTATCTCGATAGGCCACGCTCGCTGGTCAGTGGTCGGTGGACACCTGTACCCGATACATGGATGCATGCTTGGCCTCGACCTCAAACCGTGAGATGCTGCATACCCGCCGTGATACTCGTACGAGCAATATGATGTAATATACGAGTATGCTATAATCATGCTGGTACACTCCTACCGTCCGTATGCAGATGCAGGGACAGGCACAGGCGACGGAGACAGACTGGGGGGGCGTTGCATCTTCCCGTACGATCATTGAACACACGTCTCTGATATGTCTAGCCAACGACCACCGCTCTCATCTGCTCCTCGAGCATGGTCGGATACGGCCGTATACGTATATCACACGTATTACGTGTACGGGTATGTGCCCATATACGTATCCCACCCCGTAGTCCCGTACTGAAGAGAGAGAGAGAGAGAAACTTCCCGAGTGCTCCGCGTGATGGTCAAACTTCCTGGCCAGCTTAATTGCCGGCTCTCATCACTCTGATACATCCTATGTGTGGGAACTACACCAAACAACCTGGCAGCTGGGTCAAACCCTGCATCCTTCAACCTGCCCGTGCAACTAACCTAAACCTTCCATCGAACCCCCTGCGTAGAGTCCGACTCTAGCGTATAGTTCTTTTCTCATGTGTCCGTACATGATCCGTATTATACTCGTACATGACAAGGAAAAAGAAGAAGAAGAAAGGTTGGGGGGGGGGGGGGGGGAGGGGCGCGGGAGGGAACCCATCCATGGGGAGGGAGGCCTGAACCATCCACCCCTGGACACTCGCTTACAGCCTGCAAGCCTGCAAGCCTACAAGCCTGCAAGCCTACAAGCCTACAAGCCTACAAGCCTACGACCCACCACAGTCAGATCGTTTCCAAGCTCAACCGCCGGGCACTGAAGGACGGTTCCACACCACCGGCCTCAGCTTGATGACGCTCTGAAACAGTTCAACTCCCCAACTCTCCACTTGACCTCGATGTTCTGTCTCTGAATACTCAACACTGGAACCGGTGCGAGTACGGTATCAGTCTAGAGACCTACACTGTACGGTGTGCGGAGTAAACAAGCGACACAGAAAGAGAGACGATGCAGAATACTAAAAACACTTTTGCAATCTGTACAGAGCAGACTGCTGTAGCATCTCTCGAGTCCCGACTTCTTTTCCGTACATTCCTTTTTTTTCTTCCCCTTCTCATCTGTACACGCACAAAGCACAGATTACAGATTACAATGCTATCGAGTACCTCACTCCACGCTCGTATACGAGAAGAAAGCTCACAGCACTCCGTCATTATTCCCAGCACTCAGCCGCCACAATCCAGAAAACAAACCCCATGCTACGTGTTACATAGCAATCTGTGTTCATTCCCACCCCCACCCCTCAATCGCAACCACCACTCACATCCACTCCCCCCTCCCCAAGGGCCCCACCCTCCCCAGGGGCCTCCCCTCCCTCCCCCTTCCCTCGGACCATCGCTCCCAAAGACAGCAATCGACCGACACGCACAACACATACACAGCGTCTCACCACAGCTACTCTGCTACTCCGTACGCCCCTAAGCAGGCAGCATGTACTCACATACCGTACCGTTCGATACCCAGACTACGTACAGTGCTCGTATGCAGCATGGTACGCGATGATGTACTCATACTCACCTGCTCGCCCATCTATCTATATATACTCATACTCATCCATACTCGTACACCGTCGTGATCAACCTCAATCCCCGTAACCATCCATCTACATATACAGACCACCCAGCATCATGCTTGAATACCAGCAACTTTTCAGTCGTGACAGGAAGAAAAACACGGCCAGTGCTCCCGAGGACGATGACCATCTCTCCTGTAAGCAGATGACAACTTGAGGGGGAACATATACATATATATATATATATATATATATACATACTCCGTATATATATACTCCGTATAATATCCATTCCAAATCCTAAATAATCCCAAATAATCCCCCAGAAATACATTTGTCCCGTATATCCTTCCCAATCAAGGGAATATTATCGTGATGCTAATGCTATAAACTGTCCAGCTCTTTCTCTTTTTTTTTTTTCTTTCTCTTTCTGTTATTCTTATTTTATCCCTTAGGGTATATTCGGCCGTCAATCGTCGTCGTCGTCGTCGTCATCATTGTACTGCTACTATTACTGCTACAACTCCGCAGTAGTAGTCATGCCTCCTCTTTACCGTACTACTCACCCGAGTAAAATCCTCCGTACCCATCCCCACTAAACCCATACCCACCCCTGCCCTCCCAGTCCACTCGTTCCTGCTGCTGTGGGGGGCTGTACGGTGATACGGAACCTGCCTGCCCGTTGGTGTTGATGCTCGTGCCGTCAAAGGAGCTCGCCGTCCCCACAGCCATGCCCGGCATAGCCAGAGCGCCGTTCGCATAACTTACACCCCCCGTCCCCATCGTCGACCCTGCCATAACCGACCCGCCCACAAGTCCGAGGTCGCTGCCGTCGTCCAGCAGCCTAGGGAAGGCTTCCAGAGCACCGTTGTCACTCTGCTGCTGGTGAATCTCCTCAGGCTGCTGCTGATGCTGATGCCGGTGATTCTGGTAGTGTCGGTGCTGATCTCCTCCCGCCGCCGCCGCATACATGACAGGTCTCGGCTCATAGCCCTGTGAGTAGGGGCCCATGGCGTTCGTCATGTCCACCTGGCCGAATCCGTCCTGGCCCATCGACGCCATCGTCTGCTGCCGCTGCTGCTGCATGCCGTGAGCTGTCACCCCGTCGCCGCCGCCGCTATAGAAGCCACCTCGACCACCACCTCGACCGTTGAACTGCTGTCGTCGCTGCGCCTGCTGGTGGCTCGGCGCGAGTTGACCTGGGTATGCACCGTATGCTGCCATCCTTGTGCCGCCGTTTCCGTTGTAATGAATGCCCATGGATCCCGCGGGCACCGTGCCAAAGTCGCCTCCAACCATCCCTAGTTGGTGCTCCTGCACCTGCCCAGGTTGAAAGCTGTTGCTGTTGAGGGGTAGGGGGAAGGCCGTCTGGTTCCGCGCCGGAGGGTCTTGCACGGGGCTGATGATGGTGTCGGCATCCATCTCTCGGGCCTTGGCCTCGACAAGGCGGAGCACCGGCAGCGACAGCTGCTCCATGTGCTTGGCCAGGTGCACCATCAGCTTCTTCCACGTGGGTAGCGACCTTCCGCAGAACCGGCACGGCTCGTCCTGCGGCTGCTGCTTGCTGTTTGCGTGGCACTCTTCGACCTTGCTCCACGTGGGGTCGGCGCCCCCAGACTTTTTGATGGCCGCCTTGGTCTTGACCCTGGGCTCGAGGAACTTGTGCTCGCGCACCAGGTGCTGGAGGAAGTTATCGCGCCTGTAACACGTATGACGGCACTCGTCCACGTTGCACGTCCACCATTCGAGGTGCCGATGTCCCTCGTTCTCGTGGCGCACCCAGTCGGCTTTACGCTTAAACGACTTGGCGTCCCGGCACCCGTCCCACGTACACGTAAACGGCATCACGTCCTCGTGGACGTGCTTGGTCCAGTCCGATGGCTTGGTAAACTTCTTGCGCGTGTAGCACAGCTGGCACTCGAACTCCGCCGGTAGCCGCCGCGTCGGAGGCATGGGGACGTCTTGCGGGAAGCTGTCCGGGCTGATAGCTCCATCACCCGACCCGGCGCCCTCGTCGTCCTCGTCGTCCTCGGCCATCAGACGGGTGGCGACAGGGTCCAAGCCCTTGGCCTCGCCCTTGGAATCCAGCACGTTGGCCTGGCCACCCATGGCCATGCAGAGCGGTCCGCATGGACAGTTGGCGCCGAGGCCTAGGTGCTTGACCCGATGGTTGAGCAGGGATTTATACCTGACGATTTGATGATGCGCGAGGCGCTCCACCAGGTAGTTGTGCCGCGGGTCCATGTTGGGGTTGACCAGGCGCACGTATTCCTGGAAACCAGCGTTATTGGGTGTGACGGTGTCGATGAGGTTAGCCTTGCCCGCATGGCCTATGCCGCCGTCGTCGTGACCTTCGTCGTCGTCGTCGTCGTCGTCGTCGTCGTCGTCGGCAGGCTCCTGCTTGGTGGCGATGGGGACGGGCGATTTGGTCAGTGCAGCAACGGGAAGTCCGCCGTTGGCCTTGAGCATGCCGAGGATGTTGGGGTGTGATTCGGTTCTTTGGTGCGCAGCTGTGGGTTTGGGGACGTCGGACCTGCTACGCGGCCGCTGCAGCGGCTTATCCACCTTGAGGCTCTGCATGAAGCCCTTGGGCGACACCATCGAGACGGCGCCGACCGAGCTTTTCCTGGCATGGGTGTGGCCGATGGAGGCGGCACTGCTCCCCGCCGACACAAGCGCTGTGATGCTCGGCGTCGCCTTCCTGCCCCAGCTCGAGGTGCGATCAGGAGGCGCCAGGTGCGGCGAGCCGGAGGCGGCACCGCCGTCGCGCCTATCGGCGACCCCATCGCTAGGGCTGCTACCGTTGCCGTTGCCGTCGTCGCTAGCATTGCTAGCACCGCTGTTGCGACGCTTGCGCATGTTGCCGATGCTAGATCGGCGGACGAAACCGCGGAGGTCCTTGAAGAGACCGCCCGACTCTTGATTCTTGCTGATTGACAGCTTCTTGAGTATGTTGCCGCTGAGGACGCCCTCCAAGTCGGCCGTGCTCTGGATGCTCCGGCGGCGGGTACCCCAGGTGGCCTGCCGTGAGATGATGGATCGGTTGTCGAGCTGCAGACGTTGCCAGTGCTCAATGGCGGCTTGGGAGGTGGCTGGCTGGTTTACGCCGGGGCGCTGATCGCGCATGATGTGCGGGAACATGGGCGCGTCTCCCCAGTTCCTGTCGCGAGCAAGGATAACACGGTCCTGATCGTTCATGGGACCGGTCCCCCCGTCGACAGCGTAGTAAGTCTGGCCAGGTATATTGCGGTTCTCGGTAGTGTCCCCGAGCGGGATCTCCCCAGGCGGGATACCGTCGTCGCTGCCCGCGACCTGGAGCTCAAAGGTCTCGGAGCCAGTCTTTGCGTGCGGCACCGACGGCTCGTCGAAATTGTCGGACAGCCACCTGCCGACCTCGACATTGCGCTCATCCGAGCGGCGCCGACGGGCAAGCTCGTTAGCGCTAGGTATCTCATCCGATAGACGCTCTGCGGGACCGAGACCGGCCAGGCCGGTGTGCAGGTTCTGGTGCCACCTTCCGGCCGAGTCCCGCTTCTGAGCCTCGGACGAGATGAGGTCACCGGCCGACTCGATGCCGCCACGAGGCGACTCGTCGGCCTCGTCGTGGTAAATTTCCAGCGAGCGCTCAGCAGTGCGGGTGACGGCCTCGTCGTGGTCTTGGTCCCAGACCGACACGGTCACACGTGGACTCCGAGCGGCGTGCACGGTCATGGCAGCTGGCGCCAACCCGTCCTCGCTGCTGTGGGCACTGGTGTGGGCGCTGCTACTCTGGCTGGGGGTGAGCTGAGACGGCTGATTGGACAGAGAAGGCTCGGGGCCGGTGGTGAATGGCCTCTGTAGTTCCTGCGGGGAGATGGAGGGGGTTAGATGGACCTGCCGGAGGGATAGTGCGGCGGCAGCTCTATGTTCGCCGTGGGGGGAGGGCAGCTGAACGGGGGCAGCCTGCTCGGGCGTCAGGGGGTATAGAGAGCTGGCAGTGTCATATCCTCCGAGGTGCGATGGCGAGAGCCAGGCGGCTTGCTCCTCGTCGTTGCCGAGCATAGCACCGAAGAAGGGGTCCTGGTCAAGCTCGAGGTCGCTGTAGGAGGTGAGGGCGGAGCTAGGCGTCTCAAAGTGGTTGGCGGTGTTTGGCGACAGTGCTGCGTCGCCTTGGAAGACGGGTGAGGCAGCCGAGGTGGTGGTGGTGTTGGCGGCGGCGGCAGAGGGAGGGGAGGCAGATGTGCGATGGTTGTGTGGGTTGGGGGCGTCAATGTCGGGGAAGGGAAAGGCCAGAGTCGATGACATGTTGACCGTTGGCTCGGTAAGGCGAGACGGCGAGACGGCGAGACGGCGAGACTATGAGTGTGTGAGGGGGGCTCTGCTGTCTATAAATGATGGTGGGACGGAGGATTGAGGCGACCCGCCTCGTTCTTCTCGTTGCTCACGGTCTGTGCGGATGGTAGATAGTGTGAGGAAGAGAGGTAGGGAAGGATCAGAGACGAGAGTGATCGTAGCAGCCGGGTGGTGGGGAGCAGATCAAGGTCGTCGCGTGGGCGCGGAAAATAGAGCGCTCGGAGGAGTCAGAATGGATCCGCCTCGGCGCAAATAAGCTACAGGAATCCAGGGGCTCAGCCGAGGGTTGTGACCGTGTGGTGCATATGTGAGAGAGAGAGAGAGTCGCTTTCTACCGGGTACAGGCAAGTATGTGCGGTACCCTCTATGAGATGACTGAACTGTGAGATCACTGAGCCGTGCGCATAGCTCGCTGGGCAGATTTGGAGATGATGGGGGGGAGAGCGGCGGGTAAGAAGTTCTCGGGGGACAAGGCGGAGTGGGGTGCATAGGCAGGGAATCTGGTGGTGGTACTCATACGAGTATTATAGCCGACCGACAGAGTGGCGGGAGGACGGTAAGGCTGAGAAGATGAATGGTATGCCTAGCCGTAGGTAAGAGGGTATGTTGTAGAAAAAGAAGAGAGAGATGGAGAGAGAAGAGGGAGATGGGTTGGAGAGAAAGAGCTGTTGGTTGTGATAAAGTGTACCGGAGTACACAGAAGCCAGGGACTCAAAGAGGAGTACTCCATACGAGTAGCA